CTAACCCTAACCCTAACCCTAACCCTAACCCTAACCCTAACCCTAACCCTAACCCTAACCCTAACCCTAACCCTAACCCTAACCCTAACTAGGGATTAGCTTATAAGTGCATAAGTAAGCTAAAGTAAGCATAGACATATAGCTTACTTATTATTAAGTAAGCTTAAGTAAGCCTTATAAAATAACTAGGTATTTAAGTCTATATTTATATTACTTATTTAAATAGCTTAAATAGCTAGTTATTAACATAGCATTTATAATATAAACAGATTAAAACCTAGATATTTACTGCAGAAGTATATTAACCAGCTGCATAACTATTACATGCCTTAAGAACCGACCTAACTACCTTACTAATATAAACCTAGATAGTTCTCTTATTAAAGCTATTTACTTAAACGGTTTATCCCTTAGAAAACTTTAGTGTCCTTACTAACCCTAGGAACCTAGTTTGTTACATTTTTATATATAAGAAGTTATATTATTAAAAAATAAAAAAGCATTATAAAGAAAGAAAATATACTAAAGACTAAGTAAAGAGCTTATAAGATTATATAAGGTAAGTAAGGTCTTAAAAATAAGACTAATAAAAGAGGGATATTATATTATAACCTAATACTTAAGGTTATAATAAGGGTCTTATAAAATAGGCAGAACTAGATTATTTATAATTTAAAGGACTAATAAGAATTAGGTTAATATAAATTAATAGTAATTCCTTTTAAGTTATAATATAAATTAATATAAATTAATATTAATTTAGGATAATCTGCTTAAGATAACTAGCTATATAAGGATTTATTTATAATACTTATTTAAATAGTTTAAATAGACAGTTATTAATATATAAGTAGCATACTAGTAATAATATAATTAAATTAAAACTTAGACATTTACTGCTTATATTACTAGCTATATAATAAGTTACTGCTAATATATTTAACTTAACCTCTTTACTAATATAAACTTATAAACCTTTAGTTTATCTCTTAAAAAGTCTATTCTTACTAATTATAAAGACACTAGTTTATTATATAATATAAATATAACTTATATATCTAGTTATCTTAATATCCTTAATATACTTAATCCTTAAGTTTATTAAGTTATCCTTAACATACTTAATAATTAATTTTATTAAGTAGCTCCTAAGTAAGCAAACGGCCTAACGTTTATCTAGTGCCGCTTACTAAAGGTAACTTATTATTATAACTATAAGGCTAGGTTATAATACTAGAGCCTTATAATATATAGTATTATTATAAATAAGCTCTGCAGTTTACTTTAATAAATTACTATTAATTATTATAAAGAGATAATAGTTATAAAAAGAAGCTTAATTCTTTTACTAAACTAGGCTATAGAGGTAGGGATAACTATACTTAAGAGTAAGTAACTAATGCTATTAAAACACTTTCCTTCTTTCCTTTCTTCTTTCCCTCCTTCCTTTATTCCTTCCTTCCTTCCTTTTATAAAGGATAGGGTAGCGACTATATATATACTAAGTGATTAATTCTATAGTATCTATCATAAGCCTCTTTATTATAGCACCCTTCTTCTTACTGCTTATAGCATGCCCTGAAAAGCTCTTAGTCTGCATACTGCTAATATTCATACTCGCATTGCTCTTCCCAGGCGTGCCTTTTGAAATGTCAGTGTTCTGCGTTAGTGGGGCGAGCATCTGATTGTGTTGGAGATGAATACCTGTCCCCGTATCGGCTTTATCTGATGCCAATAGGGACTTCGCAATGCCATCATCTACAGGTGCGGGTTTCTGAGAGATTTCGCCAGGCATCTGAGACGCAATGCCCTCCGTGTGCGGCTGGGAATTGGTAACACGCTCCTCGCCGTGAAAAACAGGATGAGACGACGGATGAGGTGCAGTAGCGAGTTGGCGGCCCTGATTATAAGAGGCGTCCCCTGACTGAGACGGCTTTAGATCCGTTGCTAGTCCTACAGTTAATGCTGTCAGTAGGAATGTAGGATACTGCCTAGAATCTTCGAAACATACTGTGCGAGTTGACTGAGTCTCTGGATTTGTATAGATGTGGTAGAAAATACCTCCATGCCTTTTCTACAAGCCCGGGCGGGAGCAGATCTAGTTACGATTGTCAGTTAAATTTGCTTATGAGCAATTTCGAAAAGCACGTACCTTGGATTGTCTTCATTTCATTGACCTTGGCCGGTGCCAATGTATCGAGGAGTGCTTTCGCATATGCTGCCGCAACACATGCAGCGTAGTCTTGCCAGGCATCATTTTTGTGCGAATCCGCGTAATCGCAGATGCCTCGGATGACGATGCATGGGAAATCATCCATCAGCCCCGCAGCCTCCATTTCGACACAGAGGACTTCTGCATTCAAATCCTTTTTGAGGTCGTCGTAGAGTTTGTTTCGAACCTGGGCATCTTTGATCACCTGGTCACCCGAGGCAATCAGGCCATAGTGGAAGTTGATATCCTCAACCCTCGTACCTCTCGGAACAATCCTGGATTTGTCGCAGAGCGCACACTCAATTGCGTCGGCGTTCAGCTGAGACTCAAAGTGATCTCCGCCTGCGGGAACGGTATTTTCCACGTGAGGATAGCTTGATTCGTATAACACGTCTGTGAGCATGCTGCGGCTAACGAAGCTCTTTGGAACATCGCTTCGAGCTTGCAGACGGCTTATATAGCCATCTACCTTGGCATGAGTCTCGGGTGCCTGTGATTCAAGATTGCTCAAAGCAGCCAATAAAGCGGTTGGGGGTTTGTTCAGGGAACCTTTTCTCTGGAACACGCCTCCTGATAATGCTTTGCCGGCATCCCACTGCACAACTCCAGGAGACTTGCCTTTGGGGCAGCTGATTACCACATCTCCAAGACGGACTTTCTGCTGAGGCATGCCGCCACCAATTCCGACCATCAGCCCGACTTTGATATTCTCAAATGTTGCTATCATCCGTGTGGCAACTGACGCCGCACTGACCGTCCCAGTCAAGCCCATGGGCAAACAGGCAATGACAACCTTGTGCCTTCCAATATTGCCACGAATGTATGAATTACTGTCATGAGGCGGGGTTTCGAGCTCATCGGGGTCATGGATTTCATCGAGCATGAAAGATGCCGCGCTTTGCTCCCTTGGAAGTGCACAAACCCACCCAACCGTGTAGTCGGAAAGGAGATTGCGGGAGTAGCTAGGAGAAGGCTGGTCATGCATTGCGACTCCCATGTCCCCATCGACGTTCCAACTTCCATCTGCTGGCTGTGGAATCATGAGAGATGAAAGTTGCAATGTAAAAGCGGTAGACTGAAGGCGAGTGGTCCACGTGCGTCGGTTGAGATGGATACAATACGGCAGAGAATCAAGAACCGCGTTGTCGGGCAACTTGCAATTGGAAACACAGCAACAGGAGTCAATATACGCAGCATATAGCTGGATTAGGCAATGTGAATGCTCTTCAAGGTGGAAAACGCTAAAATCAGGCATCAATGAGGTGTATCGCTGCCGTTCTCCCGACCATTGGGCGAGATGCAAACCGCCCAAAGGTCCTCCGTAGTTGGTGAATATCCAAAGCACATTTGCGCCACAACTGAATCCTCCACCGAAACGTGGACCGAATGAAAGCTTGCATATCAGCAGCTACCTTACTCAAACGGGCCTCACTTCAGCATTTTCGTAACATATGTCAGCCGTCCACGTGTCGTATGGCGTTGAACTCTGTTAGGCTCTAGTGCTCGGGTCGCTTTGCAGCATCCTAGCTGCAAGCTTAGTCCGTTGAGCTGGATCGGTACGCATGCATGAGCTGAGATATGTCTCAAGAAGGGCTGAGTCCTTGCCTGCAGGGAGCGAAGAGCGGGGTCTTGCGTTGAGACATTGCCTCGTTATGTACAAGCGTTGCTAATATGGAGCACATATACAAACTCATGATTTGACATTTGGGCGTGCCGAGACATCGGCGTGAATGGTTATTTGAGCCGTCATTATGGAGTGCTGGGAAATAAATCGACAGATCCAATTAATGTATTTGCTGAGCACTACATCAAATAGGCGATTTGTCCATCCTTGTACCAAACATATTATTACGCATACGACCTTCTATTGTACGAGCTCCCATTCTTCGCCATCATCGTTGCCGACTCTCCTTACGGCAGCATTGACATCATCGCCTATCTCATAACCGTCGGCTAGAAAACCCTTTTTGAAATGGCTAAAGAATATGCCACCGGCGCTCCCGCTCCCCTCAACACTTAGTTCCCCATTGCTGCTGATGCTCAGGTATTGTGCTGAATTAGTCGTGAGCGTAATGGAAATCCTATCTTTACCGATCATGACCTTCGGTTTGGTTTCGCCCTCGATCTTGATGCGGAAGCGGGTCCGACTGAATCTGCTCGCGTAGATGCGGTTGTCTTTTACCGCCCAATAGATATACGGGCTGGATTTGGACCGAATAAAGAATCTGGAAGGGTTGAACAATGTCTGTGAGATAGTGTGACACAAAAAAACGTAAAGAATGACTATAGGATAGGAGGGCTGCCGGAAACAAACGTACGTCTGGCCGCTGATGTGGTCCGTCCGTGGCTGCTGTGTAAACGCACCCATGAACCTGCCATCGCGATCATTGAGTAGGCTGTACATCAGCCGATCGTTGAATTCCGGTGCACTGTCCCAAACAAGGCCGTGGTTGAATGAGTAGTAATCCGGTGCAAGTCGGTTCCATTGAACGCCCGCCTTCTCAGACACCACCCGCCACCATTCATCAATTGTCTCGGGGTCAGGAGCGGCCACAATATAGCGATAGTGAGGCTCAGAAGGCGTCTAATGCGAAGGTTAGATTGTATTGCCTGGCATCTTGAGGTGCTTGCATCCACTGACGTATTTTATTAATGCGTAATAGACCATCGTGCTATTGGGTTGTTAGATGTAGAAATTATATCTTCGACTGATGAAGGCAAACACGACAATTTAAATATAAATAACAAACAGTACTCTTACCTTGTAGATTCACATACTAATATATATAAGTTAACTAACGCCTTTCTGGGGCAAGCTCTTGGGAAATTAACGACGCATGTTTTGAGAACTGCTAATAATAATGTAACACGATTCAGACTATTTGACCGGCATGGGGCCGTTCTGTGGGGGTGGATGCCTGGGCATTTGATCCTAAAACAGACACGCAAAAAGAATGTCATGCGTTGAGATTGCCCGTTGGGCACATATGTAAGGCATTATGGCTTTAGCTTAGACAGCACGTAGACTATTGTAAGATCCACTTGAAAGAATAGATGACCTGAATGGGGATTACAGCTTATGTGATACTCCGGAGCCAGAGATTTGGCTGCCGGAGCTGCCAGGACAAGTAGAAGACCAGCCCAAGAGCTGTGAATATTGCAGCCCAGGCCATTGCTGCTTTCTGGAGGATTATCTCTGTAACCTTATCTCTTGCTGCGGCTTCATTACATATAGAAATTGCTCCGTGGAGATTGGTTTGCTTGAGAACTTGCAGAGAGGATCCTGTCCAGATGCAAGCTCTACCTCAAGCAGACGTTCCTTAGGAACAGTGTTACATACGTATTCATTATGTTTTTCAATTCAAAGCAGGTTATATTTGCTGCCAGGTCTGTCTTTAGCCCTGCAAAGCATTATTGATGGCGGCTTGATTTATGAATAGGAGCCAAGGCTGTATCTTACGCCTCAAAGAACCCTCGAGCTGTGTCCACAAACTATCGAGCACTAGGAAGTGGCATTATGATGTATCCCATGACTTTGCTGCCTGCGTTATCGGCCACTGTTTTTTAAAAAGCTTTTCCAGCAAGCGGTTTGATGGCGTGTCACAAGAATAAGTTTCATTTCCGGATACAATTCCATAAGGTCTGGAATGGAGTCAATCGCAGTAACGTCTGTTGCTCTAACAAAGCCCGCAAATACGTCTTACAACGCCTTTAACAACTGAGCGTGATTGCCCTCACGCCGATAAAGTCCCAGTTCGTGAAATAGGTACCTGAGAAACAGTCTTTAAGTTCCAGTATCTGTCATCACATAGAGCCAAGTCCCTTGACGATGCTACTGACCCTGTCTTCGACAGCAGTAAAATTAGTATTCCCCCGAGCTAGCGCTGCCTCGTAAGCCCATCGATAGACAGTCAAGTTTTCCGAGAACAATGGGCGAAGATCGGTCCATCCGGTAGTCCGGCGAATGCTCTCGCTGCTAACCCACTGGCTGAAATTGAAAACAAGATGCAGCCCTTCAGGGAATGATGCGGGAGCATCAGCTGGAAACACAAATTCTACGCCCTCCTCAAACCCATACTCCTTTGCCAAAGCCTCTCCCACTTCCTGCACTGTCTCATACCTGTGACCGGATATGTTGAACGTCTTCCCGGCAATTGCAGATCGATCGGCGTGCTCCGCAACCGCGAGATAGGCCAACCCGCAGTCGTCGACGTGGGTCGCATGCATGATGTTGTTAGGGTTCGCCGGAATCTTTAGTCTCCTGGACCCTGCTGCGGCTTCCATTGCAACCCAAGACAGCATGACACCGTAGTAGCTGCTGCTGCGGCCATATAGGCTCGTCGGTCGAAGGAGGACAGCATCAAAAACGTCGACGTAGTCGAATATACGAAGGCAGCTTTCGGTTCTTTGTCGGAGGAGAACTGGAGGATTGGTGGGTGATGCTTCAGTGTGCGGAACAAGAGCAGAAGCTCCATGTGCTTCCGTTGTTCCGTAATCCTTGCAGCCAGACGACCAGAGAACCAAGGAGCGGACACCACTCTGTTTGCTTCTCTCAGCCAAGGTCTTGACTAGCAGCATGACCTCATTAAAGTGATCTGCATATCCCGATAGGTTCTCAGTGCAGCTGACGATAGCGTCAAAAACGGTCGCCTTTTCATACACAGAGCCTAGGAAGCTGAGCTCATTGAATGTCCCCACTACCGGTATAACTTCAGTCGCCATCAGGTCCTGAACTGCCTCAGGTTTGCGAACAAGGCCGAAAGTTCTCCAACCGGCTCCAACAAACGCTCGGCACACGGCAGCGCCTATGTACCCGTTTGCTCCCGTTACAAACACGGTACGTGGCCGGCCAGATGTACCCGAAGGCGGTTCGACGACCATAGTGAGGTTGACTGGACGTAGATCACGAAATAATGGCGAGGATCCTTTCCTCTCTTTCGGCTTACAGGGGAATTTGAAAGCGTGGGACGTCTCAGAAATAGCCCGTCTGTGGTGTGGTGTGTTTCAAATAGCAGAGTGGTTGCCTCCCTTGATGCGGCCGGGTGTGCCTTGAGAAGCTATATAAGAACTTCTAGTTGCTCATGCACTATCCAATGCACAGCCCGCCTCGTCTACGACATACCTTGACAATCTCGAGTCCGAACCTTTAGACCAGGAACCGGACCTCGGCAGATTGGTCAGCGCCGGTGTGGTTGACATCACGGACATTTCTTTTCCTTTATACGTACGGAGTATCATCCGACACTATTGCGTCCGATTGGCCCGGTTATACAAGATGCAGGGCGAGATATCGATTCCCTGGAGTCGGGCGGCATGGTTCGCCAATAGCCATTCTGGTCTTTATCAGTCTATTGACGATGAAATGGTGGAAGACTATGGATACGTAACGTGCTAGAACTTGTATTTGAGCCCGTTTCAGAGGCTTTTGCTACATCATGCGGTGTGGTGATGGTTTTATAAAGCTTTCAATAATTGAGACGGCTTAATCCTGCACCTCACTCTGCCTCGGGAGCTAATTTCTGGCCTTCAGAGTCGTCTCTACTTCTGGTTTTTAGATTAGAGTTGGATTCCTCTCATTTAATGTTTTGTGGCCATATCTGAAACTCTACCTCCTTCATATGAAGCATACGCTTACAAATTGTGCCTTCCCATGGAAGTGGCCTGATGAGATTAATCCGCTGACGGGATTATGTGGTTCGATGGGTCAAGTTCGCTGCATTAATAATTGCGTCCGTTCTCTACTCCGTATCTATATATTGGCTGCGGGGTGTAGTCCCTAATAGCTGAACAGGTCCTTGGCGCCAAAACGGGCGATGAAGGAATAACAAAAAGGGTCCTGGCGGGGAGACATTGTTGTACTGGGTGAGCTTGATGTTAGCACTGGAGCTTATTACAAACCCACCTCCGAAACCATTACCGGGAATTGGCCGAAGACAAGAACTTATCGAGGTCCTATTCCTATTGGAAGGCCGGTTGTAAGTATCTTTTTTTCCCCTTGAACAATTCTGGCTGTGAGGGGTGTTGATGATTGGAGTTGCACAAACGTCTTCCCGTTGTGGGGGCAATACTAGTCGTATTCGAAAGGGTTCCTCTTGGTTCTGAGTGAGGCATGTCAAAAGCGTTGTGGTAAGTACCCTGCATGTTCTTAGCAGCAACATAGCCCACAAGCAATTGGGAAGCCTAATCTATGTTGAATATCACTTAGTCCATATATGCTGTATAATGCTATAATAACGCAATCAATTGGCAAGTAGAAGGCAATCATCGAATAACACCACTACGACATTTCCTTTTCTTCGTCGAAATCTGCTTGCCGTAACAATATCCCGTCCAGAATCTTGCCCATATGGGTCTTATCAATTACCTCACAATTTCGCCGTATCTTCATCAGCACCTTGAGAAACGGGACGGGACTCCTCTTGAAAGCAGACTTGTTGATGATATCGCCACTAACTGTGCCGGGCGGAATAAAGCCGTCTGGTCCAAGGACAACCTCATCGTCCGGAAGGTCTCGTGCCAGACCAAGCATGTCGCATAACGTGGCGTACTCATCGAATGACGATAAATACAGCTGGCCAGCAAATATGTCCAGCTCAATCATCATGCCCTGCGGAAGCGTAGGCTTTCTCTCTTGCGGAGGTACCGTATACAGTGTCAGCCTGTCTAACGGTTCGAATGCGTGATTGGTCCTTGGGGCATAGAGGTGTAATGTAACCATTTTGCAAGTCTCGATCCTTCTAAGCAGTTGATGCGCCTCGAATGGACTGATGATGGCGAGTCGATCGATGACATCATTTGCGTCCTTGCTTGTCAAAATCCATTGCACGGGACGCTGGAAGAGGTCTGTAACGTTATCGAGAGCTTCGTTCATCATGACTGTTGCGCAATAGTCTTGAGTTGCCCATATGCTGCTTGGATAGTCGCTCACGTCAAGATGCTCAGCAGCTGAAGTTTCCGAGAGTGAGTAAAATGCAGGCTTGAAGGCGGTGAAATTTGTGGGAAACTTTCCATGCTCAACAAAATGCACAAGATCATCATGACAAAAATGTGCGCGAGGTTCGACCTGCGGAGGTAATTCAACTTCCCGTTCCCTCTCTGTCTCGGGAGAAAGTTCTCTCTCTTGTTCTTCCTGAAGAGAGGAGCTGTGAAATTCCTTTAACCCAAATTCTTGACAACGGTTCTCGAATTCAACCCTCATCTCTGGACCGGCGCGTTGGACCAGTTGGGACGATTTCAATGCAGATCGTGGACGATATCGGACTTCGAGACTCTGAGCTTCAGCCTCGAGGAACTTCTTAGCCCAAACCGTGTGGTCGTAGGAGCTATCAAGCAGAGTGCTCTGTTCCCATAGAGCATCCTGCTCGTAGAATCGAACGCCTTGAGTCAGCCACAAGGGGACAGTTCGTCTTAGATCCAGCCAAGTCTCAGAGATGGTCCAACAGAGCACATCTGATACCGTGATTTTTCCCGGGCTTGACGACTCAGGATCTTGCCGCATCAAGATCTTCTGTTCAATTTCTCGGGGAATGCAGAAGACTACTGACTGCCCTTTCCCGAGTTTCCGCATCCTCATACAAGCTAGTACATGCGTTAGCAAATGTTCCACTCAATGCCACCTCACTATTATCGTAATACCTTGCACGAGCTTATCCTTTGTCAAGTTTGCGCCCAATGTTACCGCCGCCTGGTAGTCAGAAGGGAGGCGGAGATCTGTGCCCCTCGTATGGGCTTCGTCGAGAAACACCAGGCACTGATCCAGCTGTGAAGCAAACGGTGATAATTGAAGAGGCTCAACTTTGCCCGATTTATCGATCACCGTCAGCTCGTCAGCGTCATTGAAGAAGACAACAGCTTGAACGGAGATCTTGTCTTTGATGCTGTCGAGCCACTTTCGGGCAAACTGCAGGTTATCCAGTTCAATAATCTGCGCGCCAACGTCGAGGATCACTCGGGTTCTCGGTCCCATTTCAGACACCATCTCCAGAAGTGAGTCGGACCCCAGAGCAAACCCTCTCGACGTCTCCGACATCAGCCTGATCCCATTTTCAGGTCTAAGCAGATATTCCAGCACCAAGGCATTCGTGTGGTTTTGTGCTGGAATATCGAGTTGTTTGATAGCCAAAGGGAGCACATATCTTGAGTCATTGGTGCCACTGAATCCAGTTGTCGAGTTGGCTTTCTTCTTGGCCAGGTCCCAGCCAGAGGCAGACAACTTGTGGGGAAATTCTCTAGACTCTTTTGCAAACACAATGCGCGAAAGGAAATAGTCGATGGCGCCTTTGGAGTAGCGAAGCATTGGGAAGATGCTTCCGATACATTGCGCGCGATCACGTATATTGACACCAGTCAAATGTTGAAATGCGCGAGGCAATTGCGGCGCCGTGCGGACCCAAGCACTGTATTCGAGATCAGCGTTGTCAGATCTGATGAGATGATCGAGCGTCTCAAAAAGGTCTTGATCTTTAAGGCCGCTGTAATAGTAGCTGAGGCATGTGAGCAGTATGACGACGTCTGGCTGGCTGAATTCCGACCGTGGCGTGGGATTATCTTTGGCTCGAAATGGCACGGCCAGCCGGGTTTTCGTCTCACGATTAGCGTCCGTCCCATAGTCGACTCTCCACCGTTTCTGGCCGAAAGCAAAGGCCAAAATGCCGCCTGCAAAGAGGCCTCGGAGAAGAAGGATGTAGTGTCTTGTACTCTCCCCCCAGTATGCACTTTCTTCAACGGCACTGATTTCCTGTGGCGTAGGGCTGCTGTAAGTGATATACCGATATACGGCATCTCTTACGTGCTTGGGCTGCCGTGCAATAGAGAGTCCAGTGATCCCAGTGCAGCAAATGGAGTGAGCGAGACGACTGAGTACGGCCAGCTCCGCATCAGAACGCAGGATTCGTATCCTCGGAAATCTCCCCAGATACTGGTCACCAATTTCCAGCGACTCCGAGAAGGAATCCTTCTTCAACTCTAGGCAGACTGCAGCGAATCTGTCAAGTACCTCTTGAATCACCACCCAGCGGTCCGGAGTGTGTTCAATACTCTGCTGCAGCCCAATGGTGTAAATAAGCTCAAACTTGACGTTGAAGTTCTCATCGCTTTCGTCGACTATATCTCTTGAGGAGTGGTCAAACAGCTTTTGGGCGTTGAGCATACAGCGGCCGACTGCCTCCTTCCCGTCAATTAGGCATTCTAGCCCCATGAGCTGAAAAGAAAGTAGATGTTCTGGTTGAACTAACATGACTCCGCCCTCTCTCATAGATCGACGAGCCAATTCTTCGACCATGGCAGCTCTACCTGGATCCATGCGAATGGCTCGAGAAAACGGCATTCGAAAAATGGGGCGGTCTATCAAGCCCGAAAGCTTGGATACGAGCATTTGGTGCATCTGCTTCGCCTGCGGCTTGGCAACTACGATGCGAACGATTCGCGAACCGTTGCTGAGCGCAGTTGCGACCATAGGGACAATAACAGAAGACTTTCCTTCACCCATGTTGAGCTGCATTACGGCATTCTCGTCGTTATCCGGCGATATCATCCGCTCGGCAATTTGATGTTGCACATGCCGGATCATGATGCCGCTCTCGCACTCCAACAATAGCCACTCAGGAAATTGATGCGGGTCCCAACTATGCCCTGGATTTTGTACTTCGCGGAGGAGGTCGACGTCTTTGCCAATCAGTTGCACTAATCTCTGCGCTTGCTGAAGGGCGGTGATCGCAACTCCATACGCAACAATAGCCTTCTTCCATGCTTCGGAAAGCGACGGCCATCGACGCCGACCAAGCTGTTGAAGGAAGAATGTTGGAGAGAGCCTCGGCCAGAAACCAGCGATTCGAGCGGTTTCCTCCATCTTATTCCTTTTATCCTGCTTCTGCAAGACTGCCCCTAACAAGGCATCGTATATGCCTTGGACGTGTATATCACATTGACCCAAATGCGATTGAAACGTTGCTGCTCGCATAGACATACAGTTTTCGTTTAACATCATCTCCCGGCAGGTCCCAAGATCCGTGAGACTACGCGCCAGTTCCGAAAGATATCGTCGTTCAAAGTCAAATTTTGCCTGCCGTTTTAGATACTTCAGCATCTCCGACAGCTTGTGGTCTCCCATATCGTCAGTAGCCGTGGTAGATAGAGTAGCCAAATCCAAGGACGATTTTGTGTTTGGAATGATGGGTGGAGGCCTAGCGAACAGGTCATCGACGGATACATATCCACGAGGGCGACCAGCTGGGCCTGGGTAACACAAGGACAGCCGGCGTGACATATCCACGTTTCCAACCTGGTAGTGACTTAATCGGCTACCAAACTCTTGCAGATAACCTCTGAATTTGTAGTTATCATGCCATACCTGCCATTGTGCTCGCACCTTGACCATTGCGTCCGATACATTGATGTAGGTATGATGTAGATGGTTCTGCGGTTGTACTGGCATTGAGCAAGGCCACTGGTCAACGAGATCATCCACAAACGAACTTATGAATTCTCTCTGGTTAGAGTCAAAGGTCGCTCTCTGCCGACGCGCCGTGTCAATCGGAGATTCGCCTCGGTAGGGAGTTATGGCCTCTTCCGGGCATCCGGCATGGAAATCTTTCGAAGCGTGTTCAAGGATGCTCCGCAGTGTTTGGATTTTGCATTCATAGCCTTCTTTAAGGTGGTATAAGGACTCCTCGGGTAAAGGCGTTGCCGGTAGGTGCTCGGTGAGTGAAAGCATCAATAGGCTTTGGAGGACATCGCCGTCGCACTTGGTTGAATAAGCCAATGTGGTAAGCCATATCATAGCTTGATACTTATTCAACCACCCTCTGTCAGTCTGAAATGCAAAGTGTAACCTGCACCAGAATTTGTACAGAAACTCCAGCGGGTCTTGGAGCCATCGACTCCCGTATTCCATCTCCAACAAAGAAGGAACAATCCTAGTAGCGGGCGTTCCATCTTTGTGTGAAAGGAGTTGGTAAATTGAGTTAACAAAAGCATCATTAGCAGGGTGGTGCTCGAGCTTGGCGACGGCATCATGGACCTTTCGTGCGATTTGACCCGCAAGAGCCACGCGAGATGACGTCCCTCGATCTCTCGATTGATACTGAATCCCCTGAATGGTTCCATAATCTTCAGCGCCACAAAGAGAAACCTGATAGCGTGAGCACGCGTATATTTCCCGTTCAATGAGGAAATCGTCAATATCCCTCCGCGTAGTGATGCCAGACAGCTTGGGTGCATTCGGCGGATGCAGGAAGCTCAAGGCTGACACCGTCTCCAGATTGCCGCTAACAATTTTGTAGAACCGTGAATCTTGGGCCAGGAAACTCAAATCAGGATGCCAAATAACTGTCTGCATGGACCTGAGATGCTCAGGATAGAACTTCCGACTGGGCGTTAAAGCAGCAATGCCGCAGAGTATCTTAATGCTGTCTTCGGTAAGGTAGTCAATGGACCGAATCGACGCAGACTGCAGGATTGCTAGAGCCTCTTCTGTTCCAGTCCGACTCAGGAAGGGATCAGGAACACAATACGAAGTAAGCGCGTGTATATAAGCCAGGAATAGCTTGCTGTGGACAGTGGCATTGTCAACCAGGCGTCGGAGTTGGCTGTCAATTGTATACTGCAGCACACGATGAGCCGTGCCGTATTCCACACGCGCCCTTATATGCCCAGTGGAGCAATCTCGGCCGAAGCTGATATCCCCTTCAGGGATTATAGCCATTCGGTCGCCGGTCATTTGGGAGTCTTGCAATATGAGCTTGCTCTTAAATCCAACCAATGTCTCCATAGACTGGTCTGCATCAATTTGCTTTCCCCGGAACTGCCGTGATCGGATGACCGACTCGCCGTGCTTCAGGCTGAACTCGAGCTGCAGTCTCGGAATCTCGATTACAGAAGTCTTGTCGTCTGCGTTGAATAAGATATGCAGGTTCAGAAGAGAGTCAAGCGGGGAAAAGATCGTCGCTAAAAGAGCTGCAGATTCACTGTTCGGGGCAACGAGTGATGTGCTCTCACGGCGAGTGAGCTTCCAGTGGCCACCATACTGTGTCATTGTCCAGTTATCCAGACTGCGCTTCCATGGATCTTTCATCGGACAGAACTCTATGCTTTTTGTAGCATGGTTGTACCAATGGACATAGCCTCTTGCAAACGCGTGCGGCATTGACTGTTTAAATATTCGAGACGGGACAAGATCCAAAGTGGGAAGACACATCGTTGCATCTTCCAGACGAATCAACAGATCATCTTCGTCTGCCGAAGTATCTTCCACCATACCAAAATGAACAGCGTAGCCGTCAAAGGTCTTGCAGCCGCGGAAGCGCATTCCTTGAGCAGTACTTGGCATAACTTCAAGAACAAAGCGTCCAAACACCCTTTCAAAATCATGATGGGCCTCATACTCTCGAGGCAAACGAGATAAGGGACTTCCATCGATCAAAAGCGACCCACTGAGGATGTTGAAGTGAACTTTTCTGCCATTAGTCACTGTCTCAAGCCAACTGCAAGTGGAAGAAACGAGGTGCCAATCCGTGTCGCGGCGAAAATCTGGCCAATATCGGCTGATGCTGATATCGAGACAAGAGTTGCTATTCAGGAGGACCTCTTTCACAAGTATCCGGCGTGCGCGGTGCAATGTGAACACCCATCGGTCGTGCATTGTCTCATCAAGGGTTTCTCTCTCTCGCTCTTTGTGTAAAAGCCCAATGTTGTTAAAGATGTTGATAGATGCTTCTAGTAATACGGCCGCCTGCGTGGGATTGGGCAGGGTCTTAGACAGAGAGTCATTATCCAGATTGAATGTGTCGGCACATATGAGAGAAACTCGAAAGGCAATTTGAAGGAATTGAATCCTTTGGTCTTCATCTTTAGTCTCATGGGCTCTGGCCTGCAGCTTCTCCAGCCACCGAAGAGTAATTACCCTGCACTCAGTCAAGAGGCCAAGAGCTTCCTCTTTCAGACTTTGCGTAGTCGTCATCGTCACAAGACGAGCTGTGAGAAAGACAAAGACCCACAGGGAAATGTTCGACTGCCAATTTTCTCTGACGCGTGAAACGCAACCGTGAAGGCGCTCTAGTAGTTCGCGGCCAAATTTTGTATCCGACAGCCGTGTGTGCGCGTACCTTCTAATTGTAGCAGCGTCCATTGGGCCAACCTGAAGGCTAAGCTGGAGGAAGAAGATTGCCGTCTCAGGTTTGTTGAAATCAACCTCGGGCATTGCGAGCTGAGTAAGTACGCTCATCCAATGGATATGATACCCATATCGGACCGTGGCTAAAGCTTTGAACTCTCCCAAGGTCATATGGTCCGGACAAAGAGCTTGAGATGCTATCACGGCATTTGGAGTCTCCCCAGCTGGATTGTCATGCGTGTGGATGAGAAATCTGCTCATCTGCACGGACTTCGAGCTCAGTTGGAATGTACAGAGCTCGGGTAGCCGGACCGTTGTGGCGAAGCGGGCAAGGAAACTCTGCCTATGATTGTCGAAATATCGGAGTTGGAGTCCATTATTGACACAAACATCTGCTTCCGAACTGGTGGAAATATCTCTCTTTCCTCGGTGAGTGTTGACATGGGGCTTTGTGTTGGACAGAAGATGCACCCGCAAGGTGGGTTTTGTCTGGAAGAAGCTTGAAAGAGCAGAGTAAGACCGTAGAGGATAAGATGTTTCCGACCCTTCAGTGAATTGAGACTTGCTTAGAAGCAGGTCATCAATAATGAAAACTGTTGCATCACGCCATTCGCCAAAGTTCCTGGGAAGGGCCAGTTCAAAAACTGTTGCCTGAGCTTCCAGTGGTTTGCTTGAGAGTGGCCACTCGTGCACTTGTATCCGAAGTTTCACGGCTTCTGTGTGAAGCTGGCATCTTGAGCAATCTGGATGGTGTTCGGAATATGAGTATCCGTGCTCCCAGCGCAGTCTTGTTTCGCACGTCCCTTGATTGTACTGTTCCATCAACTGTGTATATTCGGCGTGAAGCTTTCGAAATTCTTCGCGCTTAGAATCCCTTTCCTTATGCGCCCACAATTCAATACGCCTCAAAAGGTCTTGATGGAGCGGAGAACGCGTAAAGTATTCCACAGGGAAAGACCCCGGTAACCCATAAGAGACCATGATTGATGGTCTACGATGTGGTCGTGCATCATCTCGTCGATGTTGGAGATAAGTCTCGGCACGATGCAGTCTCTCCATATCTTCTCGAAAGCCAAGCAATAGCGCCTGCAATACTTCGACGGGAATCTCATGCTCGTATTCTTTCAGTAGTGGAAGCGTATGTGTGGCAACTGTATCAGCTGCAATCCAAAGCTCGAGGCAGACGAGAACCATTCTGGATGTCCCTTCCGGTCGACCGTTGTACCAATGTTTCGCCAATCCATGATAGCAAGACATCAGATTGCAGATGCTGGGACAAGATGAGTTGTCATGAAGATGAGTCTTGAGCCACCCGTCGAGGTTTTCGGCCACCCACAATTCGACCATGGCGAGAACAAATGGGATTGCTTTTTCATCCGGGTCCGTTGGAATAGTCGGCATGTTTTCGTCACAATTGAAAACATCTGATGCTGGACAGAAAGATGACACCTTGCTAAGGGCATCGCGCTTCGATATAGAAGATATGAAGTCATCTAATCCCTGGGGATTGATGCACAAATCTTGGGCCATATTCAGCGTAGAGAGAGCCTTCAAGTTGAGCGTTGGCTGAGATAAGTCGCGGATCAATTGCCATCGCTCATCCATCAGATGGGAGGCTGAAGATACCGAATTATGGACTGTCGATAGCCATCTGCCGGTAGCTGGCTGCTGCAGCTTCAGGAGTCTCCGAGACACTTTAGCGGACATCATCTTGAGAGTCTCGCTGGCAGAGCCCAGGTGCGTCGCATCTCTGAGCACGCGGCTGAGAAGGAAAATCATGAAGGACTTGTAGATTTCACCTGAGCCGATAGACATGCGATTCATGGTTAGGTGAAGAGAACAGCGAACAAGGAGCCAGACAGGAGATCGTCTCCAGGGAAGCTTGCTTTGGTCCCACATGACTTCTTCCCTAGTATTCTTACTTACTCCAGGGACGGCGGTCGGATGCCCTAATCCTCGAAGGAAGCTGCTCAACAACTCCGTGACAATTCGCGGGTGGTTGGTTTCCCGTCCTTCATCATGATCTTGGTCCGCCTTTCTTGCCTTTGGAATACTCTCCTGCACTGCCTCATAACTCATCTTTGTCATGGTTTTGGCTAGGACTTCCTGGAAGGACTCATTGGTGAATGTATCGAGAGGAACGCTAATCGCAGTGGCCGGAAAGTGGCGAATGAGACGTCCTTTCGTTGCATAGACAGCTTGGTTGGTGGGAGACAGCTCAAACAGCTCGAATATTGCCACATCTCTGTCGCGTCGAAATAATACTCCCGCATTCTGCATCCTGATGTGCAACGGTACAGCAGTGTCTGGTACTCATGTAGAGTCCCTCAGTCAGTACTGCCAACATCGCAAACCTAGAGGAGAAAGAGAACTGACCAGACGAAAGAATATTTCTGAGAGTATCTCGCAATACAACTTCTCTGAGGAAACCCTCGTCATCTCTTCCAGCTTTCATATTCTCCATCATTGACATTGCGGCCCTGATAGCTCTATGGCAGCTGAGCTCTGTTTCTTGTAGGTACTCTGACAGGCTCTTAAGTACATAGTCGATCAAATCGGCCTCGTGGGTAACAGACGTATCATCTCCGCCAGGTAGTTTGGGAGGCAAGAACATGTGGTGAAAAAGGTACTCGAGCGTGGGTGCGCTCAGCACATTGGATGACCCTGTGGGCATTGCTACCGTAAGGTATTGACAATATGCAGACAAAGTTTCCTATGGCTTCTGAATGCGTTGTAGACGTAGATGAGATCTAAGTGCGCCAAGAAGACGAGGTTAGGGAAAATCTGTTCAAGGACACCTAACAGCCAGATATAAGTCAAATCCAGCTGCTCTGCTGTCAAGGTACGACGCTTTTCTTTTTCTTTCGTCACCTGGTGGTAAAGGTTGGCCTGATGTGGGAGGCCGACGGCCAGGCTGAATTCACGGTCAGGCGCAAGATGACGATTCAATCTACCTTATCTGTGGGTATGCAGCCGTACTTGTTGGGTTTGACGGCCCAACACATGTTTCTCAGAAACTTTACGGCTTGTGGATGCCAATCATTCATTTCTCTGTAACCATACAATAGGACAGCTAACATCCGAGCAATTGCACAGCCTTGCAATGCCTCATCCAGCCTGTATATCTCAGCCAATAGAATTTTCCTTTCAGATCATGACAGGAATACGTAGGCTTGTCACGACCCAACACTTTTGGTCGCGACAATGGGCCAACAGGCCAGGCGAGACAACTAGTAGATAAACATTAGTCCTCTGGACGAGGTAAATGAGACGAAAAGAGGTACAAATGCAGACCTTATGTAGAAGCCAAGATGGATACCCTGATTTAGCCTTCCATGATGCCTTGGCGCTGGGGAGGCTCGGCCTACGTACCTCTAGATTGTGTTTGTTATTGCCCGCGCACAAGGTGCAATCCGCCGTGCAAAAATGCACAGAACCGCGCGTCGCACTTCTCTTTTCCGTTCCTCACCGCCACCGTGTCTGCTCTGATACTTATTACCTAGTACTACGTTAAAGGCAAAGGAATGTCGCGTCCACCAGCTTTAAGGTACCTAGGCCAGCACTCCGCTGTACCACCCGTCATATAATGAGCAATTACCCTGAGGTACGAAAATCATGTCACACATCTCAATTTTTGAACTGGCGATAGGCAGCTTGGTTCGATGTCTTCTGCTCAGGTATATAACACCACAGGCCGATCGCTACCTCGAGATTGAAAGTATGGCCAATAGGTATGCCAAGCCTATGGTACTTACAATTTCTGTGCTTGTACTTTGTGTAGGCGGAGGGGCATTGATTTTGCCACGACGTTTTGTCCTCGTTTATTGTTAGATTGGAGTTAGGTGAAAATTGGTAATAAACAGGTGTTCTAGATATATATGTATACTGGCTGGTGTGCTCCCTCTTCGTGAAACATTTATTAGACTTGTACGTTAGTTAAAAGGATCTAGAGCAAGGTCATTGAGCCAGTGGTTTGAATCCTCCGTACCTTACGGAGTACCTACCTTGCCTGATGTTTCCAGGTTGGTTGTTTAAGTAAGCGATGTCTTACATCAAAGCGCTATAAGATGAGCTGCCTAACCCCACTCGCTCAACCGTTTTTTCCCCAATTCCACCATCATCAGTGATTACCATGGCCAGACTATATGCCATTTCTGATTTGCACCTTGCGTACCCTTTGAATGCGTCGGCATGGAACCTCCTGCAGCCCAAACCTCCTGGCGCAGGCCTTATTCTCGCAGGCGACATTGGCGAGTCAGCCACACACCTGATTAATGCCTTTGAGCGGGCCAAAGCCTGTTTTACGCATGTCTTCTGGGTCCCGGGCAACCATGAGCTCTATAGCGTCTCACCTTCGATGGCCAAGCATCCAGCTGATCGCCTTCGAGGGGAAGCGAAATATAATGCCCTGGTGGAACTGGCGCGCCAGCATGGTGTCCTGACACCCGAAGATGATTGGATGCTATGGAGACGGCCGGACGGTGTTGATGTGGTGATTGCCCTCATTTTTACACTATATGATTATTCGTTTCGGCCGGCAGACATATCTCGAGAGCAGGCACTTGAGTGGGCGATGGAGGAGAACGTGTGGGCTACCGACGAGGCCCTGTTGCACCCGGATCCATATAGCTCAAGGGACGAGTGGTGTACACAACTGTGCGACAGATGGGAGCTCAAGTTTGCCGAATACGCTAGGCGATACCCAAACTTGAAGTTTGTGATTGTAAATCACTGGCCGCTGCGGGAAGATCTGATCTACATTCCAAAGATTCCGCGCTTCACTCTGTGGTGTGGAACCAAGAGGACTCGGGATTGGGCAGAGAGCGGACATTTCGGAGCGGACTATGGAGGGGCCGAGGTGGTTGTGACTGGACATCTGCATGTCAGGCGAACTGATGTCAAAGAAGGTGTGAGGTACGAAGAGGTCAGTCTGGGGTATCCACGGCACTGGGAAAAGGCGCGGGACGCCGACAAAGGGGCCAATGAGCTGTTGAGAGAAATTCTGCCCGGGAATGGATGGGTGGAAGAGGGTCAGCGGATGTGGCGCCCACAAGGATAGCAAACCATACGCGGCCGGCGCGTGGAGAGAGACAGCATATTGGATTAGTATATCGACGTATCGGATTATCTGACTTGTCGCGTAGATTCAAAGTCGATTACCCTATCTTCTCTGGTGGATATGTTCCTCAAGAGTGCATCATGCCGGGCTCTTGGCCTACCTGGAGACGTCTACTTCTGCGTACTCAGCTGTATATACTGGTCTGAGACCATGTTCTTAGGGCCTGTTTACAAGACTCTCTGGACCATTGCTCGGTCATATCTCAGAACATTGGCAAACGTTACAGCACCAATTGCTCACAATACACTCTTGATAAACAAAGTGAGGTACTGATTATCATTCAATGTCAGTGAGCGTTGTCTTGCGCCTGTGATCTTCTACGGAATGCGGTTTCATGTCATTCGAAGGACTCCTCATGAAGCATGGATTATTGTCCTTTGCATGCACTTGAATTTCTTCACTGCATGCTAACATAGAACTAGTATCCATATACTTCGGGCCAGAGACTTTGCTCGCCAACCTACCTACTTGCGGGTGTAGACTCACGGAGCGTGGTTCACTACTGGAAGTCTACATGATTGCGCGAAATTTGAGACGGCAAGGCGTACAATTATTAGTGACTTTGGGGGGAACCTATAGGTGCAAGCCGCAAATTCGTGGATGACATGCTTCAAGTCATTTTCAAGCACTTATATATATCCGTGTTAGACCACGAGTTGCAAGTAGTCTCTCCTTAGGCATCACCGCCACTGATTTCTTGCCTGGGAAGATAGAGAGCGTTATATCAGATCGACATATCGAAACATGAGTTATTTCACAAGCTAGTATTCGAATAGCATGCTCCAATTTGCCCTGAAACAGACAGCTCACACGACCTTCATTGTAGCTGGCGCCGGCCTGGAAATCCAAAAGCGGAAGGCAACTGCACAAGCCAGGTGACTAAACCTTCGGCCAGTCATTCTGAGACAGATATTTGCAAGGGTAAGGATACATGTGATCACATGACCAAATGGGCACGAACACGCAGGAAAAGTGCTTTGTACGAGTGTACGTAGGAACCGAAGCAAGACTCCTTACACCTCGCCCTATCCAGGCTCACAGACCTCAACTAGCTAGTATCATATTGAGCCCATTTCTTTTACTGATGTTACATCGGCTGGGCCAAGACATGTAACGCTTGTACGGAGCATTTGTCGGTGCTTTCTGGACTGCCTACTCTCTACTGCAACGTACGCGGTACTCCATGCTCTGCATTTAATTTCAGAGTAAGTGGGGTCTCCACCGGCTGTTATCTTCCCTTACGTGCGAACTTCCTACTTCAGCCATTCGACGAGCTCGGATTTATCATTCACTTGAAGGCATTCATATATCCTCCGGAGATCCTACGTTACTTTCAGCTACATGAGTAGGTTTCTGCTTTACTTTCCCATACTTATAGGCCTTGGTGGAGTATACGGTAGATGCTACTACGTGGGGGGAGGGGGAAGAAGACAGAATTGCGACCCGGAAAGATGTATTTAGCATATTGTAAAGGGAGATAGCTTGATGAACTTCTCCAGCTCTATAAGGAGATGTATACGTAGTAGACGCAACGTCAACGCTTCATCGTCGTGATATAATGTTTCTGGAGGACGCAGCATGACATCGCCCGAATGACCCATCAGAGTCAAATGTACGTTAATGGAATGAACAAGGGACACCTGGTAGTGAAAGAATACTACCTTCTCAATTAATACCACATACTGAACTGTGCGCAGATGTCCGCCTCTTACGAGCTATAAAGTCTGTCGGCTCGTCGCGAATTCAGATGGGCAAAGACTTTGCTTAGGTGACAAGGACTTCACTCCAATTACTGAATCAATTCGATTCTTACAACATACCCGATTCACTTAATTCTAGCAGTTCACAATGACACGCCTTCTCGACGCAAGCTTTGTGCTTCTGCCCGCCATCGCATCAGCGCTGTTCGGGACTGCTGCTGCGCAAAATGCGACTTGCGCGACTAAGGGAAAGCCAGCAGGCAAGGTCCTTCAGGGATATTGGGAAAACTGGGATGGAGCAAGCAACGGTGTTCATCCTCCATTTGGTTGGACGCCCATCGAAAACCCTGTGATTTTACAAAACGGCTACAACGTGATCAATGCCGCATTCCCAGTTATTCTTTCAGATGGAACAGCACTATGGGAGGACGGCATGGACGCTACTGTGAAAGTCGCAACGCCAGCTGAAATGTGTCAGGCAAAGGCAGCTGGCGCTACGATCCTTATGTCGATCGGAGGAGCGACGGCTGCCATCGACCTGAGCTCCAGTACCGTCGCCGATAAGTTTATCTCGACCATCGTCCCGATCCTGAAGCAGTACAACTTTGACGGCATCGACATTGATATTGAAACCGGCTTGGTCGGCAGCGGCAGCGTCGGAACCTTGTCCACCTCTCAGGCAAATTTGATCCGGATTATCGACGGAATTCTTGCGCAGATGCCTTCCAACTTTGGCTTGACAATGGCGCCAGAGACGGCATATGTGACCGGTGGCGGCATCACATACGGTTCCATTTGGGGCTCTTATCTCCCTATCATTCAGAAATACGTCGACAATGGCCGCCTGTGGTGGCTGAATATGCAATATTACAACGGCGACATGTACGGATGTGCCGGTGACTCATACGCGGCTGGCACAGTCGAGGGCTTCATTGCTCAAACAGACTGCTTGAACAACGGCCTGGTAATCCAAGGAACTACCTTCAAGGTTCCCTACGACATGCAAGTTCCTGGTTTGCCTGCTCAGTCTGGTGCTGGCGGCGGTTATATGACTCCAGACTTGGTAGGCCAGGCTTGGGATCACTATAACGGCGCTCTGAAGGGCCTGATGACGTGGTCTATTAACTGGGACGGTTCGAAGAACTGGACTTTCAGCGATAACTTGAACGGCAGGATCTAAGGGAGGTTTGAAACGCGAAGATGGCCGGTGCGGATGCCGATGAGTTCGTGAGAGACATTGGCTCTACCCTAAATGCAGCAGCGTGCTTAACGCTGAACTGTTGAGAGACAGAGACGGGGTGCTCTGGAAGTATACTCAGCCACCAGTTTGGCGAGTAAGAGCTAAAGGAAGGACGTCTGACGATGTAGTTCTGATTGTATATAATTTGGGTGTATAGTCTCAGTATATAGATATGACTTCATGAGCACATGATTTTGAAGGACATCGCGCAGCGACTATTGCTTGACCGAGATCTCATATTAGTAGGATAATCAATCTATAGAATACCGTTTTCCGATTCGTGGAGCATTCAAATGTCATGTTCAATGCAATCTCGAATTACAAGTAGAGAGGCTCGCTATACCCTTTTTTTCTGTACAAACGCAGGCTGCCGTTTTCAGCCTTCTGCAACCCTATACTATCATATACACAATATCTTCCAACACAGTGAGTCACGGATTTTGGTGCTTTTCTTTGAAGCACGACATCACTGGTGCCGGAAGATCTGTCTCTGAAACAGCATGGCACCGACTAATGTTGGAGAGAAAGTAATTGGTTGGCACGGCTTTCAGTTTGCTGTGGAATTATGGCCTGCTTAGCATGACCTTAAATCTATCTATAGCACTTTATTCGCGTACCATTGCTGGCCTACCTGCGAATTAGTCGACGAGTCCCTTTCTACGAGAGATTGTTTGATATGTATATTGGGGGAAATTGCCGTAGTTGAAAAGTCGCCTGAGTAGCAGCTTACTTGATGGAAAGCCAAACAACTGGAAGTCGGCCTCATGTCCGGCTCTCTTCCCTCCCTAACATTTCTTCGCGGATAGTCGATAAGTCTATCAACCAGGTGCGAATGAACTGCTGCCCCTGACCCAAAGGAGGCCTGAGAGTGCTTTAAAGGTAGATGTCCTTTGATGTAGTTGGTAAAGAGCAGTTTCGCACTTCCTCTTCCTGCTCAGGTAAAAGAAGCACACGAAGATCGTGATGGCGGTTTGCGCTGTTGGAATTTAACACCGCAAGGCATGATTCCCGTTTATTTCGAGATGCAGCCTGTATTGATATAGCAGTGCTCATGTGATTACCCAAGGGAAGAACTCCTACTAGGCAGCACAGCCGATATATGTGCTAGTGACGCTGCAACCCCTCATTTTCGTTAAATACCCTATGGAAAGATGCCATGGTCCCCACATACTGAAGGTATAAAAGGCCCGTCTCCCGTGCTTCCTCCGCTGCCCCTTTTCTGCGTCTCTGCTCGTTGATAGAGTTGAGCCATTATAGCGAGAGAGGCCCACAAGGTGAACATGGCTAATAACAGCGCGAGTACCATCTATGTGATCACAGGTGGGAATAGGGGTCTCGGCCTCGGGCTTGTCAAATCGCTTCTTGCCCGTACCAACACTACAGTTATTGCAACTGTTCGCAACGATGAAGCAGCTTCGACGCTTCAAGAAGAGACAGCGACGGACCATAAGGGACCGGGTAGCATTCTACTCATTGCACAGTTGGACTTCTCAGCCGTCAGCTCTCCTGTTACAATTCGAGATGCGTTCAAGTTCGACATAGACCACGTTGATGTTCTCATCAATAATGCTGGGGGCACATTCCCTATGGTCCCGGCGGCGGAGACCACAGCACGCGATCTCCGTGCTGCTTTCGAAGTCAATACAATAGCCCCCTTGCTTGTCTTCCAAGCACTATGGCCACTCTTGAAGAAGTCTCAGGCGCCGAAGCTCATCATGATGACATCGTCTGTTGGTAGCATTGGAGAGATGGAACCGGTCCCTGGCGGTGCATATGGTCCAAGCAAGGCCGCTCAAAACTGGCTCACTAGGGCCCTGCATCTTGAGACCAAGAACAGCGGTCTCGTTACAATTGCTCTTCATCCGGGCTGGGTGCAGACACGTGCGGGCCAATTCGTCGCAGATCAGTGGGGATTTCCTTCTGGCCCTCCAGATACGATCGAGTCGAGTGTCGAAGCAATACTGAAGATTATTGATGAGGCATCTGAGGAGACATCAGGAAAGTTCATCACTCAGCAGGGTCAGATATTGAGATGGTAAAGTCACTAATTTATAAAGATCCATTATGTACTCATGGAAGCATCTCAAACACAGGAGTAATATGAGCAAACTTGTACGCAGATATAATGCCAGGCTTCTATTGGTACCTCTCGTCTCTATCCATGTCTCTCGTGACTTGAAAATTTGTAACTACATGTTATTCTATGAAAGTCTTTGCACAGAAATGTAAATTGCTTATTCTATAACTTTAGTTACTCGCGGCTATTGAAAACACGAGAGCTACTAGGGGTGGCATTCGTGGACGCCCATAGGGCTGCCACGATTTGGTTCTCCTTGATTACATTTTGCAGTATGCCTCATTGCACTACTCCGTTGGCCTTATAAAAGAAACTCGACTATCCCTGGCCTTTGATCATCCATCTCTGGACCGACAGTCTCCGTATGCAAGGCAGCCAACCTTCTCTCGTTCATCAAGCCGATGTTTACATGTGGGCCTTTAAATGTGCCCCTTTTTGTGCTGAACCATAACAACACAACAAACGAAGCCAAGCCCACGAACACAACCGATACATAATTCATATTTTCGGCAGTCACAGGCATAGACGTTGGAAAGCATACCAGCACGTCTAGAAATATTGTCCATGAAACCGCGACAGCGTTCACAATAGTACCGAACCTCCCGAGATCAAAATATCGGTTTGGCAGAACGTGGTCGCGACCACGGTAAAGAAGTATGGCTTGTGGAATGACACAGGATGTTTGCGTGAACATGATTGTGGCACTGACCATAGCGGAGAAGGCTGTGGTCGAGCCCAAGAATATCAATCCATATAGCTAGGTGGTGAACGGTCAGTCACTACTATGATCTCTAGGTGCTATAGGTTGTTAAATACCGAAACGCAAGATGCAGTGAGGACCATGGCATTTGCGGGCATATGAAACTTGGAATGCACCCGCATCCATATGGTGGAGAAGGGCAAGGCACCATCACGAGAAACGGCCCACAGCGTACGAGAACAGGTTGTGCCTATACTCCGTTTAGCATTTTGTCAATGGCTTATACGTGTGATTTAACACAATACTTACCAACCCCCACCAAACACCCAAAGAGGCAAAAGGCAAAAGCAGCTAGCAAAACTGAAGCGGCGGCGTACGATCCTGTCCCTTGATAGTATATCTCGATCAGTGGCAGACCAGTTATCTTTTCGAGCACGGCATTGACGTCTGAGATTGAGTATATGAGAGAAATGGTGAACGGAAGTGCGGTGAGTAGACCCACGACCAGCGGGTAGAGTATTGCTTTTGGTACATTCCGGGACGGGTTCGCAATCTCTTCGCAAAGATGCGCTCCGCAGTCGCTTCCAAGGAACCCGTAAACAGAGTTGCTGATGGCTAGCAGAAATGAGAATCCTTGGCTTGGCCATCCGCTTTGACTGAGGGTATCGGTAAATATAAACGATGCCGTGGCATGATGGTGCCTTGCAACGATGAATAGGGTCATTGTAGTAGCCGCAAGTGTAGCGACGGACAAGAGAAAGATGAACTGGTTGAAATGGGGTAGCCATCTGGAACCCAGAATGTTCAGGGCTGCGGCAAGCCATATGAGAGCGATGTATATGAGGTACTGCTGCCAATGTTGTGGCTGAAAGTTCGGATACCAAACTGTGACGATTTCCAAGATCATGGAAGAGTTGAAGTTGGCAACAGAACCTGATGCCAGCCACCATCCGACTATACTCATCCATCCATTGCTTAGAACCTCGCTTGTTAGCATGTCAACTCGTGCAGTTCAAGAAGCAGTGCGCTTTGACTTACACGAAAGACCCAAATGCTTTGTATTTGTCGCTTGCAATCATAAACGTCCAGTAATACTGAGCGCCTGCGACGGGATACGCAGATGCCAGCTCTGCCATGCCAGCAGAGACAATTAGTGTCATGACCCCAGCAATTGGGAGAGCCCATAGTGCTCCGGCGGCTGAGGCCTCAGCCAGTCCGATCCCGATCGATGAGCCCGTTCCCAGCCAAGTACAAGTGAGAGTAAATGATAGGGCTCCGAGCGACCACGGTGAAAATTGTCGGGGCATCTGTTGCGAATAACCCGCAGCTTCGAGCTCTAGATCGTCAATGCCCACGGCATGATCGGGGTCTTTCCTCTTCCACATGTTGACGAGGAAGAAAGATACTGAGCACAGGGTTAGGAGCTTAGGCAGAGTCAATTTACTGCTTGGGAACAGCCAATTCATGAACATAGGTATTATTGAGATGCCATCTGGCATGCAGAAGCAGGGAACACGGTACTAATAGACCTACACAGATTCTGAAAGGGCAGCCAGCATGGTTGGCTCGTCCAACCGCCCCCCCCCCCCCCTGCGCGCCGGCACATGCAGCTGCTTCATACAATCGCCTGCTCCTCGTCAAATTCCTTTCTGTTATGATTCAACAGACGTGCCGCACGGAAATTTTGCGTCTCAGTCTGGGGTAGATGAAATACCTTGGTAGCCAGCAGCCAGCCACAAATATTTTCAGCGTTGTTGGTTGTTTGTGGAAGAATAAAAGAAGTAGGAAAGTATTTTCCTCTTTCGGAAAATGAAAAGTCTTGGAAAGTAGCTTTTCCCCATCTCGGTTAATAAAGACTGGTGCACCATTTCAATGATTCGCTTCGAGTCGTTGGTTCGCTACACCGGCTATGGTACCCAGCCAAGCCAGCTTGCCAGTTTGCTAAGTATGCCACTCAGTTGAGTGGCAGAGATTATGTACTGTCATAGGTGTTTCGTTCTGCCTGCTCTTCTCTGAATCTTTTCCCCCGCCCGGGTGTCGTCAAAATGGCTCAGATATGGAGCTGGATACAGAGACTGTTAGCTCGCAGCGAGATTGGGGAACTCTTCGTCGTCATAGTGCTGAGTTTCGCTCACACAATGGAGCATACCCGTTGCGAAATAAGGCGGGGCAGTACATGGCGACGCTCATGTGACATGGAGGATGAAGGGCGTACTAAGACGCCTCAGCTCCGATAATCAAGGTAATTGGTCAGTGTTACCGGATGCTGGTCGTTGAACCCAGGCAAGCAAGGCAAGGCAGCTCAGTGAGCAACGTGTAATGCTCCATCGAGATTTATTTGCGCCGCAGTTAAATCGTAAAAGGGTACATAAATATTCAGATGCATTAGAACCTCGCGGTATCTGTACCAGCTTTGACCACTACATCCTGGACTTGGGACCATGCCACCCAGCATCCTCTGCTATCAATTCAGCCGCCCGTTCACCAACCGCCAACACGGTGAGCATCAAATTCACCGTTATCATAGTGGGGAATATCCCAGCGTCTGCAATCCGAAGGTTATTGACCCCCCTGACACAAAGGCGAGAATCAACCACAGCCTTTGGGTCATTGAGCACGTCTCCCATCTTCGTAGTACAAGCCGGGTGAAACATGGTCTGGGAAGCTGCACGAGCATATCTGTTCAACTCCTCGTCTGAAGTTATATGAGCCCCAGGCGCTACTTCGTGCTTGATCCAGCTCCTGAGGGGCTCAGACGCGGCCATCCTTCTGGCAGCCTTGATGCCAGCCACCAGAATATCTGCGTCGTAGCCATCGGGATCTTCGAAATATCTGAAATCAATGGCTGGCTTCTCTTGCGGGTCTTTTGACTTCAAGTATACACTGCCTCGTGTATGTGTGCGTAGCACGACTGGCAGGATAATGAACGGATGTTTTGGCCTTTCATACCCATCCGGCGTCATATCATCGTTGAGCTGCCACATGTGTAAGAGGATATCAGGGATATTGCCATCATCGCCTGCCCAGTTGTAAGGCTTATGTCGGAGAAATGCTAGCACGTCTGAGTGTGTTGCTGTATTTCCGGGCACCTCATCATGGAGCTCAAACTGGACAAGCGTACAGGGATGGTCCTGGAGATTCTCTCCAACCCCGGGTATATCCTTTACTACAGGGATGCTGACCGGTTCCAGTCGATCTCGAGGGCCGAGACCGGAGAGTAGCATCAGTCGTGGCGTATCGATGGCTCCGGCACAAAGAATGATCTCAGCCGCGGCACGGACGACATGTCTCAGTCCATCGCTTGTTGTGACATTGACGCTCGTCGCGGTGTCTCCTTGGAGGTTGACGCGAGAGACCCATGCGTTTGTGAGAATCGTGAGGTTCGGCCGTTTCTCATCCCCACGAAGAATCGGATGGATGTACGATGCGCTGGCGCTACCGCGCCAACCATTCTCCGGATTGTAAGATAAAGGAGTCCATCCAGCACCCTCTGTGAGCCCCGAGCTCGAGGTGATGCCCTTATTGAAATCCTTCACGAGCGGCAGTCCAAGACCACGGTGCGCAGATAGAATCCAATCCTTGCTCAGCTGGTTCTGGTCTCGAGGGTGAGCGCTCGGGTAGGTGATGACGCGCAGTTGCTGGTACAGTCGTTTGAAAGTGTCAAAAGACCACCCTTTGCATCCTAGCCTTTCCCACGTGTATGCGTCGTACTCGGGCGTACGAAACGAAACCATGTCATTATGGCTAGAACAACCGCCCAAGATCTTTGCCCGAGAGTGAAGGATATTGCTGTTTCCTATTCACAATCAGCTGTGGTGGAAAGCAAACACTGCGACGCTAGATACTTACCCTTCAGTTGTTCCACACTGGTATAAGCATAATCCAACTCCGTTCCTTGCATTTTGAACCGATCTTTGAGGATGAGAGCTCGATCATCGCCGACATCGCTGGGTCCGCCTTCAATCACAAGGATGTTCTTGTGTGGTAAGTAGCTGGAAAGGCGACTTGCGATAACACAGCCAGCGGTTCCGCCGCCGACAACGATGTAGTCGAAATGACCAGCGGCGCCGGTGGGAAGTCGATCGGTAGTAGTCATATTCCGCCGGGGAAGAATCCTCTTGACACAAAGCTTCACACTCTTTCCCGTTGTTAGACAAGGTCAAAATATACTAAAATATGTAGCCGGAAAACAGCTGAGCTCTTTGTATATGTAGCCGACCTTGCGGAGTCGGCCGTAGACTCCATCCCGCCTGGCTGAGTTCATTTGCCCAATGCTGACTGGACTCGTGTCCCTTCGGGGTAGGAGTTACCTTAGCAAAGGAGAGAGACATCAGTCTTCACATTTTCCCCTTCAAGCAATCTTCTGTAAAGCTAAGTGACTCCAGCCCACTAAGCCTTCGTCGGCGCCTCGTGGTCCGAGGCCATATCTCTCATCTGAGCTTCTTACTATGTGATACTAAGATCGTTAGGTACGCGGAGACATTCATCTTGAAAGAGCAAGTGAAGTGAGCTGACTTTGCCGTGTCTCTCAAAGGGCCAAGGTGTCCGATTTCGAAGCAAGTCAAGAATTTCCTCAATAGGCAAATCGAGAAGTTGCCGTTGGTTGGGGGATGACAGTGCACTTTGTTTACCAAGTCGGGACAATCTAGCAGGTTGGTGGGACGCAGCAACTGGGCGCGTTGAGCTTGCGGAGTGTTCTGCAGTGCCATTATATGTGAAACGGAATGTAGCGACTCGCAACGTCCTGGGTCGCAAGGGGCTGTATTTAAATCGAGCAAATCTTCGCCGCCATCAGCAAATCATTACTGACCACCAAACCGAGTCTGTTCCAAGTCGCGTGCAACGACAGCCCATTATAGTCATGTTAACGCAGGTCATCGTAACTCCCGTCATCACGTACACCCAGCCACTGGGCTTGTTCATTGATGGTCAGTGGGTGGAGGGTGTCCAACGGAAAAGATTCGAGACAGTCAATCCCACAAACGAGCAGCCAATCGTAGCCGTTCACGAAGCCGGCCCGGAAGGTTAGCGACGAACTTACAAACAACTGTCGTATGGGTGATCGCTTACGTTTATTAGACGTTGACCTCGCCGTCAAGGCAGCGCGCAAAGCCTTCACTGATGTCTGGTCAAGAACATCTCCTACAGCTCGAGGCAAGCTCCTTGTGAGGCTGGCAGATCTCTTCGAAGAACACTCCGATATCCTGGCAGCAATCGAATCCCTGGACAATGGAAAAGCGCTATCCCTGTCCAAGGTCGACATCCAAATAGCGGCCGAGACTTTGAGATACTATGGCGGCTGGGCCGACAAGATCAATGGCAAAACCATTGATACCGACATTGACCACTTTACCTACACGAGGCATGAGCCTATTGGCGTTTGCGGTCAGATTATCCCGTGGAACTTCCCACTCGTTTCTCTTAGTATGAAAATTGGCCCAGCCCTTGCGTGCGGGAACACTGTTGTCTTGAAGACTGCAGAGCAAACCCCTCTGTCTGGATTATACGCAGCAACCCTGATGCAAAAGGCAGGTATTCCCGCTGGTGTGATCAACATTCTATCTGGTTTCGGCAGCACTGCGGGTGCAGCCATTGCGGCTCATGCAGACGTTGACAAAATCGCCTTTACTGGCTCGACTGCTGTTGGCCGAAGCATATTACAAGCCGCAGCTGCATCTAATATAAAGAAGCTGACGCTGGAACTTGGTGGCAAGTCGGCCAATATTGTTTTCGACGACGCTGATGTTGAAGAAGCAGTTACATGGGCTCATTTGGGAATCTTTTGGAACCACGGGCAAGTGTGCTGTGCTGGATCGAGGATTTACGTCCAATCAGGAATATATGACAACTTCGTCAGATTGTTCAAGGAGCGAGCATCTGCAGCCGTCATCGGTGATCCATTCGACCAGGACACTTTTCAAGGTCCTCAAATCAGCAAAGTACAGTTTGACCGTATCATGGGCTACATTCAATCCGGCAAAGACGACGGCGCCAAAATTGAGATTGGTGGTGAGCGCCACAGTACCAAGGGCTACTTTATTCAACCCACGATTTTCTCAAACGTCAGTCGGGACATGAGGATTATGCGAGAGGAGATATTTGGCCCCGTCTGTGTCATTTGCAAGTTCCACACCGAACGCGAGGCGATTGAACTGGCCAATGACTCCAACTACGGGCTCGCTGCCGCAATACATACTTCCGACATAAATACGACAATTCGCGTCTCCAACGAGCTGAAGGCTGGAACAGTGTGGGTAAACACGTATAATTCATTGAGTTACCAAGTCCCGTTTGGTGGGTTCAAAGAATCTGGTATAGGACAAGAAATGGGCGAGTATGCTCTCAGCGACTACACTCAGGTCAAGTCGGTCCGCATAAAGTTGAAGAGTAATTTGTGAGCAGAATCTGCAATTGAGTATCGATGGGATCGAAGGTGTCAATACGTATTGCCACAATAGACCACTTGGATCAGGGAAAGACTGCAGCGTCATACAAGCCAACCGCGGAAGTTTACTAGATATTACGTACCAGTGCTCGGCGACTATCAGATCGATGCTTGGGGCGCACATCTACCCAAAAAGAAATTCCGACCCATTAGGCTTCCTTGGGTCTATCAGGCTCCCCCACCAAATGCTAAAGGCGTTGTTCTGGGCGTCCTTTTGCGTCCAGATCTCCTCCAAAAGATCTGCCGCTTCCATGAACATGTTGTATCTCGACTTCCTGTACCATCCTTCGCAGTAGTCCCTTGCAAAGTTTCGTGAATAAGCCCCGGTCGCCTCTGCGCCGGCCAGGAATATCGGGATCAAGAACTGCTTTTGCAGACTCGATTCTGGCCTGCAGCATCGTGCGCTGTCCAATAATTGCCTCGAAAGCGAGAGTACTTGAGCCATTGGAGCGTCACTGGATCTGTCCCATTTGAAGACGCGGCAGATGTACAGTAGAAGAGCATATTTCCAAGTATTGCTTGCATAGTAATGATCGTGCGCAGCCTGGACAGTCTCTTCATCAGCACACGCGCCGTACATTTCGCAGCCGTCGTCAGAGTATTCTTGTATGTATCGCTCCAGGTCTCTGACGCGACTCATGTCGAAAGTTGCATATCTTAGCGCTGATATCTGTTCTTTTTCATAAGCCAGTTGAAGCAGCTCTCGGAAGTATTGGAACAATTGTCGTGGCACTCCCGATATGGTGAAGATGTTCCAAGAGCCATCGTCGCAAGACAGCACGAAGTCATAGTACGATGGTGGAAATACAGGCTGCGATCGAGAGATGAGAGAGATGCTGCAATCCCACCTGCAGAGAAGCACAGCTCTGTATTAATACCGCTTTCCCTCTAAGCCATAGATTAATTACTTACCAAACAAACATGGCAATCTGCGCACGAAATCTCGGAGAGCTCGCAACAGCGTTTACCCCACCGAGGCTTTCCAGCTTCTGGAAAGCATCACTAAGGCGCGTATACCAAGGCCCAGCGGCAGAGGTAAGAGTCTGGAGGACAATGGTTAAAGAGTGGCAATACCATTGTGAGAACAGAGGAATGTGAAAGCGATAACTTACATCAAGCGCAAAGAGGATTAAGATGGTATCGACCACAAAATGTTTCGTGGAGTCCCCGGCGAAAATGAGTTCGACTGTGCTTTGATTATTCGCAGAATACCTGTACGACGCTATCTGTTGATCCGTCGAGTCTTTGCACGTCGCATCGCCCAGACGGCTAACGTGTTGTATAGAGAAAGCAAGGAGGGCATGGAATAAGTATTGCGGCCCATGGGATGGATCGGTATTGCAGCGGAAAGGGTTTGCCGAAAAGTCAAACGTCAAGGGGAGAGTACACAGCTCAGCGTCGTCTGGACAGAACCTACATGTCAGCTTACGGCGATGGTGTCGGAAAGAGAAGCTTACTCACAGAAGGCGAGCAGCTCAGATGATCCAATGGCAGGCTGGGAAGTCAGCGGTCGAGAATACGCTTCGTCGTAAGTTTCAACCAAGGGAAAGGGTAGATTGCTGTCCCCTATCGAATCGGTGGTTTCCTTCCATCCAAGATTTAATGATCCCCAGACAGCGGGGGTGGCAGAGGGAATCTCATTGCTGTATAGCGAAGTCTGGTAACCGTGAATGTCGATGCTATCCAAAGCAGTATCGAAAGCCACAAATGCACCAAGGCCAGAAAAATCATGCACTGCCATTCCATTGCGCGGCTGTAATTCGACATGTACGCTGGGTTGGCGTGACTCTTCTTGGGTATTATTTTCTCGGCTTTCTTGTGTCGTTTTGGGCCTTGATTTGGGCTTCCACTGCTGTTTCAATGCCCTAGTTTCTACTCTACCCCTTTTCGGCGGTCGTCCTTGCTTGAATATGAAGGTGTGGTTCGTTGGTGTTGTAGATTCCCATTGGGGGTTTGAAGCGTCGATACTGATAGAGCGGCCTTTCTGTTTTCCTCGCGATGTGACGCCTGTGAGCCATTGGAGCGCTCTTGGATAGCCCTGGCATTGCTCCAACAAGTTCGCGCAAGTATCGCATCGGTGTTTTGTTCGATCACAGGATCGCTGTGATGCTGAGCAATTGAAACAGTCGACTGTCTCGCGTCGCTTAGCAGCTGGGACAGACGATTCCATGCTAAGTGGTAGGTTACAGCCGTGCATGAGAGACAATAATGACAATGTAAGGTAGATACGAATGGATCAACTAAGAATGGATGGATACAGTGACCCGGAGTGCCAAGGGAATGGCGAGTAGAAGCCGTTTAGTTCGTATTTTGGGGGGATGCCACCTTCACCGATTAGCATCGTCCCTTTCGTCTCGAACAGCTGAGGCCAAGTACTTTAAATCTTATGAATGAGAAGGAATCACGTGCCGTAAGTTATTCAATGCAAGGCGCCCGATATGACTCAAGCACCGGAATAGTTGTGTTCCGTCCTGATATCTAGGCGTAGCTATCCGACCCGAAGTTGCACAGGTATCACCCTACAGCCAATCTCCAAGCACGACAACCATCCACGAATCCAGATTTCCATTTCCCCGCACTTGAAATAGGGGGGGCGAGGCTCGGGCGTTGGATCAGCCTTCTCTCTGAGAGAAACGAGAGACTAGGTAGTATTGGTACTTGTTGTTGGCCCGGTCTCTTAGAAACATGGGAAAGTTATCGGGCTATCATGGTCCATGCGAGCATTGATTATACCTGTTTACAGGGCATATGCGATCTACTTTATCGGTTCTGCCAAGACGAAACTAAACGGCAAAATCGAGTCAGACGACATTGTAAAGCACGAAATGGCGCCTCCTTTAACTCTCACGACCTCTGAGGCCAGTATGTCTGAAAATGTTAGATTCTGTCATGCTCACGATAGTTTGAGACTGAAGAAGTCACACCAACCAATCAAACCTCCCACATGCTTGCCTTCGTTGCGATAACCTATTCTGCGATGAGCATAGGGGAAACAGTATGATGTATTAAAAGATTGATACTGAAGCTGAACGATGATCAATCAAGTTTGAGTATCCCATACCGACACAGTAGCTACCGAGAGACGTCAAGGTTTGGCGAAACAAAGCAATCCTGAAGTCCGCCCCGTTGGACAATGATTGCTTTTCGTTGTCCACGTGTCCATGAATAGTAACTTGTAATGTTTCCTGTGGCTCTATCTGCCCTTATGAGAACCTCCGCCATGGTGTACAACGCATTCTTTGACAAAGGTGACGTCTCTATTTCAGCCGGTGATGGAGATATAAGAATGGGTAGGAAGAAGACGGAAATGCGTGGTGTAGGTAGGTGCAACATATCTGAGGAGTCAAGCGAAACCTGGCAACTCGATGTCCACAACCCACGGCAGCTGATCTAACCCTTCTTGTCCCATGACAGCTGCATTGATGAATAAAGTCTTTCCACTTGCTCCCAATGGCGATTGGTCGCTGAGGTGACTCACCTCACAATACCCACGCTCTCTGTAGGCAGCGAGTCTCTCTTCTCTCGCTTTTCTTTCCTCTGGGGAATCAAACTTGGATCCTCTGAGGCTTGCCATGTTTTCAATAACTTGTGACTCGTTGTTATCTATATCCGTGAAATGTGAGGGAGCGTCTGATATCACGGATCTCCAAGCAACCAGCTTAGCACCCCACCCCTCATGGGCATGTCCGAAGCAGTGAATTCGAGGCTGAGCTTTTGCTATGGCCGCAAAGAGCTGCGGACATCCCACCCTCTTCTTATCTTCCGAAAGGTCCAGAATTCCGTGGGGTGGTCCGTGTGTGATAGCGATATCGATCGCTTTAGTGATGCTGAAGGTATGGTCATCGTTGTACTGAAAGCCCCAATCACTCGATGATATAGTGGTTGGGGTGTATGGGCTTGCGTAGATAGTTAGACGGGCACCATTTCTGAGATTGAATTGATGTGTCCCTTCCTCCAGGAATACTATGCTCTTTTCTCTTAGCTGTAGTAGCAAATTCCGAGCTGTCCCATAGTCACCATACTCTTTTTTGATCAATGCATCATCGATGGGTTCTGATGCAAAATTGACTGCTTCAGAGATCTTCCTCTTGAAAACTGGTATATCAAGGGAGAAGTCATGGTTTCCGGCAATGATGATCTTGAGGGGAGCGTTGATACTCTCAATCAATTGTATGGCTGCTCGAAACTCATCCAGCTTGGAGTGCTGTGTCAAGTCGCCGCAATGTACGGCCACATCAACCGGCGTCTTGATCTCCACTGGCAACTGCAAGCCATGTGTGTCCGAGATTATGAGCAACCTGGTCTGGATACCACGGGATGATACCGGCCGCGCTGGTGCCATTTCCTCGGAGGCCGGATGGGACGGAATCTGTATAGGTAGGTGCAAGACTATGGAAGCCCCTGGCAGATCTTGTCGAAGTTGCGCACAGTCGTCGGGGGGGGGGGGATGTGTCTCAATTTATATCGTTCACGGTGGATGGCGCTGTGCACTAACGCAAAGTCAAAAATCCTCTCGATGCCTCAAGGAACAATACTGTGCCTTCAATCGTTTTTTCCTTGAGTGAATGATGTGAAATATCACCCATTCATGAGACACCTAGAAGGCGAAATGGAACACTCCTTGGATTGATGTAATGCTCGTGAAGATGGCCGCAGATCGAGACTCCAATGACCCGGTGGGCAAATTCCCCCTACTGCATGCCTGTAGCTAATATTACTGTGTAGTAGCGTTTTTTGGTGGCTGCGTTAGACTTTGCGCATTGATGGTTCCAGGTCGCTACCTGCTGGGGGCAGCAAATACTGGGTGCCGCAGCGCGGAGATGGGTCCCGTCGTGCTATGTAATAAATCTACTGAGGTAGTCAAACGCCAACAAGTGGTAATGGTAAACAAGTCGATACTTCGCCTAGCGTACAACCTAAGTGCATCTAGACAGCTTGCGTCCAAGCAGAAATGGAGGTAAAGCGTATCGTCGTGGGGTACGTCAGGATATATCCATCTTGACGTAGCCAGAGAAGATTACCTCAAGACTGTTTTCCCTTTTACTGGACCATAATTGGGCCTCGAGAGCCTTTTAGTTTGTGCGGATTTGGCAATTCTCAAACCCGACTATTGCCAGAGATCTAGCCAAAGTAATGGGAGTAAAATTGCGTACCTGTCGCTATTTATGTATCGTCTGATTGGCATCCCATGGCGGGCAGGCGGGAACTCGGCAACCTAGCGGCTGATCATGTTAACGCTCCGGTAATAGATCTTGGTTTCAACTACCTAGGTATATTTCTCACATCACGATTGCATCATTGCTGTCGTAAGACTAGAGTTGCTGTATGGACCTTTCCTGAACCCGCGGAGTATAAAAGCTGTATGCCGTAAAGTAAGCATACTCAAACGTAGCATCTCTATTGCTCGATTTTGCGCTTCTTTTCCAGCCCTTACACAACCGATCGTCAACTCGTTCACAATGGTTTGGCAACACGGCGACCATCATGATATTCCGCGTCAATGGCGCATCAACAAGTATGAACCATCTTCACGAAATTCACTCATCTTCATCAGTGGGACATCGCGATCTGACAGACGTTTGCTTCATCTAGACCTGGCGCATGGCTTCCAGCTGATCACCGTGTTCATCGCGAATACCTTCGTCGCGTGACTGACCATGTCGACAAGCACCCCAATGAGAAGCTGACGCCAGCGCTGCAAGAGCTCAAAGAGTTGATCGAGGGCAACTCAAGAGTGTATATGTATTTCACTCAAATGTTCGAAGAAATCCCAAACAAGCGACCGTATTGGCACGATCCCACAGGCACCAAACAAATTCGCGACTATCATCACATGCTTCAAGTGCTCAATCACATTGTCACAAGAGCCCCAGAGTGGACTGACGCGGCCGAAAGCGCTGGTGTCGTTGGAGTGCCCTTTTGCGCGATTCTCGACTATCCCATGGGCACAGCAAGGTGCGTAGAACGAGAGCATCAACGATCTGTAAGAGAAAAGGGTAATCATTTGCTAACCTCGCCTTGTCAGCGGCCACGCTGCATTCCTGGATCCAGAGGTGAATAAAGCGATCAAGAAAGTTCTTAACGAGTGGGGGAAATATCTCGAGGTAATTGGAAGCCACGATACTCTCTGATACATTGTGTGCAAGTATACTGAGACCTTCAACTGCAGTCTCCAGAATCAGCAGAGGCTTTGGGAGATCACAAACTTGGCTGGTTCGGCGAAACGGGCCGAAATGACGTTATGGAAGTTGCCAACGCTCCATACAAGACATCCATGAAGTTCCAAGAGATGTTTGTCTGTGACCCAACCGCCAAATTTCACGGGTATAAGTCCTGGGATGGTAAGCGTTTCTATGGCGCAGAGGTTGGAAACGCGGCACATGTGCTGACAATAGCACTTCCAGACTTCTTCACTCGAAAGGTCCATGATAAAGCAAGACCCGTCGCATCTCCGGACGACGATAATGTCATCGCCAATGCATGTGAATCCAAGGTGTTCAACATTCAGCGAGATGCCCAGTTGCGGGATCGATTCTTCGCCAAAGGCCAGCCTTACTCAGTCCTTGATATGCTCGCACACGATCCGCTGGCCCAGCAATTTGCCGGTGCGACGGTGTACCAGGCCTTTCTATCTGCGCTATCTTATCACCGCTGGCATTCTCCTGTCTCGGGGACCATTCGGCGCGCATTCGTCCAGGACGGCACCTACTTCAGTGAGCCATTGTTCGAAGGCGTTGGCGATCCTAATAATAAAGACATCGATACCGGTGGCATATCGGTGGGCCAAGGTTATCTCTCTTCAATGGCAACTCGGGGTATCATCTTCATCGACGCTGACAATCCTGCCATTGGTTTGATGGCTTTTATTGCCATCGGCATGGATGAGGTTAGCTCTGTTGACATCACCGTAAAGGAAGGGCAGCATGTCAAGAAAGGCGACGAGCTAGGCATGTTTCACTTCGGCGGCTCGACTCATTGCCTTTTGTTCCGCAAGGGAGTCAAAGTCTCAGACTTCCCCGAAGTGGGCAGAAAGGAAAATGTCCCTGTCCGTGGTAAGCTCGCTGTCGTCACGCCTTAAGAGGGCACGTCAGCGCTGGCAACGAGACGACTAGACATATACCCGCTTGTTAAATATCCTGTGGTCAAACGACTTTTACATAGATATGCGCAGCGCGGATAATATATACAATAGAAATCTGTTCACCAACCCCCAGCCTTCCCATCGAGTGTTCTGTGGCTGAACCTTCAAGAGCTATTTTGCGATGTTCGCCATATGAGCTTGGGAAAGGTCGTCTATTAGCAAATATATAATCTTCCTGTTATCTTCATTCTTTTCAAATCAGGGCGGCGAAGGACAACTGGTGATTCAGCAGCAAGGGAACGACCCGTATTCCGCCTCTGCCACACTGAGGACCTCACGGATCCGAGTGCCATTCCACGTATTCCGAGATGCGTGGAGAAAATAGATATGAGGTAATGAAAAGGTATTATATTTTGTTTTCAATACCCGCTTGAAAGATATTTTAGAATGCGTCACGCTCATCTTTACCCAGCCCTAACTACCTCCTACTACACCGTCTGCGCCTACCTCTGAAGCCAGCCAGTCTCTCCAAGCACCGTCGTTGATGATGTACCTCACCCTGGCCTCTAACCATTCCGTGTTTCCCCAGAAGCCCCAAGAGGCCTGAAACCGACACCAGTCTACAAGCGCAGCCTCCCAGTGTCGGAGAAAGTCCTCCCACTCATACACGGGTGTCTTGTGGCCATTTCGGTCGCCCGACAATATGAGCCAATAATGCTTGAGCAATCTCTTTTCACACTCCTCCATTCCCAATTTCGCTGGAATGGGCTTGTTCTTCGTGAGCATGCTCAATGGGATGGAGCAAGTAAAGAGCTTAGCCAGATCGCAAGCGCCCAGGCCAATTCCGGCATACTGAAAGTCAAAGAACACAACATCATCGCCAGATTCTGTTGAGAAGAGATTTTCGGACTTTACGTCTCCGTGGATGTATGTTTCATATGGCCGGCCACATGGAGTCAGAAAGTCGGCGACTTGTTCAGCAAGAGATGCTTTACCGTCCACAGAGGTGCAAAAAGCATCAGACCATTCTGAGGATCTGTCTTGGGCAAGCAGCCGATACTCTTGGCGCCTGGTGGCCAAATATGTGTATCCGCCATTCAACCAGAGGGCCTTCCCGCCAGATTTGGGATCTGTTTGACGCCTCGAGGCCTCTTCAAGTGGCGGCAAAAGAAATTGGCTAAGGTTCTGCGGCATATAGGTCCAGGAGCTACTATGAAACTTGGCCAACCACGTCAAGGCTGCATAGACCTGCTTGCTCGAAAGCACCGCTCGTTTCTCGCCGGAAAGAGGAAAATCAAGCCTCAGGTCGTTCATGAGAGTAGCAATCAGATGATCAATACCGTGCTCAGCCGCCTGTTTCTGCATTCTTCTTGTCGAAGCAAAGCACTGAGCCACTGCTATGTTACCAGCAAGGTGCGGAGCAACTTCATCGTAGAAATATTGCTCAACCTCATAGCTAAAGATTTTCCGAAGATGTCCTTCATCGCCAGATTTCGTCGGAGGATGAACGATCTTCAGCACCAGATGGATTGTACTGCCTTGGCCATCTGCTTGAGCTCGGGAGAAGCGCTGCCACCGCGTGTCCTCATAATCTGCGGTTGGTCGAGCAGAAATGGCACAAATGTGGCCATATCCCGCCCAAAGACCCTGGATGGCGGTGCATGAAATCAATTCAAGGTCGAGCCAAGAGAGGAGAATGGCTGCAATCTGGCTTGGGGAGACGTTTTGGTCCATGATGGCGGAACTGCGCAATGGCACGTGGCAGATCAATTGCTGCAGTGGTAAGATTGAACGAGGCTATTTTGGCGGTAACGAAACGACCCAAAAACTTTTGTCGCCAACATGTGCATTGGGATTGAGGCAGCAGTTAGCTGGATTATGTAATCACCCCTTCTCGTCCTGTAGAAGGCGCGAATGAAGAGGCAGCCAAGCAGCGCAGCGAGTAATTCTACTCAGAGCTAGTAGATCTTTGTAGGTCTCCCGTTTTCAACTGCTTTTTCATGCCCATAAGACGACATGGCTGATGAGTATCAGCAGCATCACTAACATGAGGATGTGATTTCAGCTAAAGTATGCACGAGATTCATGATGATTCTTCAGAGTTCATGGCGTTCAAGACTTACCCAGTCCTTCATCTACATACCCTCTAGTATCGAGAAGGAATCATACGGTACCTGCCTATGAGAATGGTACCATTGTTATACTACCTAGGTACTTAAGTTGCTTCCTCGGGTAGAGCATCGAAATCACTTGGCATAGAGAACCTGAGCATGGAAATTAGATCGTTCCCTCTTAATTTGTTTTTTTTTCCATAGGTACCTAGCCTGATTATGGAATACCTAAGGTACCTATCTAGTATGTGTACCCCCGCAGCACATTCAGAACTTGTAAGTCACGCCGACGCAGAATCTAGAGTTCTGTAGCGTCTATTGACTATCAATGGAGAACCTCTTAAGTATACCTTTAGCCAAGCCGCTTATTTAAGCACCTCTCTAAGCACTGTTTCCGTTGAAGATGATAGTGTTAGGGCTGCCATTCAGACTGCCAGTGACGCGGCCAGTAGTAGCCAGGGCCTTGATGCGGTTAGTGACAGCAGCTGGGGTGCTAAGGCCCTCAAGAGACTGAAGGTAAAGGGCGAGGCCGACAACGTGAGGAGTGGCCATGGAAGTACCACTAATAGTGTTTGTGGCAGTGTTGGAGCCAATCCATGAAGACAGGATGTTGACACCGGGAGCAAAGACGTCAACGCCAGCACCATAGTTGGTGAAGGAAGCGGTGCGCCAGTTGATGTCAAGGGCAGCAACGGTGATGGCGTTGGGCACATTGGCGGGAGAAGTACTAGAAACAGGCTGGGGGTTCCCAAGGGCATCACCGTTGCCGGCGGCCACGATAGTTAAAACACCCTTGTTGTAGGCTGCGTTAATCGCCGTGGTCCAAGTAGAAGAAGCGGGTCCCCCGAGAGACATGTTGATGGCAGACTTGCTGGCACGGCTGCGGGACACGATGTCGTTCACGGCCCAGTTATAGCCGTCGAGAATGACCGAGGTACTGGCGCTGTTTCCCTGGAAGACTTTGACGGAAATCAAGCTGGCCTATTGTTTCAGAGTCAGCTAGGCATGCTCACGGCTTACATACGAAAGGAAGACGAGTAATATGCTAGCTTACCTGCTTCGCAACGCCATAGGTAGAGCCACCGATTGTTCCGGAAACGTGAGTGCCGTGACCGAGAGTGTCAACGTGATCTCCGCCAGCGGCGTTGTAGCCGAGGCTGGCACGTCCGCCGAATTGCTGGTGAGCAATATTGATTCCAGAGTCAACAACGTAGGCAAATGTTCCGCTACCAGCCGAGGTGTCATAGATGTAGCTGGTTGAGCCGGGGGTCCGGTGGGAGACCGTGCCGAGACCCCAAGGGGCACCAGTCTGAGTGGTCAAAGCACGCTTGTCTTCAACAATGTCAGACAGCCACATGATGTAGTCGGGCTCGACGGAAGCAACCTGATATTGTCATGAACACCATAGACATCAACATCTGGCGTCTCGCCTACTGGCAGGATGAATACTCACATCGGGGCTGGCCTTGATCTGCTCAACGGTCTCCTCATCAAACTCGCCAGCATAGGCATTCCAGGTGTCGATGTTGTAGGTCTTCTCAACACCAGCAGTGTTGCGCTTGCCGAGTGAGCGCCTGTGGAGGTCTTTCACCCAAGTAAGGTGAGAATCGGCATCGACGGAGGCACCATCTTTGAGAGTCACAATGAACTTGTTGGGAACAGCTTCGGGCAACTTGTGATTAACAGCAGGAGCGGCCAGGACAGCGGGGAGCAGGGCTCCAAGGTAAAGAGCAAGGCGACGGATGCTGGTCATTGTGAAGATGTCTTTTCACAGCGGAAGAGAAACAGGAACAGTTGGTAGCTGGGTCAGGTTCACGTCGTTCTCGTCGTAGGGAGGGCAAATTTATATAGTTATTTTGCGCCTTACGCTCGAGCAGTCGTTTGGCAAACTGACGCTATCATCGCGTTTATCTTCGCAACCTCTAAGGTGATCTGCGTGGTCTCTTGCAACATATAACCAAGCTGCCTAATGTGACCTAGAACAACCCGGCGCAGCCAATACTCGATGTTTTCATTACGGCAGTCACATTGTTAAGCTCTTGGCATCTAGTTTTGAAATGGACAGGAGTACGACGTAGCAATAATGTCTGCATATTTACTCATAACAGTTCATACCATTGATTGAAGAATGACCGCATGCGTAGACCACATCCGAGCCTTACAGAGAGCCCTCTGCAGATAGACTCTTTCCTTTCCCTAGGTAGTTTCGAGACTTTCATGATATTCTGCCCTAGCCATGCGCGAATACTCTTGTTGTTTAAGATTCTCTTTTAAGGTTATTTGTCGCCCACAGCTTACTCTAGCTAGCTAAAATAGGTATCACTACTCTATAAGCTTAAACTACCTGCTAGGTACTATACTTATGTACCTCTTAGAAGACGGCATATATCAAGCACTTAACCCATCACCATGCACACTAAGATTGCACCAATGCTTGTGCACCTGCTCATTGTGTCACGATGTCCGAGCGTTGAGGAACCTTTGAGTCGGGGGCGCGGGAGAGTTCTCTATGGCGCCATTGCCGCCGGCGCCTCGCCAGTAAGAAGGAGGGGACGTCAAGCATCTGTACTTTGATAGCGCTAGAAAAGGAAGGTCATCCAGTAACGGCATCGACCAGCCTTCAAAAGATCCAAGATCCTAGGTTGCCGTTAACTCCACATAGTGGGAAACAGGCTATCGGAGATAAAACATCAACATTCGCCTTGGCCTTCGATAAGCCGGATTACTATTCGGCAGGAACGTGCGACACCTGCGACATCCCCAACGCTACTGAGGACAATTTGAAGCGACAGTCAGAGTGCCGCAAAGCAGAACTCTGCAGGGAGGGACTTCGTGACTCTAATACGATGAATGTAGCGGCACAATGAACTGCCAGTTGGTCAAATGTGCGGCGCTCGAATTGTGGTAAAAGACAAGATTGTCAGATGCCGGATGGACGCACATGAGAAAGTTCAGGGAATCGGATAGTCATTATATATACCCCACCCAAGATTTCGTCGGTAAACCTTGTTTTAACCAACCGCATCCCAGTTCATCCGATACAAGATGCAGTTGCCTCAAAGGCGGACTCTAGCCTTATTTCGGGCATGCAATGAGTTACGGATAGCTTCACGGGCAGGAATCGAAAGATGCTGGGAAACAGTGGCAGCTCTTAAAGGTGGAAAAAGGGACAGCTTGTCTCAAAAATGAGGCTTTCAGTCAAATGTAGAAGTACAATGCAAAAGCATAGGGTTGCTGGCAGACTACGAACATATGTATGTGTCATAATGCTCTGTAGAAGCCTTCTGTTGGTACCGGCTTTTACCGAGTTTATAGACAGCCTAGGAACTTCCCTGCACATATAATGCATGCAAAACATCTTTGTCGGTATTCAGGTGTCTTGTTCGAAGGCACGGTGTCAAGAGCGTTCAGGACATCATCCAGAAGCTGAATCATGTTTAGCCGACGTGGTGCAACTATATCTAGTGATAATAATAGGCTTCGGCGGTGCTCGTGAGCCGAAGGGTGATCCTTCGCCATCAAGAGCTAGAGCTCTTTATTCTTCGCCGTGAAATGTGACCCTAGACAGCCTAATAGTTACACGAATTTGGCATTATAGTCATGCATACATGCAGCCATGAATGTGTTAGAAAAGCCTGGGAGCAGAGAAAAGACTAGGAAAGAAAGGGAAAAAAAAAAAAAAAAAAAAAAGCCATATATTCCATGTCTGAAGCTACAGACACTGCTTCAGAAAGTTTATCTGAAGTCGAATGCTTTCCACGCTTATTTCCCCTTGGTAATGGTTGAAATGATTACCACCCTTCAGAATATGGAGCTGCTTCGGTTCCCGTGCTAGCCCAAATGCTTGCAGTTGCAGCGACAGCAATTCTTCATCCTTTTCTCCCACAATCATTAGCAGAGGCGCTGGCGCAACTCGATGAATATACCGAATCGGCTCGAATCGAAGTATTCTGAAGAGGCTCATTGTGGTGATTTTGTTTTCCCAGTTGCCACCCTGTGCGGCGGCATCTTGAAAGAAGCGGTAACTGACCGCATCTCGGAGTACAACAGGTGCAGTACCGGCCTCTGCCTCGTCAATTGTCGATGCAACGATACCAGTAAGGGGCCAAGCTTCCCCTTTGCGAATCTTGGCACGGTCTCGTTGTGCCATATCGAGAATTGGTTGGCCTGTTCCCATCAAAAGCTCTCCCGATACGAATGGCACAACAGCAACAACTGCTTTGACTCGACGATCAATGGCCGCAGTAGATATAGCGACCCCTCCAGAGAGGCTCACTCCCCAAAAAGCAATTCGCTCAGGGTCAACATCCGGAAGAGATGCGGCGTAGTCAAAAGCGTCAACGTAGTCATCCTGCGCTTTGATAGGATCGATGTCATATCTGCGGCCACCGCTTTCTCCAAAACCCCGATTGTCATAGAGAAGAACGTTAAAGCCCGCCTTTTGAAGCTCAACTGCGATCCGGTCGAGGAAGTGCTCCTTGAGCGCCGAGATCTATAATCAATGCCATCAGTTGCCAAGACTCCAATAGTGAGAAGAAGAAAATATCTGGGTGAAACAATCGCTTGGCGTACCCCATGTGTCATGATCACACATGGATCTTTTTCCGAACCGGCTGGAAAGAACCATCCTTTCAGGGCTACACCATCGATTGTTTGGATAGACACGTCGCGCCTGTGCTCCGACATCGCGAGAGTACTTGCAAACTGAAATGTCGTGATATAGGTATCGAGTACTGGTCGTCGACTCAAGGTGATGTACTTTTACTCTGTATGATACTTTGTGCATTTCTCTACAAACGATCCGGATAATTGGCTCTATATATACTTCTCACGATCGGTATACCTTGGGATTTCGGATATGGAGCAATAACCACAAGTAATGACCGACTGGTCAGCATTTGCCGACAATATGGACTCATTAGATGCAGCGTTAACCAATCGGTATCGAACCAGCGTACTGTTTCCAAGCCAATGAAGTCTCTGAGCTTGTAGGGAAAGCCCTTGTGAGACACATTGGTGAGTCCCGCAATCAGAAGATTAATAAACTGTCCGTTGGTAATGAAGACAGTCAGATGTAATTATTGGCGTGGCTTACCTGTGGGTTGTGATTTGGTCCGTAGATGTCCGAGCTGCTGTTCATTCATGCGCTGTGCAGCTGCAATACGGGTGCTGTTGCTATAAGCTGAGTAAGATGCAGCCTTGAAGTGTTCCGTAAGTGCTCTATCGATCATTATTGTGGACAAAGCCTTCACAGGATGCCCAGGAGCCATCTCGAGGCATACTTTGTACGACGTATACAGCTCTGCTGGTCACATAGTCTTCCGTAGAGTAGATTACGAGATGATTCCTCTGAATTATGTTGAGACTGCATTTGTGTACGACCCAGTGTACTAGAGTCGTCTTGATAGATTATATGCCACCTAGGATCTATGATCATCCCGAGCATAATGCGGATGGTTGTATAAAGATGGCGCATGACTGTGAGACCTTTATGAAGGAGTAGGCCCGAGGCACAGCACCACTCGTTAATGTTTGTGTGGCTTCTTCTGCTCTGCCATTCTCAAAGCCGACTAGTTGAAGAAGATATGGATGGCGTGAAGGCACCAGCCTCTTTGTTATCAGAGCTAATGAAGTCGAATCGCAGCATCCTCGGACAAGTGCAACAAAGCGATCGGTACGGAGCACAGCGTACATAAGCAACCACAGCAGCAGAAGTGGGTCTCTATACGTGAGACCAAGAATGGTAATTTATTACGAAAGAGGACAAACAGCTCAAGTATTAGGGCTACTGTGGTATCTTCCAACTTATCAGCAGTCTAGTACACGATGTGAAATCGTACGTTTGACCTACTCCCGAAGATGACATCGGAATAGTGAGCTAAAGCTCCACGAGAGGTTGGCGTCGGCCCGGACGAGCTCGGAAGCAGCAGAGGGGGGCGTAATCGTTCTTAGCCTTCCAGCTTCCATTCGCATGCGCCAACGCTGGAGTCCACATGACCGCAACAGAAGAAACATGGACGAAGAACATCCATATTGCGGGATTTCCTTCTCTTCGCACCTTTGACATTCTCCTTTGGCTCCCTGGTTGGACTTCTCTTCTGCGAACTACGAACCGCATAATGCGTTACGGGCATCGCCTTCGCAAACAGTTCGCTGATTTAGTAATAACAAAGGACCCAAAGAAGACAATGTTCGGACCAGCTGCTAAAATTCGCGCCAATTCTCGCGCATGTGACTCATTACAGCTCACTTTGCCTACAAATTCATGAGAGTTGAGACGATCAGAGGCGGATACGAGAGATGAGATACCCGATACTGGCATACCCAAGCCACATCGTGTGCTTTGCAATGCGGCTTCAGCAATCTTCGATCGCCTGATTTGGCTTATTTAGGTATTTGCTTTTGCTTCATTTGCTGTCACGTCACAATGTCTCAGGATTAAGGCTGCCTCACCAACTCACTTGAGCCCCTCATACTGCCTGTTCATTAAGCAAAGATTTGATGTTCTAAATCCCTTTATAAGCTCTAAAAGTAAACCTACATTTCATCAGGGCCCAATCAATGTTGTCTTTCCATCGTATTTTTGTGCCTTCCAGCCTTCAAAATATCTTCTCCTCTATCGCTCATTGTCAATTTGTGAGCGTGATATGGTGTCAAGCTCGCTCAAGATGGGCGATGTCCGGCAGCCAATCAAGCAGTCGCTGCCGATAGATGTACGCAAAGCATAAGGCTCCGGACAAAAGTCAGTGGACCGCAAACAAACACACTGTCCTATGACTGTTCCATTCACTACGTGGGACTTCTTTCATGAAGGGCTATTGGCATAAACGTGTTTGCACCATACTATACCGCGCAGACAAAGATGCTACCGCTAATGACTGAGGCTCTTCTGCTTCTGACTGTGCTGGCCTGGGATCCGTCCTCAATGTTATTGATGGAGCAACGCGCCTAATCGCCGATGAATCAATAGTTTGCCGAGCACTTGTGATCAATCCACGACTGGAAGTTCATAACGCTATCGATAATGTAAGCGGTCTGATGAAGGGAGGGGACATGACGGCCAGTCTCAGGCTACCTGGGAATGTTATGCGCGTAATTACGAGTAGGTAGAGACGTTTGTAAAACGGTATTTGTTGCTTCTACATGCTACTGCCAAGAGCTCGAGGTATGCTTGCGTGTATTCGAGACATACTAGCCATTTGGAAGAGAGGGTGAAAAGCGAAGAGCGTTCGTCCTTACTTGGGGCATGGATCATTTCTCCAATGGATGTGCGAAGAGAGCATAGAAACTCAAGTTGTCTCGTTGTCAACGATTCTGGGGTTGCAATTGTAAAATCTTTTCAAAATGGCCGGAGAAGTAGCCCATAGTATGTCTTCTGGGGTCTCATCGCCCAGGCATGTGTGGCTTCAATTTTCTTTGCCAGCAAGCGGAGAAATATAAGGTAAGATGAAAAGGTTAGAACATTGCGGCATACAGAGAAGTCCTCAGGAAGCACCCATACTAGACGCTAACTTCTATGATGTGACTGCTCATACTATTCACACCCATGCACATACTGATTTTGTGGTCCTTGTTCTTGCTCTATCCGCTTACAGAGGTGAGAGTATGGAGAGGTGGCAAGCCTCTTTGACTCTTTGGGTAAGGGGTTGACTAGCTATTGCACGCAGGGTCATTGCATCAACGAGCTTAGCCAAACTCTCATGTTTATGCTCTCCAAGATAGATACCTCTCCAGTATCTCTTCGTTCAGCGACTTATCATATTATAAGACCTCCTGATAGATCATCGAGACCATAGATACGCATAACGCTCAATCATAGTGACGTAACATCCGCAGATAGATATGAGTATCAGAATGTCGACAAGACCCCGCACGGGGAACATCGTCGCGACTGATGCCCAAATTCGTATATTAAGAGGAAGCACCATCTCCTACGCGCGGTTCTCATTCTTCAGCAAAGCACTCACCGAATCGCCTTACCCACCATCGCCCTAACTCCCTATACTGAAATGGACTTTGAACGTAGGGACCGTCTTGGCCGCCAAGTGAGTTCAATGATGAGCATTGAGGGAGGAGTTCTGATTGTGGAAACGCTTAGCCTCCCAATGAATGGAATCTTGAGCAAGGGTTGGATCCGGCCCGCTTAGGTCTACGGAACCAGAGCAATCTCAAGATTCATACAGAAACACAGCTTCCTACTGTGACAAACTCGGCAGAACTTCGTACAGACGCGGATTATGATGACCCGACTTTTGTCGTCCAAGAAGAGAGAAAAGGGTGGAAAGGCTATGTGGAGTGGGAGGATTACCCCGAGAAGAAGGCGAGAGCTCGCAAGCGATTCTCCCGGTACAAGTTTCCACCACCTCCGGAATTCCAGCTTGCGCCAATTCCAGCAACCAATCCCATCCTCGAGGGTGTTCGTTGGAAGCTCTGGCACAAGGCAATTGGCGGAGCGCTCACCGATGTGCCTGAAGATAGCTGGAAGACAGTGCTCGAGGTAATGACCGGTTGATCCATTCCCATGCACGATAGCATGTAGATCAAGCTAACTATTTCACCATTCAGGAAAAACATCCGGGCATGCTCCATCTCCTTCAGTTTCCCTACAATGGCGAGCCCCCAAAGGGCCTTCTCACTAAAGAAGCCGTCACACCCAACGAAATCCATTTTGTGCGCAACCACGGGGGAATTCCAGATATTAACCCAGCGGAATTTGACCTTCGCCTCGACGGATTGGTTAACAGCCCCAAGGTCCTTACCTTAGACGATCTCAAGAACGAAGCTCTGTTTCCACGAACCTCAATGCTCGTAACTATCCAGTGTAGCGGAACCAGACGTCTTGAGCAAATCGGCGAATATGCTGGTGAAGGCGACGAAATGATCAATGCTCCATGGGCCGAGGGAGCAATCGGCACAGCAAAATGGACTGGTGTTAGCCTCAAGAAAGTCATCAAACATTGCGGGGGTTTGAAAGAAGGGGCAAAGCACCTTGAATTCTACGGAGCAGAAACATATTTCAAGGGCGGGGACTGCATGAACTATGTCGTCTCCGTCCCATGGACAAAGGCGAAAGCGAACGAGGTACTTCTTGCATGGGAGATGAACGGTAAGCCACTGCCCAAGATTCACGGATTCCCCTTGAGGGCAGTGGTTATGGGTTACATTGGAGCTAGAAGCGTCAAGTGGCTCTACCGCATCAAAGCCATCGAACACCCCAGTCGCGCCCCGGTTCAGAGCAGAGAATATCTGTACTTCCAGCAGCAGTATGGAAAGCACAATCAACTACCTACTTGTAAGGTTATCTGCTTGGAAATTGGAGAGCATTCCAGACTAATGGACGACAGTGGGGATTCAAATCCAAGAAATGCCGGTCAGCAGCGCTATCATGAGTCCGTGGCACAAGGAAGTCGTTGTCCACAATGGCCATATTGAAGTCACTGGTAAGACTCGTCGTGATTTCAGTACAAAGTTTATAAGATGTTAATCACTACAGGTTGGGCCTACTCTGGTGGCGGCCGCTGGCCAGAGCGGGTTGAGCTTTCTTCGGATGGTGGCTGGGCTTGGTATGCTGTGCCTATTGAGAATATGTCACCAAAGCACAAGTGGGCCTGGAGGACTTGGACCGCTTCCGTTCCATGTGATCATGAAGGGTGGACAGAACTCGTCGTACGCTGCTGGGACAACAGTCTCAACACGCAGCCGATGGAAGTTCGCCACAGCTGGAACTGGGGACTGCACGTCACAAGCAGCTGCCACCGAGTCAAGATTTACAGCGTAAATGCAAGTCGACCCGAAACAAAGAAGAGACTGGAACAATTCGAACAACATGGCGAACCCTTTTTGCCAATAACACGGCCGACAGAGTTCAAATACATGACTCTCGCAGAGTATGAAAAGGCATGGGCTACGATGGAACCCAGAGATGTAGACAATTGAGCGCTGTCAGCAGTAGCTGGCGAAAGATTTCTATTGCACCGAATTTGCACACATTATTAAACACTTCAATCCGTACAATATTAATCCCCGTGTGGAAGCTGGAGAACAGAAATTATACCGACAAAGAAATTGCGTCTAGCTTCTGAATTGCCGCATTGTTATACGAAGGATTTTCATAGTTAGCGCTCACAACTCAGCTAGGCATAGAAGTTTGGTTGGAACCCCGTACTTCCGATGTCTGTAAACGATACATATGATGCGTGACTTCCAGTATTACGAGCAACTGCGGCTAGCCCAGCTTCATTCGAGGCCACTCGAAGACATGTTGTCAAGGTCCGACAGGCAAGTAGAGGCCTCGAAAGGGCCATCTGATCCCCATCCATCGACTCCATATCTGGACTTACAAATGCGGCGGTGGAGAGGTGTGGGCGTGGGATATGAGATAGTACTGCAGGAACATGGGTCGATCGGATCAGGTCGGATTAGGTCGGCGGCGGATCGGGGCGGCGGATTAACCAAGTATACCAGCTCAGTAACGACATGAATGGTGTTCTTGTGAGAGACGGTACTCATGATGATTGGCGAGATGCGATGTCGCAAGTTTGGAACAACATGACAAACATCAGTGCGGGAGAGTTTATAAAGGGGCAGCCGTTTCCCGCTATCGAGAGGATCACAACAGTCTTAAACACTTAGAATTCAAGCAACAAGCAACACTCAAGACGCCTTACAGAAATGTCAACTCAAGAAACCGCTCAGACACTTTACCTTGACGCTGATGGTGTTAAATATGCGTACCGCCTCATCGGAAACTCTACGGCGGGGAAGGATTCGGTTCCTCTGCTGCTGCTCAACCATGTTCGAGCGACGATTGACACTTGGGATCCCCAAGTTATCAATAATCTGACCGCGTCTGGTCGACAAATTGTCACTTATGACTATGCTGGCATAGGCCATAGTCAAGGCAAGATCGCACCCTCCGTCAGAGGTTTCGCGGTCAATCTGCTCTCGTTCCTTAACGTCCTGCTCCCGACGCTTCATACTCATCATGTCGATGTTTTGGGCTTCTCTTTGGGCGGCTACGTTGCTCCACAGCTGGTTTTGGACGCCCCAGATGTGGTTCACAAGCTGGTCCTCTCTGGCACTGGGCCGAGCCTTGGGCCAGGCCTTGAGCGGCCGATGAACGAGGTGCAATCCACGGTCTTCAATCCAACTCCGGGGCTGCCAACAATCGAAGCCTTCTTACCGTCATTCACAACTGGTAATGAAGGACAAGAATGGTTCAACAAAAGTGTATCCTCCCGACAGGGTGTGGCCGGCAGAAATGGCGAGCCTGAGATTGCAACCTTTACCACAGGGGAAGACCTTGTCAATCTTACCCAGGCTTACTTGACGTGGGATGCCGACCCAATTCCTTATTCCTGGCTGCAGACAATTCAGAAAGATGCGCTTGTCACTGCGGGAGATAATGATCTTATCGTTCCGACTCGAAATTCCTTCGTTCTTGCGCGACAACTGCCTCGAGCAAATTTGGTCATGTTCCCCAGCAGTAGCCACGGTCACTTGTTTCAATATGCAAACTACTACACCAAGGTGATTGGTGAATTCTTGGATGGTAAACTACCGACTGCACCATTCTCGGCAGGCAAAGCTCCTCCTTTTGGGACATATGGGCAGATTAATCAAGGCTGAGATCTTGTCGGTTGAGGCCTGGGCATAAAGGTCTCCCACTCCAGAAGACGATATTCTCGGCATCACCACCACGTTTCATTCTCCGAATTACAAGCAGTTCTGCTTAGTTCATTGAATACATAGGCTCCTAAATTGCAATTGACATCCCTGTTTCTCCTCAAAACAACTCTCTTCGTGATCTTCGCCTTTGGGTGTAGAGGACAAGATTCGTTTCATATTCACCTAGCATCAATGGGCTATAAAAGTCGGAGAAGATGTACTCTTTCGACCCCCCCATAAGGCATCTAAATGCCGCTTATTATACGGGCATCGATCAATTGAACATAAGATGCTAGGAGAGTCAGCTAATCGAAATCATGCGAGTAGTTCGATCATGGAGTTACCTGCAACCCTCCATCTCTTGCTTATAAGCGCCAGAGCCTCTTTGATGGCTTCACAGGATACCAAAGCACTGTATGCACCTGTCCGTGAATACTCCTTGCCATAGAATACTGCACTCCGGTAAATTGCTTCTATGCAGAGCGGTGTAATTTCATCGCCAGCGCAACTACCTGCGTCTCGAATAGCATAGGCTAATCGAAGCATGGAGGCCGCAATGTCATTCTTAAAGTCTTGTGACATCAAGCGATCTGTGATCTCATGCGGTGTCTTGCCGGGCACATGCCTCTCTTTGTCATGTAAAAGCAATCGAGCAATGATCATCTGTCAGTTGAGGAGTTCCGTTCCTGATGTGCATCAACAACATACCTGTAGCAAATGGTTGACGGGCTACACACACCAATTCCACGGAATCTACCCTCTTCCAAAGATACCTTTGTCAATGCAACAATTGTTCTGTCCAGCACTTCAACATCGTTCTGCCAAAACCCTTCCTGGATGGGCGACTCCTGGATGCTGCGGAATACTCTCCCTAATAATACTGCAGCTTGTGCAGTCAGAGAGAAACGACCCATCGTCGTGGTTGGCGGCTCAAATAGTTTGCGGACAGGGGCAAAAGACTCTCTCTATCTTTATATAAGCAACTTCATTATCGAGATCGTATGATCTCATGTACAGAACCTTACATTTTCTTCCCACGTGGCATCATCAATGGGTAGCAAGCTGTTACCGCTTGGATCCGTTGTCAATATAGGTTTGTCGGCACTTCCAAGGCTGATGAACCTACTGGTAGTTAGATTTACGTTGTTACGACTTGCCATTTGGTATGCTTATATGGAAGCTATGGCAGAAGCAGGACAAAGTCAGATACTCACCGATCGAATAGCAGAATAGTCCACCAGCTTCTGCGACGCTCTTCTGACTCCGAAGCACTAAACTCCTCTTCGGAGTATTGCTCCACTGCCTTATGAATGCCTAACGCACTCCCATATCGCACACAGTAGCCGACTGTCATGTACGCTGCCGGGTAAATAGCATGCCCAATCTCAAAGAGAGCTATGAGAATAATGGCTTGGAGGACACGCAGATCTAGAATGCCCGAGTTTTCTGCTTCTATCAGGCTGCTTTTTATGGCATAATAAGCACTGCATCGTGGTCCTTGTTCAGGAAGTGGACTCGCTAGCAACTTCATTGATGCTATTAGAAGGGTATGTGCCGGTCGTCGTGAGCTTAGAGGGCTCAAAATCCTCTCTCTGAATTCTTTTCTCGACAGAAAAGGTATTGACGGATGGATAGTTGCGAAGTATGACTTTATGAAAGCCGGGTCGGGTGCAATATGGCCAATGTATTTTGGGAGATGATCGTTGAGACTTGGATCCAGATCGGGCAGCTTGTTTAACGAACGCTGGAAGAGAATCGAGTCGAGAAAAAATACCACGGGGAAATTATCTTCTGTCGACCGAGAAATGTCCGGAGGTTGATATGAGGTAGATGCGCTGGGTATATGGTCAACAACACCAGCGATAACTGTGGTGTTACCAGTGTAGACGCAGTCCCTTCCATGTCTGTTCAGTGATTCGCAATGTGTCAGGACGTGACATACAATCACGCTTCTCGGGAGATATCGGACTGACCGTACGCATGTAGAGCATTGAGGCTTCTCTCGACTACATCGTTTCTTCGATCTCTGGCAGTGAGTGCACGACGGGCGCGTACGAGGAATAATAACTCGTGTGTCACTATCCGTACTCATTGCTTGCAACGGGAGAAGCAATTGTGCCAGATCCTCCGGGTGTCCCTCTAGGTCACCTGGGCGTCAATGAAGTTGTGGAAATCTTTCTGGCTTCAAGATTTGGATGAGCACCGAGGCTGCGGAGACGAACAATTCGACGGGGTTCGGAATTGTTCACTGTCCAGAAAGTATGGAGTACGACATGCAGTTTTCATGGACTCCACTGTTTCTGGTCCAATGCTACAGGCAGCATGTAACGCGAAGCTGATACAGGTCGGTGAGCAGATGCCGCACTGAGGCGGCCTGCAACCTTGTCTTTATTAGAGGCTACATGGCTGGTACAAAATCTGTCGCTAACATTCAATCAGCCCCTACTGCAGACTCCCACACGAAGTGCCAAGATAGTACATGATAAGGGGGATCGCTTCACCCATTCAATAAACACAGTATATGGGCCGAGTAGCATAGGGTTCTCAAGCATAGGTAAAAATCAGGCTGCATCAAAGCTGAGGGATGATCACCGAATCACAATGTCTAAAGTCGAACGAGAAACCAACGTATTACAGCCGAATACTATTCTTACAACGCGATTACTAGTGGATTCGACGGTCTTGTAGCATCAAATGTCAGCATAGAGGTGAAGGAACCAGGAAGCGCAAGGCTCAACCACTGACCATGTGGTAGATACCAGTTGATTGATTGGTAATATGATTAGTATGGTAGGCGGCATAGAATAATAAGAGCTCTTTTGTAACATCCGTACTTTGTGCCGACTTGCGTCATGCAACAGAAAATAGAAGCCAATACTGAGGCCAAGCTCAAATCGACTGCCGTTGCGGCTTGGATGCTCATCCTTCCTCAGCCTTCAAACCAATTGTCTTGTCATGCGGACAATCGGACAGTCGGAATAAGTCGGGGCGGGGCCGACGAACATCATCGGGGGTGCGGAAATGGGAGCTGCGCCAAGGAGACTCAATCATCTTCAGCCAGCACGAGGCCTTCCCGATAGTATCAGATTCCACTAGCGCTTCGAAGCAGTTGCCAATTGTAGAAATACACAAAGATTCTCGGTTGGCGGGATATTGCCAACAAACGACATGAAAGAAAGTGATAGGAGGTCTGGATAATGTACGGCTCTTAAGACTAACATTGGATTGACGAAGAAAACATGAGATCCACGTAGCTAAGTTTGTTAGGTACATCAATTTCACCAATCACATACCATGTAGAATGTTCAAATTTCGTGTAGGTTGCCCGGGCTGTGCTTCCTACCGACATCAATAGCTACGGGGTAGACACTGTAAAGGACCATTTCGGGTAGGTAATTACTAGTATGTGTTCTCGGTTGTTCTATCACCGTGCACGAAAATCAAGACTACCCGCGATGAAGTTGCATGTAATTACTAGCTGAAGAAATGGTGGCAAAGCCACAGTATGACAGTCCGGGAATTCATCCTAGGTGGGTAAGGGTGACAGTCGCCCGTTGAGATGGGGAGCAAAGCCATGACTAGTTGTATTGTAGGTAAATTGTGAGCGAAGTGGAGCATGGATTTCTCCGAGACTGAAAATGAAGCGCATACATGATACGGAGATCTGTGTCCGTGCCATGAAGTAAGCAGACGGTCTATATACGGCATCAGCCGTATCACCTTTAACCGGCGACTCATTAATAGTGATTGAATCTACAATATAGGATGGACCAAACGTATGGATCGCTTGCAGAGCGCCTCCTCTGCAAGTGGGAAGAGAAGAAGGCAAAAGCGGCTACCACCAACGATACAGGGAGCCTGAACCCTCCGCCTCGGCTTCTAGTCGCAGTAGCAGGCCCTCCTGGCTCCGGAAAGACAACAATCGCAAACAGGGTTGCTGGTATTATCAATTCATTACCTCCCGAAAACAACAGCCCCAAGGCTATCGTTATATCTGCCGACGGATTTCACCTCCCGCTTGCCATACTACGAAAACTACCCAATGCTTCAGAAGCCCTTGCGCGCCGTGGAGCCCCCTGGACCTTTGACGGCCATGCAGCTGTCAGCCTCGTGCGAAAGCTCGAACCACAGGCGCACCGTCAGCCAGTCCTTGCGCCTACTTTCGACCACGCAATCAAAGATCCGGTATCGGATGGTTTACTCATAGAGGCGGACGTGGATATATGTATCCTGGAAGGTAATTACCTTCTCTGCGATGAGCCGCCATGGGATGAGATTGCAAACCTCGTGGATGAGAAATGGTTTGTTCACGTCGAGCCTGATTTGGCCTGTAGACGAGTCGCTTTTCGACATCTTGCCGCCGGAATTGAAGCAACAATGGAGGAGGCAGTCCGTCGGGCAAAGGCAAACGACCTGGTGAATGGCGAGTTTATTGTGTCCAAGAGTCAGGGCAGGTACGATGTGATGATAGAAAGCATAGAATCAAAACCCTAGAAGTTTCAACCATCCAGAGAAGAGTGCATATCATAGAGCGACGTATAGAGCATCGCCTGGTTTCAGCATGAAGGAGGAAACTGTAACAGTGGTTGTAACATTTCCGACAAAAGACGACACCACTGCAATATGTCAAATAACTGTGTTGTATTTATATACCATTAAGAAAATCCATCCAAGAATCATCATGCTCCTTGTTGGCAGCGTCGAATAGCGCATTAGGCCACATCATGGAGAAAACGGCGTTCATGTGATCATGCGGGTTGTCCGCGGGCATCATCGGCCTGTCGCCCTCGGCATCAGACGAGTGGCGAAATGCTTCACTGTGAACCCCGAATGCATTCTCTGGCTGCAGATTTGACGCAGCCTCGAGTCTGGCATTGGCCGGAAGGGGTGATGATGAATTCAGATGCGCTCCGCAGAGACTTACAATGACCTGATGGCATCTTTGAGCGCTTGGGTTTACAGGTACCAGTGCCGCCATTACTTTGAGGGAGGTGACAATTTGATCACGCCACTCAGGCGCTTTAAGAGAGGAAGGATCGTTCTGGAGACAGATGCAAGGTACCAAGGCGGCTTGGAATAGAAAATACCTGTGTCAATGTCAGCCGACGACGTCTGTTTGGTCTCAGTCTTCATAATAACATACAAGGCATACCACGCAAACAGACGAATATGATCATTCGTGGCCCAAAATCCGCTTATGGATGATATCGTCTCTTTTGCATCATCCAGACACCGCTCGTAGGCCTGAAGCGACTCCGGACTCGAATTATCTTGACGGCCGCTGCGCGCAAGTAATGCTCGCCGGATGACGAAAGGCCGGTACATGATTATGCGGAAGTTTCGCCACCTCCACTGTATGACGGAATGGGAAAAGACATGCTTGGACGGTATAGAGGCCGTTTCTGAAAAGTAAGGGGGCGTGTTTTCCATCCATGGCCCGAGGCACTGGGCCTCGAGTTGCAGAAGTTCTCGGGCACTTGGTAAAGGCTTGGAAATGATGCGTATATATATCGGGTTGGTAGCAATATGAAACCTTGCCTGTGTCCGGACTGCCGTGTAAACGGAGATCTCGTGTGGATCGGGAGGATAAGAAGCAGACATAGCCGTAAGATCCTGTGAATGTTAGCCATACCTTGCGTTGAGAGAGACGTTGGGGGTATTGTTTACCTTGTCATGAACATTCATGGGCAACGATATGTCAACGCCGTTGAAGGGGCACACCTGTGGTCTACCGAATGTGATGGTAGCTCCAATGTCAAATATGCTTAACGTCCACCAGACTCTGCGTCGGATTTCCATGCTTAAGGGCGATATCTTCCATCCCTGAAAATCTTTGTGCAGCCCAAGCGCCATGGCCATCCTCGCCGCCAATCCTGAGTAACTATAGGCAGCGTTGGGTTTATCTCTCTTTTGTTGATAATTGGATATCAACGTCAGAGCCTGAACCATTGTCAAGCTGCCGACTTCAAGTACGTCAAACGAGAGTAGAGACTTGGTATGGTGGAAGATGTCGAGATCTAGGTTGTTCAAGGTCGTCGCGGTCGTATAAACTCCAAGAGCGGCCATAACATAGGCTAGAATATACCATGATCCGCCATTGGGCCTTGGAATGACTTCAGAATACTGGGCTCGGAATGTTGGTTCGTGGACGATGGGGTAACTGATGTGGTATATCCTGAAATATGCATCAATCATCGAGTCGGCGATGTGTCTGTTTATGTTAGGAAGTGTGATTATGGAAAGGCTTGCATCCGTCTCAACTGGCGAGTGGCTTTGCGTAGCCTTGAATCCCACGGGCTCCAAGAGGCGTAGGAAAGCGGCACCTGACGCAATGCCAAGATAACCACTCCGCTGTTCAGAGACAGTTAACGACGCCATGCCGTCTAGAATCTGCCTTGTTTCATTGAAGTCGCTTGAGGTCGACATTCCAGGAGAGTCTTTCTGTACAGGCTCGTGTTCATTCCAGCCAAATTCGCCTGTTGATGGAGGGCTTTCAAAGTCATCATGTTGGGAGTTATCGGAACTCTCTAAGTGCCCCAGCCCTTTCTTGTCTCGCTGTGAAGTTGGACCCTCATGAATTTCGTGTGTTGGAATATCCGCGAGGAGAGTCTCATCAGAGGCCAGTCCATCGGCAACAGCTGCGGCCAATTCATGCTGAGGATGCGACCTATCTTCGGAAAGCTCGCTATAGATGGGTCGTCTGAAGCCTGAAGAACTCTCGACTCCCTCTGTGGCCAGTCCTGACTGATCTTGCCTATTTTTAGCCAATGCGTCTCTATCGGATAGCTCGCATGGTGAGATAGTCGTATTATTCGATCCTTCATTGAGAACATTTTGCGGTGGAAGAGCAGCTCGTAGTTGTCTGATCAATGCCTCAGCCTGCTCTAACCTTTCTTCTACTTCAGTAAGATGCCTGCCGAGGTACATTAGATTGGAACGGTGCCTCGTAGCAAGTATATTTGATGCCGATACTCACCTCCTCGTTAGTGGAGTTCGAGAGTGCTTTTCGTATAAACAGTGTCTTCTGTATCTCAGGCACATGTTACATGTGGGGATTCCCTTATTGCATTTTGACTTTCGCCGTCGGCATTCTTTGCATGCCTGGTCGGCATATCCCAGTGGCTGGGCGAGGCCTGGAGGTGCTGGGCTTTGAGCCTCCATTGACAGAAACGATTACCAGCGCTGTTGATCGATGATAGCTCTTTTTTACTCATCACAAGATGATTGACTGACTTACGTTTTGAAGATGGGACAGAATAAGAGCCAAGCCGAACTCTTCTTTAGCCCAGGAAGAATGATGTCCCGATGGTTTGCACGGTGGATCCATACATGTACAGCTCCCCACCTAGCAAGCATTTAGCCAAGTTCACGAGCCGAAAACTGGTATGGTCTGCCTTGTCCTGCTGAAGAAAAGAATTGGCCAGTTAGCTATGTGCCCGAATATGGCTCCTATACTTGGGCCAAATCATCCCGATAGAAATGGAGACTCTCATAACCGTTAGGCCTCGGTATACAAGTAGAGGGACACGGGCAGATCGCTGCCGTATTGCTACATGTACATACTATTACCCAAGCGTTGCCATGGCGCGACGCCCCGCGTTCGGGACATGTCACTAGGACTCTAGCACGAATCTGTTAAGATTTGTCCAGGCAAGGGCGCAACGGTATATAAGTTGTATAGACTGAGAGGATGACGCTTGGTCGAATATTGCTAAGTAACTTTCAGGCTACTGAACAAGCACTTGTACGATTCTAAGCAGGTCATCCTCTGCCACCATGTACTCAGAGAAGGCCGAGAGTCTAACAAGGTTGGATAGACCGTTTTGACCAGATGATGCATGTAAGGAACGAAGAATAGATCCACTACAGTCAGTTTCTGAGCTTTTGTTAATCGGCTTTCCACATCGCTTACATCAAAGCCTGATACTTACCTCTCCAGCCATGAACTGCTGATGAATAAGCCTCTTATCCAGCAAGTCGACGACTCGCTCAACTCCCATCCGAAGTTCTTTGCACTTTTCAACGTCCGTCTCGCCGTTGAACCATGACCTGTTCACGTTGGTATGTGATCTCTCTAGAGCCCTGATCTGTAAAGGACATACGGCTTGAATAGCTCTTCAAATACTAGCTGATTGGCGACGGCGTCAAAAGAAGTGAGCTCAATTGAGGCTGCTTCTTCGAACTTTGCAATGGCTAGCACGTCGTTTGGATCTGGGAGCAGCGAAACCGACGAGTCATTGCTGCCATAGGCTCGCGCAAGGTATCTCGCAATTGCACGCGACTCCGCCAACATCAGAGGCGGATCATAAGATTCGTCTCGTATGAATGGCACAGCGCCAAAGGGGTTAAGCTCTAATATTTCTAGACGCTAACTCGTGTCAGAAACTCGTCGAGAAACTCCGGGACATCTCTGCGGCATTGTAACGGCACCTTATTCTCAGACTTGGATATGTCAACCTCTCGAATATCCTTGATCTGAAGGCCGAGTTCGTGTATGGTGAGAAGCAGCCGCTGCGGGCAGGGTAGCCGAGAGTCGGTGAATAAAGTGATCTGGGACATTTTGGTATTGATGCTGCTTACGAATGTCGTTTCTCTTAATGCTGTCGTCTGTCTGCCTGGATGAGACGAATTAACCTAAAGACTTGGGGACCATGTTACGTTTTATATCATAAGACGCCTCTGTGCGTCATTTAAAACCGCAGGGCGTAAAAATGTCATCAATTTGATCAGCTCAATTCTTGTTCTCTGTAGGCAGATTGTGCGTTGACGTACTATCACCATCCCCGAAAGGTTTCGCCGAACAGGCGGACCCCCACCAGCTGTCACGGCTGGTGGGTTTACTACATAGAGTAGGCACTCAATCGAACGCGTAAGTCTGTTTACACTTGGAGATACATATTACCATACTATCTTGTTCATTATGAAGCCTACGCAACCGTTAATACCGGATCTACGGGGTAGGCAATTGCGCGTCCTTCCGAGAGGTGCCAGTTAGTAGTTTGTCAATTCGAAATCACGGAGCATATGTCATAAGGAGAGCTTCTGAAGGGTTAGTCAAATCAGCCCAGGCGCCATTCATGTCGATTCCAGTGTGCCAAAGCGGCTTGCTTCAGCTTTCGTTGATTGAGCAAAGATAGGAAGCGGGTTTACGAAATTGGTGAAACCCAGAGTGAAGAGAGGTAGCTTCCGGCGTCGGCCTATAGAAGAGCACGAATCTAAGGTAACCTCAATTAGAACTTGGCTGGCAGATGGATTTTCCTGCTGCCTCTTACTTGTCTTTTGAAGCTTTGAAATAACATAGATATTGCTGCAGGGGAAGCCCCGCGGCAAGCCACCGGCAGCAAACTCCGGTAAGGCACTCAGAGGGTCGGGTACCTATAAATTTAGCCAGTATCAGCAGATTTGCTCACAATATGAACGCCTCTAGCAGCATCAGATTTCTAGATGCTTCGTGGTCCATGCCAGTTGAGAATGTTGCTTGAGATCAGCCTGTATGCGAAGTTATAATGGAAAAAAAATGGTCACTTGACTGAGGCAGAGACGCATTTGCGCATGATGAAGGTATGTGATACGGAAATCTCTGAACTGCACGTGTCCTGAGGGTGGCCCGGCCGCCTTGTCTATTTTCAATGGTCTATCTGATCTATGAAGACACTGGACTCTGTTGGACAACGAATTGCTGATCATGAGACTTGAAGAGCTTCGAGCTATCCAAAAGGTTGCCGGTGGAAGACTGGTAGAAGTCGACCTGCAAGTTTTGTTCGTCCAAGAACCGGATTGTGGCATAGCTGAAGTCATCTGCGTAGGCAAATGCTGTGTACGATGGCTTGGAGCCAACGTCGGAGAGGCCCTCGATATTACCCGCGCCGCCAGCGACGATATACATCGGCGCCTTGGGATTCGCCATGCCGGCGGCATCAGCCGTGCCATTGTAAACAGGGAAAAATCGCTGGGAGTTGTGAACATGGCCGAAGACTCCCAAGTCAACGCCATACTTGTAGAAGAGTCCTTCAAAGGCTGTCTGACAAGGTGTACAACCAGCGTCTCCAGTGCTGTACCAAGGTCGATGCCCGGCAACAATGAGCCAGGGCGTGACAGCGCGGTCGACGGAAGCGAGATCCGCCTCGAGGAATTGGAGCTGCTGATTCGGGGCGCCAAATGGCCCGCCGTTGAGGCCAGCAGAACCATCCGGTCCGTCGGGGGCATCGGCAAAATCTGTCTCGGTGTCAATCATGACAACGTGCGCCATTCCGTACTCGAAAGAGAACCAGAAGGGCGGTTTGGCGAGCTGCTGAGCCTTGTTTGCATTAACCTTTGCCGTGTTGTTTGCCGAGGTGGAAGTGAACACCGTGGGCATAGTCCGGCCAAATCGGTTGATGAAGTCACTACAATCAAAGGGTCAGCATCGCAGCCTTCGTCAGAGGACGGCCCGGGCGCAAATGTACCTGAAATTACGCTGCCCGGCGTCGCAGAGTCCAGTCGTGTGCGGAATTTCTTGACAAGCAGCTTCATGGTTGCCTGGGCTGGCCATGTAGGGCTTGCGGCCAGAGATGGGAGCAAGCTGAGCATAAAATTGCTCAAGGATTGCTTGGTATGCATTTGTCCCATCAAAAATGTTCTTGGGCGTCTCGATCCAATCATCAGCATAGGCGAGGTCCCCGGGATGGATGACGAATTCATAATCATTGACTGTCTCCGCTAACCGCTGGATGGTGGTATGGTTCAACGAAGGATCGATAGTCGGGATGGAATCACGCTTTGTCTGGTCATTCTGGATTGTGTAGCCATCGGGGCCTACTACACCCAAGTCGATAATGGCGTTGATGGAGAAGGGGGTTCTATCTCCGGCGAGGCGGGGACTCAGAAAGTGATCAACACTTGAGTTGGTCGAGACAATCTTGTAGTAGTATGTTGTTGCTGGCGAGAGGCTGCTGAGCGTCACAACATTTGACCAAGTGCGCGAAGTCTGGTATGTAACAGAGCTCTGAGAGCAGGCTTGCTGCGTCAGAGACGTGGCGGAGGTGCCGTAGGCAACACACGGCTGGCTTAGCTGTTTGTATGTATTCCAGCCGATTGATACGCCTGTGACAACCAGCTTAGCATAAGCCACGCCTGCCTCGAACAACTCACGAAGACGTACTGTTGGGTCCATTGACAGCAATACGCTGCTGCACCGGAGTTGTCAAATCAGCAGGGATAGCAGGGTAGCTCGCAGCAGCAAAAGCGCTGGCTGCCAAAACTGGGAGGGCCTTTGCTGCGGCGAAGATCGAAACCATCTTCACTCAAGCAAGTGGTCAGCCTCACGGTAAATGATGATGAAAAAAAGATGAGAATATATATTTTTAAAGGGATCAGCGGATTTGGCGATCAAAGAGGTCGGATACCTATTTGTATTCAGTGGAAGAGTTACATCCATGGTTCACGACCCCGTGCTCTGGGATGCTTATGCCATTTTCTCGTTATTAATTCCGTGGCTTCCATAGGCGAAACAACAGAGATGCTGCATACGACCTGGCATCTGAGCTGCTTTAAATGGGAATATGCCCGCAGATCCCCTCTACCGCATCTGAATCGAGGATGAAGCCGATACGCTGTGAATGTGATGTTATGACTCGTGGGGCGATCGTGTAATGCTATTGGCGGGGCCGTTCAATCTGGAGAAGCGGGTTGATCTGGTTTGCCCTTCACTCTTCTCAGGTACTTGATCAACGAAGCTGCCTCGGTAATTGATTTGGCTAGACTTTCCTTAAGAAATAGCGCACCGGCAGATATCAGATTCTGAAAGCTAGAGTAGATATGACCTCGGTATCGGCCATTAAACGCTGATCGTAGCACGCCTGAGAAATAATTGCTGCTGCTTGAACTGAGCCCTAGGAGGAACTTCACTCAAAATGCGAATCTGAGTCATGGTTCTTCAAAGAAACAATCTGCATTTACTAACTCCCAATTCAAGGATAGAGAAGCTCTAGCTCCATAAAGAAGAAGGATTTCACAGGCATTACAGACATGTCATAAGGGCACTAGTAAGAGCTGTTGGTCAGTCGCATGTGATATATTGATCTGTATGTTCTTATATATTTGCACGCTTGAGAGCTCCGCCTTTCATGGCAAAACTTTTCAGCAACTGTACCCAACGAGGAAGTACTCCATACAGTCAAGGTCATCGCATCTATGAAAAGTTATGAGTATACATTGACTAGTTGCGTGCGAGTTACAAGATACTCGCCCTACCAGAGGGACACTTGCAATATCAAGGAAGGCTATCAACCCCCTTCCAACAAGATGATGCTCCCTTTATTGCACATGTTACGAGAGAGGAGTAGGAAATTCGGTAGTCTAACATTTGCCTTTTTCGCACTCGATTGCTCCTCACGTTCTGCCTATGTTCAGGATGCCATTCTGATATTGAGTTTGAACTTGGCATATCATTGTTGTGATTCAGTCCTGAGCAAGAGACGCCCTATGCTGCTTGGAATAACATGTGGAGACAATTCAGGCATCCAGTCCGGAGGCGCACGATATAGTCGGCACATTCTCGAGTAAAAGACCTGCAGATCAATGGTTCTGCTCAGAATAGCACCCTTTGGAGGGTATGATTGTATCTCTTCCAAGGATGTAAGAACCGCAAGTATTAGACCATTGAGATTGTCTTCACATCTAAGGAGGATCAACAGCTCCACCGCAATCATAGCTGTTTTCACTAAAGCTGGCTTTGGCATTCCCGTCACCAGAATTTGACAGTTGAGTCAAAGCGGCTGACTACGTTGATCACGGACTGAACGAGATTTTGCAAATTTTATCGGGATGAAGAAGGCGTTGCCAGAGACACTTCGCTTGTAGCTGATACCAACCGTGGTCTTTCCATTGCACAAAGGGGAACCATCACTCTATAGCAAATGCAAATTGCCATGTGTCACTACCTAGTTCTTTCGCATCGTGGGCTATCGCACAAATGACCCCATCTCGTCCGTCTTAATTCTTCTAACAATGCGATATCTTCTCCTAGAATACTAATTTCCGTCAGAACCAGAGACGCGAACAGTTGATGACATGGTCCTGGATTACGAGGGTCAGTCGCTCCTGTTACCACTGCAGACTTTCTCCGTTGTTGGCACACAGAGAAGCTGATGATACAACTAGCATGGCCCAGGTGACTCAACCGTTGCCGTTCGTGACGCTCGTAACCGACTTAGAGATTGATTGTTCCAAAATCCGGCAATGGAGGTTTGCCGACGAGAGCAGCGTTCTTCATGGGTAGATCCTACTACTTTCACATAACTGTAATGCCCTTCTTCGCAGCGTAGAGCTAGGATCTGTACCTAATGCGGCCATGTGGGTGATAGGAGCTGCTGCTGTTATTCGTTGCGGGATAGACCAGAAGTACAAGCGCTGGCGGTAGACAACATATATGGCTGTCGCAACGCATATGACCGGATCCAAGCAATGCTCATCCAGTCGCAACGGGCAACTTAGATGGGACAACTAAATATTCAATTGTAGGTGAGTCTATACTGGCCTCGTGTTTGCTATTTGTAACCGTTGGCTAACATTGACATGTAGATAGCCACTCTGGCGTCGGACAGGAGATGCCGAGCATCTGACATCATGTAATGCGCATCGTATGTTGCAACATGCATGATTGCGCGTCTTCGGGCCTTGGGCTTCACATGTATCTCAATCTTGCCTCGGCCAGCTATTTCGTTTCATGGCAGATATTCTTCTTGCGTCGTCAAGATCGACACCGGATTTAATAACCAGCTCGCCCAAAGTTCCTCCGAAAAAAGACACTACCGTATGTTGTAGACCGTTCGTTTATTGTGGCTTGAGCCGGCAAATTGAAAGCTGGCTATATTCTTTCTCAGATTTCGATCTTAAAACTTCCACAGTTTTATGATTATGCCAATCGCCGATTCGAGAAGAGAATTTGATGTCATAATGATGCCACTTTGAGATTCTAGTGCTGCTCGATCTCATCGTACCACTCAGATGGTCAATGTGTGGCACCACGCCACCTCATCAACTAACCCCTCATGATCGGATTATCGGTCTTTGAAGATTAATTCAAGATTGGTTGAAGATGTAGATAAAGGCTGCAAGCGCACTTGCTAACACTCAGCTGGTGCATAGCGACTTGAGGCTCGGTATAGACAGCAGCTTTAGAGGTCATCGCAGATCCTTCACAAATAGGTAGCCAGTTTCTCAATCTTCAAAATGACCAAAGAGCCTAGCCAGGAATTCCACGTCAGCACCTCTCTCCGCCGGAAATCCCAAGCAGAAAAACTCGTCCAAGCAGAAGGGTGCTTCGGCCTCAGTTTAACAGTCAGTCTCGCTGTTCTCTCACATATTGTTGATCTACCATCAGTGTCGAGATGGAAATGATGTGACCTCCGTCTCAGCTTCTTGCCCTTCCATTATCTGCTCGTCCTATCGTCGCGTTCTAATGTCTGTTCTACACTGTAGCCCATCTTTGTCGGAATCTCAGCCGTGTCATCCGGATACAAGACGTACCTGGTTTCTTTCGCGGTTCGCGATGCGACGTATCTCATCGATTTCTCGATCAAAACCGTGACTGCACCAGAAGGCAACAATGGCCAAGATTTTCTCGCAGACTACATCATCAACTCGCTCCGATGGTATGAGCACAGAACTTTCACCAAGGCTGTCGGCGCTGGACTTCCCCATTCATTGAAGACGACGAGCCCGTCGCTCTGCTCACGGCTCTGGCTTGAACTGGATATCGTCCCTATCGTTATTCAGCAACCCCATGAGCATGCAGAGCGGATAGCTCTGTGGCTCAGCAAGCGGGTGGACGAACAAGCCGATTCAATGGCGAGAAAATGCATCATGTATGTGATGATGCGCAACTGTCCTTCGACGTACGTGGCCAACTGACCTCTTTCAATACAATAGGAATTTCGGCCCTTCATTGGCTCCTCTTCTACAAGTTGCATGGCGTGGCATTGTGGAGGTTGATGCATCATTCCAAGCACCTCTCATTTCCCTCGAGGATTACAAAACTACCTGCAGCTTTGCATCCTGGGAGACAGTCATGCATTACGCAAAGACTTTACGGAAGCACAAGACCAAGATTGCTTTCTTCAGCAGCACCCCCCAAGGTGGTGGTGTGGCTCTGATGCGGCACGCTCTCGTCCGATTCTCTCGCGTGATGGGGGTCGACCTTCGCTGGTACGGTAAGTTACCTTCCGCGCAAGCACAATTTATCCTGCAAGGTCGAGCTTGAACTGATGGGCAACAGTGCCCAAGCCTCATCCGGGAGTGTTCCGCATCACAAAGAATATCCATAATACTCTCCAAGGAGTGAGCCCTGAGGGTCAGTTCATTTCAGCAGAAGAAAAGGATTCTATACTCAAATGGATCACCGACAACGGAAATCGGTACTGGTTCTCTGATGGAGGGCCTCTGTGCCGACCAGAGAAAGGTGGCGCCGATATCGTTATTGTAAGCTTGCTTCACAGCCCAGTTCAGGCTTGATTTATGCCATGTGCCGTGCAGTTTACTCACCTAGTCAAAGATTGACGATCCGCAAATGCCGTGCCTCATCCCGCTCATCAAAAAGCTCACGCCATCTCGGCCAGTCTTCTATCGATCACATATCCAGATTCGTACAGACCTGATTAAAAAGGCCGATTCTCCTCAAGCAGACGTTTGGGACTTTCTTTGGCAAAACATCAAGCAAGCAGACTTGTTCATCAGCCATCCAATGCCTTCGTTTGTGCCACATAATGTGCCGCGTGAGAAGGTGCTGTATATGCCTGCAACAACAGATTGGTAGGCAAGATTCGCCTTGAAAAATCTGAAATAGAGAACTGATTCTCAAATTACCTAGGTTGGATGGCTTGAATAAGCCGCTGGACATATGGGATACAGGATACTACGGTCACCTTTACAACATCAAATGCCGATCAGAGCGAATGACGGAGCTGCAGTGGCCAAGAAGTAAGCGAACACGGCGCCCGAAGCCCAAATACTGCCTTACACATCTTCCACTAACGCCTTGTAGGGAAATACATTATCCAGGTGTCCCGGTTCGATCCAGCCAAGGGGCTGCCAACTGTCGTCGATGCGTACGCGTGTTTCCGGGAGCAGCTCGAAAAGCATGGAGGCATCAGTATCCCTCAGCTCGTCATGTACGTTTCCCCACCCCATTTGTCCGTTGTAACGGGTGCTAACCTCTCTATTGCAATCAAGTTGTGGCAACGCTTCCGTAGACGACCCCGACGGTATCGCTATCTATGATCAAGTCATGACCCAGCTGGAAACTAAATATCCTCACCTTTTGGCCGATGTGAGCGTCATGCGCTTAGACCCTTGCGACCAGCTGTTGAACTGCCTCATGGCCAACGCCCACGTCGTCCTCCAACTTTCGACGTATGAAGGCTTCGAAGTGAAAGTCTCTGAGGCACTCCACGCGGGTCGCCCTGTGATCGCTTCGTTTGCAGGTGGAATTCCTCTCCAAGTCAAAGACAAGATCAATGGATTTCTCGTCCCACCAGGCGATTGGAAGGCTGTCGCAAGCCATCTGATGGAGCTGTTTACCGATCTTAAGCTACACGAGCGAATGTCCCAAGCCGCAAAGACTGGCGTTAGCGACGAAGTCGGCACGGTTGGCAACGCTCTGTCTTGGTATTATCTGACCTCAAAATGGGCACAGAAAGGGCCCAAGCTTGAACTGCTCGGAAATGAACAATGGGTCAATGACATGGCCCGAAGCGAAGCTGGCCAGCCCTATGCTGAGGGCGAAAACCGCTTACCGCGCAGCTTGACTCAGCTTTAGTCGCATATTTGTTCCAATTCATTCCATTCAATTAATTCCGCAGTATCTGCCCTGTTAAATTCGTAGCGTCAATTCTTTTTGCCTGGAGTCATAAGAGACTGACATGGTTGAACCCGAACCGTCCTGCCGCAACATTATGAGAACATCCAAGCGATACTTCCTACCGAAGGCGCTAGAAGGATATCACCCAAGTTTCCAAGCATTCCCCTCTTCTTTAGTGAATACTGAAGTCGAAGAGCTGTTGCAGATGTCCCCCCCAGGTCATACAGCGTGGTGTCCAGGGCGATCCCTGCTGGATGCACCCCGAGTGCTTCGGAAAAGGCTTCGCGGACTTTGCGCGTCCTTTTCCTGTAAGCCGGCATAGCCTCCAAAGGGTTACAATGCTCTGATTGGCTGAAATATGAGAGAATCTTTGCCGGTGCAGAGCCAGCCATGAGGCCCTTGATGACGCTTGGGATGAAAGATATAATGGCTGCCATCTGCGGCGCGGAGAGAGCCCGCGCATTGTACTCGATCCCACAATGCAATCCTTCATCTTGCTCAGTAAACTCAAGCTGCAAAGTGAACTTGGCTCCTCGGGCTCGAATACGCTGACTCGAAACTTGAGTTCCAGGCAACCGGAGAGAATGCTCCAGGGCGTCTGACTTCCAATGGTAAATAACTACGACGTCAAAAAGAGGCCTTCGTTCCTTGGCCATTCGTAATATCTGCATGTAGGGCATCTGGTTCTGCACACAATGGTTGACCTCTGACACAATGTCATCGATGAATCGAGCAGAGTCCGATAGGTTGCTTTTGTGTAGTTTTATGTGTACTGGAAGCCGGTCGAGGAGGAGTCCCATAAGGTTCGCCGTTCCAGGTTCGTCTCGATTCATATACGGTATACCGAATATGAATTCATCCTCGCCAAATACTGCAAAAAGCGTGATTGCGGCCGCGGCGAGAGCCATGCGCTGTGAAAAGCTGCAGCCATCCCCGGTTGCGACAAGAAGGGACTCGTAACAAGGTACGTCTCGACCAAGATTCTCGCGTCCATTCTTATCCAATAGCGGGACTGCTTCCATTTCTCTGACGCGGCCGTGCCAGAACTTTTGCTTTGCAAGAGTTGCTGGCGTGGCGGGCAGCGCGCTGATTTTCGCCAGCCACTGCGTCCATTCGATGTAGGTGCCCTTTGGAGTGCTTTCTGCTGCATTCTGTCCATTAGTGGTGACAGAATCGACCGCTGCCGTGTACCTCTTGCCGATAGATTCAAGTAGAATAGCAAGCGATGCCTTATCCGTGATGATGTGGTGCGTGATCAACGAGAGCAACGTCTTTGCTGTCAAATGACCATCATCTTGCTTCCAGATTACTGCCCGAATAAGTTGGTCGCGGGCGAGGTCAAAAGGCTCCTCGATCAGAGACTGTAGCTTCGCGGTGTCCAGAGATTTCCCAACGAAGACCAGTGGGGTAGTGACCTGGTCACTAATATAACGGTGCAGAAGCCCTTCCTCAAGAACGTAGCGGGCTCGGAGAATGGGCTCTTCCCGTATAACAGAGACTAACGCGTCTGTTAACATACCGATATTGACATGCCCCTCAATTACAAACTGGAACGCGGTGTTGAAAAGCGACTTAGTGTTGGAAATGGTTTGCCAAAGAAATAGCTCCTCTTCCAACGGCGATGGTGTTTGAGCGGCAGTCAGGCTTGCCGGAACAGGTAGATTGGACAGAATCGACTCGAAGGATTGTATACTCTCTTCTGGCTCCTCATGAGTCATATACTGATCAATTGCCTGCGCAAGGTTCGACAGTACTACCTCTCTCATGAGAAGAGGCACAGGAGTGCGATGGCTCGTGGATTCGGATATTAATCGAGCTGCCTTTATGGCTAATAGGGAGTTTCCACCTATGGCCAAGAAATCGGCATCGCGAGTGATTCGCCGCTTCTTATTATTGGTATGGAGGCCGAGAACTTGGATCCAGATTTCCGCAACCATCTTTTCCGTCGGCGTTGACGGATCATCCCCTTGATCTTGAGCCCCAGCAGCCAAGGTCTGCAGCGCTGTACGGTCAATCTTGAAGTTTGAAGATTGCGGCAACGTGTCCAAGGCCACAATTCGCGCTGGACAAGCATAGACCGGGAGTAGCCCCCTAACCTCCTGTCGGAGGGTGTCGGTGTCCACGGTATTTGGCGTCACAAAAGCGACAATGCGATTCTGGTCGACGATGGCAGCGGCATTCTGTACGCCCCTGTGCGCGGCTGTAATGGCGCGTTCAACCTCTTCCATCTCGATGCGGAATCCTCGAATCTTAACCTGACTGTCAATCCTTCCGACAAACACCACCTTCATTTCCTGGGTCCAGTAGCCTAGGTCGCCTGTTTTATACATGGTCTTACCAGGGAAGAATGGGTTCGGAAGAAAAGCTCTTCTTGTCTCGGATGGCGAGTTCCAGTAGCCGTGAGTAACTTGCTCTCCAGAGATGTATATCTCTCCCGTGACGCCTATGGGAACTGGACATTGGTGGTGATCTAACAGATAAAGCTCCAAATTCGGAACGGGCTTGCCGATAGTAACTTGATGACCAGGTAGAAGGTCTGTTCCTGTGGAAATAGGCCCACACTATCATAGCAGTTAATGAATGATCTCGTCGGACTTAAAACTAGGCAATTACTCTCACCTCGCTCGGGCCGTAAAAGTTGAATAAACGCGTGTGCGACCAGGCATTAGCGAGGCTCTGGGAAACAGCTTCCCCAGCAAGCCCAATTGTGTCGAGATTCGAGTACTCATTTGGCGATAGTGCTACAAGAAGCGACGGAGTGGAATAGATTGCATCTACCCGCTTGAGGTGACTCAAGGGATCACTGGGGTCTTTCAACACCAACGTGCCGCCGTAGAGAAGGGTTCCAAATATCTCGACTAAGACAACATCAAAGCCTAATTTGCAGAGCAGAGAGACCAGTGTCAGATACATTGAGTTTCCTATTTGCATACCATTTGCAGTCGTTGTCCGAGACTTACCAAGAGCATAGACCTGACCAAGCCGGCGTCCAGGCCCAGAGAAGAGGCGGTTAGGCTCGTGATTGATGACGCCAATCAAGCTGTGATTGTGCAAAGCGACACCTATAATAAAAGCTGTCAGCATGAAATCTACTCAAGGTGATACAGATCGCTGAATCAGATGCTTTACCTTTGGGAATACCAGTACTACCTGAAGTAAAGACAAGATAGATGACGTCCGAGGGCTTTGAAATGGTCTCAAGTGTGAGTGCTGGCGTCTCGCGAGAGGCATGAAACTCTTCAGAAACAATTATTCGGTTGTTTGGGACGTGCTTAGGTAACCGTACGCAACCTCGACTTGCGGCGACAAAAAAGGCTGCACCGCTTTGCTCTATGATGACTTCGATGCGAGCTGTTGGAAGGCTAACATCAATGGGACAGCAAATGCAGCCTGCTTTAAGAACCGATAGGATAGCCACAATCCAGTGGAGTGAGCCGTCAGTGAGAATACCAACGACGTCCTCGGGGCTTGTGACGGACCTTAAGTGACAAGCCAACTGATTGGCAGCGTCGTCCAGTTGTCGGTAGGTCATCGATCCCTTGGTGGACTCCAAAGCTACCAACTCCGGCCACTTGGCTGCAGCAGCCTCGAATGCGTCTTTGACCGTATCGTATCCGGGATACTTCTTCTCTATCTCTTGCGGCTGTTTCAAGAGATTTGTTCTCTCTTCTCCGATGACTATCCCGTCTCGAACATGCTGCAACAGAGCATTATCCGGATCGAGTAGCCCTCTGAGCGCATAGTAAAAGTGCTTCAGTAGACCGGCGATGCTCCATTCTGTATACTGCGAACTATCGTAGAGAATGCGAGCTCGAAGATTAGCGTCGCTGTCCTCCTCAAGCAACAGAGTGATGCCAAATTCCATCATGTCTTGCCGTTCAGTTGTCCATGGCTCCGGAAGCGTCTCGCAAAGCTGTGACAGAGGCGGCAGACCGTACTCTATGACCACAACTGTTTGGAAAGCGTTGGCTATTTTTTCAGCTGGTATTCTTGCCATTGCGTTATCGGCACACCACTGGAACTCGAGCATCTGCAGGAGCTGACTCTGAACTGTCGAAAGCGCGTCGGTCACAGATTGCCCTTCTTTGAACTCCAGGGGAAATGGGCATGTGTTCAGCAGCGGCCCAACAACTCGATCGGCTCCCAGTACATCAATATTTCTTCCAGAGAACACGGCGCCAAATGCGACTTGGTCAGAGAAGCTATAGCTCGACAGGACCAGGCCCCAAGCTGTATATATCGCCGTTGCCGGCGTCACACCTCGAAGGCGTCCTTTGGTCTCAAGCTCCTTGGGCCCGAACCCAAGACTGAGTTGCAAGCTGCTTGACCAGTCAGGCGCTACGGTATCTCGTGATGGCTCAGGAAGCCTTAGTAGTGGTTGCGATAGGCCGTCTTTCAAGAGCTTCGCCCAAAACTCATTACCCTGTGCATCTCGTTGTAGCCGAACTTGGGCAAGAGCAATGTTCATAAATTGTGGAGGTTCCGGAAGATGCTTCCCATCCAATGCCAAGCAAAGCTCTTCGAGGATGATACTAAATGACCAGCCATCGACCAGACTATGATGCACAAGAGCCAAGAACGTGGACGCCACATAAGGAACCGTCATCAAGCGGTATGCCGAGATGGGTGTGAACGTGTCTCCGTGCTCCAGGTAATTGATCCTCTTGCGCATTTCTTCAGAGCGAACCTGAACCAGAGTCTCTAATTGATCTTCGGTCGTCTCCTCATTGATCCAGTCGAGATTGAGTGTTGGCTGTACTCGTTGCAATTGGTCTTCAAGGCTAAAGACTGTGCGAAAGATTGAATGCCGCTCGATCACGCGCCGCCATGCTGACTGAAGTACGTCCCCCTTGAATGCCTTGTTCTTATGAGGCAGCGATAATCGCACCAGCATATAGCTTGTGGCAGAACTTCTCAATCCCGTCCGGACCATCTTCTTCTGCAGAGACGTCATTGGTCCTATGCTCGGGGCCGACCCCTGCTCAAGGCTCGCTTCCTCTTCTTCTGTATCCTCAAGACTTTCCACGGCATCATGAATAGCAGAGAGGCTCGGAAGGTCAAAAAGTGGTCCAAGCCGAAGGTGTAAGCCCATTGTGCGCAAGAATGATACCACTTTGATTCCGGCCAAAGAGTTTCCACCCAGTTCAGTAAAGGAGCTGCTGTCTGGAAGGTCCGATAGAGGCAGAGAAGTCGCGAAAGAGATTGCAGCTTTCAGTATGTCCATCTTTGTACCATGGTCGGACAGCTCTGGCACCAAGCCGCCGCTGAGAACCTGCGAGTCCTCGATATCCAACAGGGCTTGTAAAGCGCGGTTATCAATCTTGTCATTCGCATTCAGCGGTAGAGCTTCCACGGAGCGAATGACGTCCGGTATTATGAAGGAGTCGTATTTGTCAATCAAGCTCTTGCGGAGAGCAACGCCATTGACCGTCTCGGGTGTCACGAAAGCCACAAGGCGGCCTCGATGCATGAACGCCGTGGCTGAGATGACATTTGGACTGCTGTTTAACATGGGAATGACTTGGCCGTCGAGGTTCACCAGGAAACCGCGGTTCTTGACAACGCTGTCTTTGCGCCCGGCAAACTCCAGCCCATATTCCGTCATTCGCGCAAAATCTCCAGTCCGGTACATTCTTTCGCCTTCCCAGTAAACAAACTTCTCCGCAGTGAGGGCTTCATTCTCGAAGTAGCCCGTTGCCAGACCCGGCCCGGAGATGCAGATTTCTCCGTATCGAGACTCTACATCTCCATCCAGCAGCCTTATGCAGCTGTTTGACATGGGATATCCCAAAGTGATTGGCTTATTTGGATAAAGTCGTGCCACAAGTGAGGCAAACGTCGTCTCTGTGGGACCGTAGAAGTTGTACATGGGAGTGTTCGGTAAATGTTCTCCCCACTTACATACGAGTGAAGCAGGCGCTGCTTCGCCTCCAATCATGATAGCTCGCAGATTGGAATAGCTGGATGGATCTTGAATGGTAGCCAGCACAGAGGGTGTGCACGCCATGATAGTGCAGAGAGTCGCCGTGTGCAAGTAATCCGCGGGAGTAGCGATCTTTAATTCAGCGCCATTACACAATGTAGACAATATGACGGCCGTGCAGGCGTCGAAGGCGGGAGAGAAGATGAGTATGACAATGTCAGCAGGGGATGCGTCCAGGTTGAAGGGGGTCTTCTTTCCCCCTTGTTGTACATAATTGAACACCGAGCTGTGTGGGATCATCACCCCCTTGGGCGTGGATGTCGTGCCTGAAGTAAAGATTATAAACATAAGATCGCTGGGTTTGATCTGTTTCCAAGGCTTATCGAGCTCGTTTTGCCATTGTCGTTCCATCGTCGGCTCAAAAGCACGCTTGATGTCTTGCAACGGGATCTCCTCATATCCGGGGAATTTCTCCGTGCTAGTATTCAGAATAATACGAGCGGATACTCGTTCCATCGTCGAATTGATGCGGTCCTTGCTCCAAGATTCCACGTCAATTGGAACATATAAAGCACCTGCTTTGAGAACACCCAGAAAGCAGATAACCATCTCAAGGCTTCTCTGTGCCAGAACAGGAATTTTGTCTCCAGGTTTGACCTGCCTCTCGCATAACATCCATGCGATGTAAGTGGTGGCATTTTCTAGCTCAGCGTATGTAATACTCCGATCACCGAATGAAAGGGCTATATGATCAGGTTGCTTCTGTGCCCAGTCTTCAATGAGATCGCATACTGTTCTGGGTCCTTTTCCGGCCGTCCCAATAGCAACAGTCATCTTTAGGAGAGGTGGGGGAGCTGCAGTAATAATTTGATGTAGATTAATAGAGGTTAAAACAGCAACCTGAATTGCTGTAGGCCCGAGACGAGAGGGCAACGGGAAATGTGGTTGCTAGGAGAAAGTGTTGCATGCGAATTCCAAGAGAGGGCCGCTTCATTAATCATTCCCTCTGCCGCCAAACAATATGCGGTGAACACGCTCCATCATCAAATACATGCCGGAATGCATCCGCATCAAGAGCGGATGGCGGGTAAGCTGACTGACTCTCCCTCTCCACGCTCGTCGAGCTGACAGCGCCAAAGGCATTCACGTTTCCGTTGAATGACGTCTGAGGAGAGGCTCACGATTCCTCTATAATATGACAGGTAGTTGTAGTTGGACTTTTGATATAGAAGCCACGCTTTCATGTAGACTAAAATCCTCACATCTGCGTTGTGAATGACATGCTCACCTGAACCATACTCGACATAAACCACATGTACAATGGCACATAAGGCATTGGTCTGCTTGATCTGCCTGCCTACATCCCACATGACTTGGGGGCACCCGAAGTGAAATGAGACCACAGCCATGCCTACTATGGCACATGGACTTCTACCAGACTACATTGAATACCCACACGTTGAGTACTTAGGTCATGTAATTGCCGTTCCGGATATTGTTTCCTTTTCTTTCCGATGTAGTCGACTGTCGATAATTCCCCATCATGGGCCGCTTATATGGAGCTGAAAGCAAGTAAATAGAATAGCATAAGATACTCTAGCTCATTGGCCGATGCATAAGAGGTGTCGGATGCGTCATCTCGGCACGAGGTTCTCACTGCTGACCCGATCCAATGAGTCAAAGTCGTGTTCTGAAAGCAGCAACACAGCCTCGTTGATCATTTATGGGCACTGAATTTCGTCAATTCAACCGACGTTATCAAAAGTATCTTTCAACATCTCGGGTCGTCAGGTTGTCGGCCTTTCCTCTGGCTATGGGGAGCTCTACAACTTGGTCAGATAAGGCCCTTGGGGTACGTGGGAAATCTAGCCTTCCCCCATTATCAACCTTGACTTGTTGGTTGGCTCTAATCTTGCGCCAAACGCCACGGCTTACGGGCATTACAAATGAGCACCAATGCCGTGAGCCCAGTCGATCGTATTCCTCCATTGCGCCCGACGGCGACACTATCATCAGCTCAGCCGCTCTCGTTCAATAATAGCCACTGAGAATCTTGTGGGTTGTCGGTAGGTTTATGGCAGCAAGACGCTCAATACAAACATAATGATTTACAGCGGGTGACCTCCGCCATGATCCACCTACAACAAGCGATTCAACGCTTGAAACATCTTCCGTAGTATAGTGGTCAGTATGCAAGCTTGTCACGCTTGAGACCCGGGTTCAATTCCCGGCGGGAGAGAAGCGAAAACATTTTTTTTTCTTTTTATGTAGTTCGCATGCATGATACCGCAGTTTCCGCATATACCGACATGCGCTGCATGTAAGCGGTGCATCATGCGGTTCATCTCTGCAGCTCTGGCTATCATTGCTACTGTGGAGGCTGTCCACGCGATTAATACATACTGCATCCTTACATGGCTGCAGAACTTCTAATCTCTTGCGTAGATCTTGATTCAGGTGATAACACTGTAGCATATGTGAACCTTCGGGTTAGGCAGATTGATTGGTCCGTTTCTTCCTGATCAATCTGTGCATGCGGCTAACAGTTGCTGTAGGAATCCATCCAGCCGATTGCGAGTCCTTGGTTGCTGATGGCGACATGAAGTGCGGGTAATAGTCCGGCTTAGCTAACAACTCCAATATCCTATCACGATAGACGGAGCTCCCCCAGCTTCATGACGACATACAGGAACATGCGTTCATCAGAGCATTTAGCCGACGGAGGAGAAGTGATTTGTCAAGTTGAGCTCTTCACATAGAGAGATAAAGATGATAAATTGAGTTGCCCGCGCAAATCGACCATGGCCTTACGATACCCCCCTACCAGGAGGCGACTTACCAGCTTCTCTAACTGACCAATTCTACCCCCAGTCTCCAAATACAATTACTCAAAATGGCCGCCGCCGCCGTTCAAATCCCGAGACAGCCGGACATTTCATATGCTCCCGACTATGACAACTACCTCAACCGCATCAAGCGGCGTCAAGAGACGGAAAAGTTGGAGACTTCCCTGCCCGAGGGCTTTCCTGCCAAGCTTGAATCCGATCTTGTCTGGGACGGGAGAAACTTGGCTGATACGTATGACTGGAACTACGTTTTGACTGAGAGGGATGTTGCGGAGGTCGACCAAGCTCTTCGGCATTTCAAGTGTAAGTCGACCGTTTCTTGCGTTACAGGCGGCATGTAAACTCACATTTGTCGGTACCAGCTCTAAACCTGGACTTGGGCTACGTTACCCCCGAGACATTCCCCTTGCCGGAACTCCACGATACCCTACGAGAAATCTCAAAAGAGGTTCACCTAGGCCACGGTTTCAAAGTCGTCAAGGGCGTACCAGTCGATAAGTACACTCGCGAGGAGAACGTCATAATCTACGCCGGCATTGCATCGCACGTCGCCCCCATCCGTGGCCGCCAGGATCACCAATACAACGGGAAGCCAGCTGATGTCGTTCTCGCGCACATCAAGGACCTCAGCCAGGAGATTGACCCTCATAAGATTGGAGCGCCGGCGTACACGGCCGACAAGCAGGTTTTCCACACCGATGCTGGCGATGTGATTGCTCTCTTTGCCCTGGGCGAGCCCGAAGAAGGCGGCCAAAGCTTCTTGTCCAGCAGCTGGCATGTGTACAACGAGCTCGCAGCAACACGCCCCGACCTTATTCGAACCCTATCCGAGCCTTGGGTGGTCGACGAGTAAGTAGAGCCGGCAGGTATCCTGGGAACTGCTATGGACCATGGCTGATTTCATGATGCTTCAGGTTTGGAAAGCGTGGCAGGACCCATACCGTGCGGCCTCTTCTGTACTTCCAGCCTGCAACTGAAGACACACCCCAGCGCCTCATAATCCAATACGCGCGCCGCACTTTCACAGGATACTGGGGTCTTCCCCGATCGACAGACATTCCTCCCATCACCGAGGCTCAAGCTGAGGCTTTGGATGCCTTGCACTTCACGGCTGAGAAGTATCGCGCCGCCCTCGACTTCCACAAGGGCGACATTCAGTTCGCCAACAACTTGAGCATCTTCCATGCCCGCGAGAAGTTCAGAGATTCTCCAGAGAAGAGGTACCGCACCATCATGGGCATTCGATAGTTCTCTTATGTGCATATCCGCTAACAGCGTGTTGAAAACAGACGTCATCTTATCCGCCTTTGGCTGCGAGACCCCGAATTTGCTTGGAGGACGCCTGAGCCGCTTACCGACATCTGGAACAGGGTGTACAAAGACGTTCAACCAGAAAACTCCATATTCCCACTAGAGCCAGGAGTTCGCAGCGCCAGCGACGGGAAACCAGACGAGAGGAAGTACGAGTAAACACTCAGCTTAGGGACAAGTACCTCACAGATATCTTGCCCGTATAAATTGCTCAATGTATCCACAAAGCTACAAGTCCGTGTCGGGTTGAGTGCTGTATATCAAAACTCGACTGTTCTCCGCATAAGTATGTACCCCTACCAGCATCTCAGCTTGGGTAGATAATTACATGGGGCTGTTTGCCCTTGCTCGATCGCGATTCCTACACAGATAAGCTCATGCTGTGCTGCATCCTTCGCAAAGGGAGTTTATTGCTTTCTCGAACGGTAGCATCCAGGCTGGGTCGTACCCATGTAAATCAGTAGTACGTGCAATTTTTCCTGTCCAACATGCATAAACCTACTACTGTGCCGCCCAGGCGAGTCAAGGCCTGCAACGACATCTCGGTACCACATCACCTCAGAATCACGAATATGGCGACATGGGGACAAGGTTGACCCATAATGCTATTTAGTACGTCCTTGCAGACATAGCGATTGATCCTTCCGGCACTTCCATACAGGCTCTCCGTAATGAAGAGCCCATTCTTTGACAAATGAACCAGCTTGGCGGGATCGCTAATGACTGAGAGATTGGCGTAATGTAAGACACAGAACGATAAAGGTATCAAATGCATGCTTTGCCGCTAGATGGCGACAAAGCTGCTCTCTACACATGCCATTCGGAGTCCGACGGCTCTGGGGGGCGAGTTTAGCGAATCATGGCAATCAATTGCGTTATCACTGCCTTGTATCGTCACAATCAATAGTATCATCACCATCAGAAGAAGCTCCGCACTGCCAAGGACTCCATCAAAGACTGACGGATGGCAAAGATCACCCCTGTGTAGCAGCCACGACAAACAACCGGGGGTTGTGTGCTACTCAAAAGCGATGGAAGCCCGCCCTTGTCTTAGTTGTCCGATCTAAGCTTTACCACGGTACTTGCATATACCAGGCCTCATAGCCAATTTCTGAGGCTGGGTGCTACCCTCCGATATTCCTTTCACAAATACTCTCTGTCAGAGATAAGTGTTTTATAAGGAACAATGCCGTCCTTCTGGAGACGTCCTTTTCGCAGCGGCGAAGAGCCTCAAGCTGCCGAGGCGGAAGAGCGCGGGTCAACAGAGAGCGATCCCTCTGAGATTGTCGCTGGAGAAACCTACTATATCGCGGGCAAGGGTGCCAACAGCAAAGAGACGACCTATCAAGATGCCTCTGGTGCTCCTGTGGAAGAGTCGTCTCCTTTGGGATACGACGTTGGACCCCTGACGATTCTCTTCCTCAACATCAGTAAGATGGTTGGTACAGGCATTTTTTCAACCCGTAAGTCGTTGTCCTCCTCAGTACTTATTGCCCCTGGACCCAACTGAGTGAATGGTGGTAGCGTCCTCGATTCTCGCTGGCACCGGCAGCATTGGACTGAGTCTGATATGGTGGGCTCTTGGCTTCTTGACATCGATTACGGCGTTCGCGGTCTATCTGGAATTCACAGCATACTTTCCTTCGCGATCCGGAGCAGAGGTAGTATACCTTGAACAAGCATTTCCGCGTCCGCGCTGGCTCTTCTCCACCGCATTTGCTTTCCAATCTGTGATCCTGTCATTCAGCAGCGCGAATTCGTACGGTGCGTTATTGACAAACACAAATATGAGATGACATGAGTCGAGACTTTTTCTAACGCCAATGGTCCCGGTAGTCTTGGCCCAGTATCTCTACAAAATGACAGACCACAATCCTACAGACTGGCAACTGAAAGGAGTGGCCATAGCGGGCTATACAGTCGCTCTTCTCGGTACGTCCCTTTCGATCAGAGAAGGGCCCGTATCATACTCAGGTCGAAGAAACTCACACAGCTATCAGTGGTCATACTACACAACAAAATGGCGTACCACTTGGCCAATGCGATTGCCTTTGTCAAAGTTGCCACCCTGGTATTCATCTCAATCACCGGCTTCGTAGTCCTCGGAGGACATACTCGAGTACAGGATCCGACGGCAAATTTCCATAACTCATTTGAAGGAAAAGCCACCGCATACGGCATAACAAACGGCCTGTATAAGATTATATTCTCCTACGCAGGATTCGAGAACGCATTCAACGTCGTGAACGAAGTCAAGGTAAGTTTTAAAATGGAAATGTCTCTATCGGTGCGCAGCGAATCATCCGTCTTACAATTTACGGTAGAATCCTGTCAAGCAAATCCGACGGCAAGGCTACATTGCCATCTGGTCCGTCAGCATTCTATATATCCTTACCGTTATCGCCTATTATGCCGCCAGTAAGTGAAGACAATGCCTTGTCCAGAGTCCAAGCCCATCGATTACTAACACTTCACCCCGTACAGTCCCCAAGGCGGACATCATCAGCGGCAAGCTAACCGTTGCCAACCTCTTCTTTCTCAACGTGTTCGGCGACAGCAAACAAGTCAAGGCTCTCAACTTTCTCATCGCAATCAGTGCTTTTGGCAATATGGTGGCTGTTCTGATCGGTACCTCGCGGATTATCCGAGAGTGTGGTCGGCAGGGCGTTCTTCCTTGGACCAAGTTTTGGGTCTCGACATATCCTCTCGGAACTGCCCTTGGACCGTATTTGTTCAAGTACGCCATCACGCTTGTCATGATCCTCGCTCCTCCTGCTGGTGATGCTTTCAACTTTGGTACGTGCGAGCAACAGAGTTCGATCGTCGCCTCCGTCGTGTCTTGTTAACATGGACACAGTCAGTGATCTTCGCATCTACCCTGGCTCCTTCTTCGACTTCTTGATGTGCGTGGGCCTCCTCATCGTGAGACACAAACGAAAGGCCCTTAACTTGCCACGGCCCGAGTTCAAAGCGTGGGATGTCGTCATCTGGTTCAGCATCCTGAAGAATCTCTATCTACTCATCATGCCTTGGTATCCTCCTGCAGGGGGCGCAACTGGTGGCGATGTTAGTTTTTGGTACGCTACGTACGTGGTCACGTCGATCGGCATGTAAGTTTCAACCCGCTTCTCCTAGGGACATGGACACGAATGAACTGAACTTCCTGTAGTCTCCTGGCTTGCGCCGCTTATTACTGGCTCTGGATTCATGGCATTCCTTATTTCCGGGGCTACAAGATTCGAGAAGAGGTCGTCACGCTCGATGATGGATCAAAGAGCCACCAGCTGGTTAAGGTGCCAAACGCCGAAGTAGACGAGTGGGATAGGACGCATGACCACGCCGGTCGGATCATTACGGAGGCCGCTGAAATTAGTGACAAGGCGACCAGCAAGGTTCTGGTTGATGGAAAGGGCGGCGCCACGTCCAGCACAAACTGAGTTAAAGTCCTACGCCGACAGAACCTATCGCATACTCGTATCCGCCATTTATGGCAATCTAAGTGCTCCGCATACTCCTTATATACGGTACTCCACTCCCATGAAATCGACTCGTTGCTGTCCAAATAATCTCCGAGCTCCCTGCGAGTGCAGAGCGTTAACCACATTAGCTTTGATGGTTTGGGGGCTAACTCTTTTGCATCTCCATACTTGGATGTTCTCAACATGCCTTGTCATTTCGAATATGACTAGTTGATCAACAGCAAAATGGCTACGTCCATAGTACAGCCGCACCTGAGTTCAAGTCAGCGATGATATGCAACACGCTGTCGCCTTGATGTCAGAAATTTTCGCCGCTTATGCAGGCCTAAGCCTCCCTTGCTTGACAGATCCGAAGCCTAAAGGTAGATCAGCAGGGTTGGCTCTTTTTTCGTTCCTTCTGGGATACAGTGCACATGCATAGGTACTCGGAGCTGAAAGTATTCATGTCCTGCTTTGACTGCAGCCGGTAGATGGTTGAGCCGGTGCTCCCAACGACGAACCCAACACTGATTTTAGCTTGCTCGAACAGCAATACCAGGTCTGCCACTTGCTCGAATGCACAAGCAGCACATGCTCACTTATTCCCTTGCTTGTGTGACTGAGGCTCTCTGAGGTAACAGGGCTATCGGGTATTGTGGCAGTGCTATAATGGAAGTGAGCATCTGAAAGAATGCCAAGAGGAGTCGTCGTCAGCACATGTTATAAGCAAGCAACTCAATTCTGCTTGCTAACACTAAGGTAGGGAGCGCTTTGGCCATTGGCCAGACCCATGCCTTCCCGTCAATTCGTGGTTATCTGTTTGAAGGGTCTGTTTCCCTCAGCTGGCCTTTCCCTGCTCTTAGTGAGACAGCTGCATCCTAAGGCTTCCGCGTCGACACGAAGTATACGAGGCTCAGTGGGCGACAAGAACTGTGTAGCACACTACGAAGGAGGAGGCTTATAGTATAGCTAACAGACATGTGGCTGTCTCTGTTAATTGTTTCCTATTAGGCTCTGGAAACCAGAAAATGCTGTATTATGTGGTGGAGCAGGGAGGCATGCAGTGCAAATAAGCTTAAAAGATGAAGCAGGCCAATCTAGGTCAGATCTCGAAACCAGGACGGCCTGATTTCCGCTCAATTGGCGATCCTGCCGCCCCTCCCAAGGACCAACCCCAGCCATTTGGCACCTTGGTACTCCAGCCATTGCCACGCTATCAATAGATGAAATCCAAGACTCAAAACAAAGTCTGCCAAGCCTACCCGTTGCTTAATAGCGGACTCGTCTTTCCGTAATATTCTCGAGTCTCCGTTACATCTGCCGTTCTTGTGAGCTGAGGTTCGTGCGGGACTCTCGCGTGCGCCGGGCCTTGGCGCCAATGCGGGCTGAACAAGCTGCAGACAAGGATGTGGCTATGAATGGCATCCCTCGTTATCTCAGTCGCTTGGCCTCGGGTAGATGTACTAGATTAAGAACTACCGAGCTCCGCAAACAGCTAGATGTGCCTGAATCACGAATAAGACTGGAAGAGCGTAACAGTCTCTCGGGCTCAAGAAGGATAAACCGCTTGATGATGCAAGGAGCACACCAACCCACTTTGTCATGCCTATTCTGTCACCATGCGAGTGGACTTGTGTAGTACCGGGCTTTCAGGGAACTGACATGTTGCTAAGCAAGCATAATGATCATAGACCCCATCTGAGGTGACGGCAGTTAAGCATGGGCATCGGTAGGGCGAATCCACGAGCTGTCACAACCCAAGGGATTGGTTTCAGACCAGACGGGGCGGAGGGAGTGGGTGACACGAGAAAGCCTCCGCGCGCTTGGAGCCAATGATCCTGGTTCAGCATCTCGGCGGCAAAATGTACACAAACAAAAGGAAGGGCATAATCATGTCTGTCATATCAACTACGATATCAGACATACTGATTCGGCAAGCTAAAGAGGTTACGCCCTCTGGCCGGCAGAGCAAGTTTGTATACTGGTAGCGGATATAGGGATGAGTTAGGGGTTATCTCGTCCCCGAGATCTCGGTCCCCAAGTATCCGTCCGGCAATCAGGTTTACTTCGTTCTCCCTGACTAGTGGCTCTTTGCCTATTGCATAGGCCGTCCCGGAAGCTTTACCCTTCCCTTGTCCGTGCCCACTCCCGGCTGGCAGTGCTCGCCACACGGGAGGGCTTCATCAAGTGACGAATATTTTGCGAGCATTCTGCCACACACGTCAAAAGGGCTGTATGCTCCTATCGACATTGAAGCACTTCTCCCGCCCCCAGCCTCTGAGCAGCAGTATCGGTTTCCCTGATTCTAAAAGTTTGCTCTGGGGCAGTTGGGGGCCTTTTCGGGCTCCCGATCATCAGGTTTGGCTTGGCACTGACTGGTATAAACGAGCACCTGAGTACCCATTTTTCCCATGTACTTTGTTGTTTGCATCTGCTTTGTCCTTTTTGTATGGCAGTGTATGTATCTTTGCCGTCGCTTATCACGGAAGTTCTGTGTGACGTGGGCTTATATCCCGTTACTTCTACGCGAAAAGAGGTGCGTTGAGCGCGTGAAAGTGATTAGCGGCCAGTTCCTAGAAAGGTAATGTGACCATGAAGCTGATGATTAATAGCAGAGGGTTCATAGATAAAAGAGTGATGTCCAGACTGCTGTTGTTGATTCATGCATCGATAGGTCTACTTCGACCAGACACTGGAACTCCATTACCGGATACCACTGGGGGGCCCTCGATCCTGACATACCTTAGCATTAGCAGTAAAGCTCCCTTGCTCTTCCCGACAACCCTATTCTCCATATATTCTCCCACCAGATAGTCTGTCTCGCTTGGAACTTGAAACGGAGGGCCGTCATGGCGCAGACGTTCATGAGAGACGATGAACTCTGCAAGCAGTACGCAAAGTTTGCAGCGGATCTGGACCGGTGGCACTTCAAGATCATCTACTGGTTTATGTTCGTCCTGAATCTTGTGATTCTGTTCGTCGCGTCTTGGGCATACATAAGGTGCGCTATCTTTCTGACAAATCATCAAGGCCACGTCTCATGCAGTCCCATACAGAAGCCAAGATACAAACGAACAGTTCAGTCATGAGCCACGGCGGCGGACCAGGATGCTGGTGAGATACATGCTCATGTGCCTTGCCTGTGTTCTCGTATCGGCAGCAGTGGTTGTCATGGAGGCCTTTGCTCTACTTGCCTTGCAGTTTTGCGATGGTGAAAACTTAATATCGCTTTATTGGTCCACTTGGACCATGATCCAGGTTGGATCACTGATAGCCATGATGGGCATCATCCTCGCCATGGCACATTCGTTGCGAAACAGAAGACATCCGTAAGATGCTTGACCACAGGGAACATGATTACCACCGAGCCCAAGATGCTAATCATGGCTTTTAACTAGGCCGTGGGCGCTCGCTTTGGGAACACCCGTCCTCGTCATTGCCGGCTTGTTGCATCTCATCCACGACTGCACGAAGAAGCGTGTCAAGAGGATGGCGACCGGGTCCATCATGAAGAGCAATGCCCCTTCTATGAGTGAAGTGTAAGATGACGGCCTTGCTTTCCCTCCGCAAATCTCACTGACGCTTTTACCCATCAACAGGAATACGATCCAAGGAAACCTCGAAGACGAGCTCGACAACACGATCTTGGGTGATTTCATAGGCTTCACGGTCGAGGGCGGCCCAATTGTCCGGTTCAACAACTCCATGCCGCTCAATCTCAACACTGACTACGGGTTCGAATTGCTTGGCTACTACGACAATACTCGGCCTGTCGTAGCGTACCAAAAGGGCGCCGTTCAGTTCCTGTCTACCGACAAGGACAAACCATTGCCGCCGAAAGAGGCGCGAATAAAACAGGGCAAGTCGGCTGAAAAATTGCAAGAGTCTCGAGAGAATGAAATCAGCAGTGCATAATGCTTGCGTCCCCGGCCTTCCTGTGCAGAGTGGCTCTACCTTACATGCGGCTGAGCATCAAGCCGACAACATAGGATAGAGAGCGTTGATGACTGAAGGGGACAAAAAGAACACGGCGAAGGTCGACGAGGTTCTGTCAAGGCCTGCTCTTTGCAAAGCTTAGAGCTTAAATAATATTCAGACATGAAAACATATTAAAATATCGATAGTAGAGTGCAATCGCATGCAATCACATAAGTTTCCAGGTCAAGATAAAGGTGAGGCATGATGCAACAAAGCTGGAGTTGAAGCTCCCTAATCGATATCGGCCCTGGAGGGGTCAATTTAGAGGGGCGAATTCTGGGCGAGAAAATGGATGTTCTGGTGGCGGGGCAGATTTGAGCGCGGCACTCCGCATATCGGGCGCTTTGCTAATCTGTCTACTATCGCACCGAGAAAGACGACGGTCCAATCTTACAAATCAACTCAACTCCCCATCAACCTGGACATTTCAGCTTTCAAGCCATCGACCAGCATTCGAACCATGTTGATGCGCTATCGACGCCCGGGATAAGCAGCAAGACATCCCCATGGGCTTGGAAAAGGTCAAGCACGTTGTGCTGGTACGTGGGCCGCCGATACACCAAAGGGACAGCTTGAACTGCTCTGATACTGATGCCATCTACAGGTGCTCTCCGGTAAGGGCGGCGTGGGCAAATCGTCGGTGACGACGCAGCTGGCGCTCTCCCTGACGCTCGCCGGCCACTCGGTCGGAATTCTCGATGTCGACTTGACCGGCCCTTCCATCCCGCGCATGCTGTCCATCGAGGCTTCCAAGGTCACACAGGTTCCAGGAGGATGGGCCCCAGTTGTTGTCCACGAGGCGGAGCCGAAAAGTGGCCTGGGCAGCCTGCATGCGATGAGCCTAGGGTTCCTACTGCCGAAACGAGGCGACGCGGTGGTCTGGAGGGGGCCTAAGAAGACGGCGATGATCAGGCAATTTCTCAAGGACGTGCTGTGGGACGATACCGACTACCTGCTCATCGACACGCCTCCGGGCACAAGCGACGAGCACATCTCATTGGCCGAGACGCTGCAGAGAGATGCCCTGCCAGGCCAGGTAGCCGGCGCAGTGGTGGTGACGACGCCCCAGGCAGTGGCCACGGCAGACGTGCGCAAGGAGCTCAACTTTTGCGTGAAGACGGGCATCCGGGTCTTAGGCGTGGTGGAGAACATGAGCGGCTTTGTCTGCCCGCACTGCTCCGAATGTACCGACATTTTCGGGTCCGGCGGCGGGAAGTCCATGGCCGACGAGTTCAAGGTGCCGTTTCTGGGCTCTGTGCCGATTGATGCACAGTTCATTGCCCTCGTGGAGGAAGGCCAGCGACCGCATTATCCGGCTGGGACGCTGGTCAATGGGCAGGACATATCATCGGCACCACAGGGCGAGCAGAAGGCGGGCACGGATGACGCGACGCTGGTAGACAAGTACAAAGACTGTTCGCTGTATCACATATTCGTTGGCATCACCTCACAGCTCAAAGAGAAGGTTGCCGGGGTCGAAATAACATGAATACTACACTCAAGAGCACTTATATTTACTTGTCCGTCATTTTTCGTGATCAGCGTTTATTGCCAACTTGTCTTGCATGTTTGGACAGCCCTTCCGCTTCATGAGACAGGAGTTTTCGCCACCCGCCTCCGTCTTGCAAGAATTACGTTGGGCGGGGGACTAAGACCAAGCATTCTTCTAGTCTATCAGAAGTTTGGGATATGGCAGTTCACCCCATTCCTGAATAACACAAAGATGTGTACCTAGATAAGCTTGCATAGGTATTCTCTCACCTATACTTGCATGCATCATTCTATTATGGTCTTCGTAAGGTGCCCGGCCTGAAGAGTACCTAGGTAAGGTAGTATTACGGGCTTGCAGTGACAACGCACCAGGCGACACGCATCGTGATGTCCCTTGCTTCCAGAAGTGAGCGCAGCTGATTCGTCTGAATCTCTTGCAGGCTTTCAGCAGAGAACGTCGACTGGAAGTCATAAACTACCCCGTCCAACTTGGGTCATTCATTCACATCCCAATCAACTCAAGCAATCAACCTAAGTATCGATACCCTTACAACCTCAGCAACCGGCCTTCGTCATCCTCAAGCCACAAGGGTGAAGGTTGAAGGCAATTACTTGTTCCGGAAACCCCGCCATCCATGGGCCGCGTCTAAGATGAGAAGAGCGGGAAAGACAAACCGCAGCCGTCCCATTCTTGTTAGTAGTATGGACATAGTATTACGTGCCTGGCCATCGAATGTGGGTACTCTGAACAGTCATGGATCGGTGAGGCTTGTGTCAACCATAGAAGTACGTAGCCTCTGAGATGTGCTTCCAGGCCAGTGGTGGATTCGTCTACTTGCACGACAGGTCCAGCTTGCAAGATCATGACTTCTAGGTACTCCGGCATACCCCTTACATGCTGTCATCAAAAAACTTCTTGTTGACAAAGGTTGCATCAAGTAGCAAGACAGAGATGAACGTGACGACGTCAACTCATTGGACGTGAAGGTTAAAATCCAGTACCTTTATCAATTGACTTCTCAGGTCTTCCATTGAATGCCCCCTGCTCGTAAGTGGAGCCCGCGCTGTAGCAGCAGGTACCTCAGCTACATGAACCGGCAGCCAAGTACGGCAAGGTACCCCATCGCCCAGGTCCCAATTGGGCTGCATCCCGCATCACACAAACATAAACCTCAGCCAAAATAAAATCTCAGAGTGCGTACCCGCACAAGCTGCTGCAAACTCTGTTTTCCACCCAACTCTGGCTTCTTGTGCCCTCGAGCCCTTTCGTCCTGCATTCTCCCAGCATCATTCGGCTCTCTTCATCCAACTATCTATTCTGCCTTTGTCCGCAAAGCGATCTCTTCATCTCTTCTGTGAGCATCCCCGCGGGGACAGAAAAAAACAAACAGCAGAAAAGCGGCAATCGCATCGCCCTACAATACCACTTCGCACGACCAAGCATCCGCCTCGGACGACCAGTTTACACTTCGGACAAGCTTCCTTAGCTCTCCTTGTATCCATTAGCTTTAAGTTACTGGATATGAGTAGCTAGACGTGCGCCTGTCCTCACAAGACATCTCGCTCCGGTTCTTCCTTTGGCCTTCTATGCGATCGACTGATCTCCTGCGATTCCTCTTTTCGCGACCTTCCAAGTATGCCTAATTGCCTTGCCCGCTGTCCCGTCTCAAGCTATTTAAAAGCTAACGACCGGTTCCCTCCAGGCCTCGATAGCACCCCTTCAAGCTCCAAGCAAGCCTAGAGATCGCAACTACAATCGTCCACCCAAGTCAACAGCTCCTGGCGGGATTCTCTGCCCTACCAAATCCGATATCGAGTCCTGAGTATCGGACATTGCACTCCAGCGCAAAATTTCGTCGCAGAAGTGGTTCTACCCTCTCCGACCCCGGCCTCCATAACGTCCTCCTGAGACGTTAGCCCTTCCAGACTCCCCGATTGCTGCTGGCTTCCGCCAGCGTCGCTGGACACACCACAATCCTGTGGGCCTACTCTCTCGAACAGACGCCGCAAGGTCTGTTTGAGTGGCAGCTAGTGCTCCGCGGACTCATCGTCAGACGGGCATAGCAACCGCGAGCTCGTCAATTCCCTCGACTCTTTGCCGTTGGCTTCGGACTGCTCTTTCGGCAGCGACAAATCAACAAGCATGGCCAACCTTTCGGTGCCCAACAACTACACTTTCTCTCCTTCGTCGGCCACTCCCCACTTGACGATCAACCACGATAATGCGGCCGAGCTGGACTCCACCTACGCCTTCGAAGGTATGCGGCCTTGTCTTTGCTTTGCTCTGTGATATCGTTGCTGACAACACATTCATCAGGGCCCGAGAAGCTCCTAGAGGTATGGTTCGCTCCGAGTGCCTCGGCGCTGCCTCAGGGCGCTCGACCTGCTGGCCTCAAGGCCGTGACTGCCGAGACTTGGGAGACTATGCTTGACATGGTCAACTGCAAGATTCTCTCGGTGCTCAAGACCGATGCTGTCGATGCCTACCTCCTCTCCGAGTCGAGCATGTTCGTCTTCCCCCACAAGCTCATCCTGAAGACTTGCGGTACCACCACCCTCCTCCTCGGACTGCAGCGCCTGCTCCACATTGCCGCCGAGTTTGCGGGCTTCCCTTTCAACAACGCCGCGTCCGCAAACGAGATCAAGGCTGTTGCGATTCCCTACCGAGTGTTCTATAGCCGCAAGAACTTTCTCTTCCCCGACAAGCAACAGGGTCCCCACCGCAGCTGGAAGCAGGAAGTCAAGTACCTGGACGACATGGTGGACGGGGGCAGTGCCTACATGGTTGGAAAGATGAACGGCGATCACTGGTATCTCTACATCACATCGCCAAACCGAATGTTCACTCCTCCCCTGACCCCCAATTCGGAGAACAACGAAACGGCCCCGGCCAGTTTCTCGATGCCCGCCAACCTTGAGTTTGGAGGACCCGGAAGCGACGAGACGCTCGAGATTCTGATGACGGACCTCGATCCGGAGAACGCCAAGCAGTTTTACCTGGCGCACGCGAGTGCGGTCGCGTGCGACAAACTGTCTGCCGAAGGCAGCAAGGCCAGTAACACTGCTGACAACATGAGCGAGATCAACGTCTTCGCCGACGGCATCGAGTCCGACTTGCATGAGAAGCCTAATGAGATGGAGGCCTTGACCACCGAAGGCCACGCCCTCGGTACGGTCGTGTCGGAGCAGTGCGGCCTCGCCGACGTGTATCCGACTTCAGTCTATCCCGATGCCCGCATCGACTCCTACCTCTTCAGCCCCTGCGGCTTCTCTGCTAACGGCATCATTCCTCCGCCCCCGGCCACCCAGGAGGATGGCCAACAGAGCGGCAACAACGCCGGACACTACTTCAGTGTCCATGTCACACCCGAGACCGGCTTCTCGTTCGCTTCATTCGAGACCAACGTTCCGGGCGGCCAGAGCGGACGTACCACCGCCGAAATCATTGAGCATGTCGTTGATATCTTCAAGCCGGGCCGCTTCAGCGTCACCCTGTTTGAGGCCAAGGGTCGCGGCGAGAACCCTTACGGCTCGACCAACTCCGCCAAGGGCCTTGCCGCCCAGAGACTCGTCGACACCGTGCGCGGATACCGCCGCATCGATCGCATCGTCCATGACTTTGAGGACTATGACCTTGTCTTCCGATTCTACGAGCGCGAGGGCTGGGTCGGCGACAAGAAGGCTCGCGTGGGCGAGGAGATTTGAAGTCGCAGGGAGAACTTGCTGAGTAAGGACTTTAGGAAAAATTACTCGACGGTAGACTGGTCTTGGATAAGACGACGCGGTTTCGTTCTGAACACTCCTTCTCACGCTGTATTCGCCTTTTGTTTCTTTATCTACTTAACCTTTCGCCCGGTTGATGTTGATAGTCTCATAGTTTTGCATAGTGTCTTGCTTCTATGTTCGTTAATGAATCATGTTATATTTTCGCGTCCGTCTTGTCTCACGATCCTGGATTTTTATGCCAATTCCATCACCATCTACTACCTTATTTCCCGTATAGAGTACTGAGTGAATGATATCTCGGTGTTATCTCTCGATGAATGCTGCGGATCAAAGTGGGTTTTACCGTCGTTCTTATCGATAAGCAGAAAAGCGCAAAGCCAATTCTGCCCGTCTCCACTTCACCAATTTTTTCTGCAAAGCTTCTGCAAAAAAAAAAAAAGCATCACCAAAACCTTGGATAAATCGACATCCACAGCAAGCCAAACGGTCAATCGGTTTCGCCCGCGACTTCTCCCACCCTTCTCTATCACCCTTTAACACATACTCCGACTCCGAGAACACAATCAACGCAGCCCACCATGCATCTGATGTACACCCTCGACGCCAACGGCAACCGCCTCTACACCCTGAAGAAGGTCGCCCACGGCCAGGTCACCAAGTCTGCGCACCCGGCGCGCTTCTCCCCCGACGACAAGTGGTCGCGTCAGCGTGTCACGCTGAAGCGTCGGTTCAACCTGCTTCTGACCCAGCAGAGTGAGTGCCTCCTGCTATTTGCGAGTGGAAGTTGTTTTGAGTGAAGTTTGCGCTGACGGTTTCGGGCCTATAGAGGAGGAGGCTATGTAAATCTCGCGTCCGAGAAGGCGATTTGTGATTGAAAGCGAGTCTATAAAGACCGAGGAGCGGAGTTCCATTCGGCAATCCTCGGTTTGTGCGCAATGCCGAGTGACGAGAAGGAAGAGAACAGGGAGACGCCTGCTTGGATACCGCCAACTTGAGCTCTCTGTTCCCGTCGCACGGAGTCAATGACGAGAAAACTACATGAAACGGGCGGATTCTTCCTCAGAGAGAAGAGAGAAGAGAGGACCACGGGGAAAGATGCGCGACTGGATGTAGGCAAAGTCACGAACAATGGAGTTGGAATCACTATGAAATTGACTCGAGGAAGGAATATGGCGTTTTAGGCGATTGCATGTATTTGGGCACATTTGCGAAAAGCAGGTGAAGAAGAACAATACAACCTTCAATACAGTATTCTCTTTGAGATGTTATCGAAACAACCGGTGCTGCCTTTACTGGCGTTTCCCCTTTCACTGTGTGCGTGTGTATGCTTGATATCATGCAATCATTATCGACCTCCTCTATGCCTCCAACAGGTTTACTCCTCGTGTCAAGCAAATACCATCACGTCTACCTCTTCCGCCTAGAGTTTACCGCCCGTCCCGCACCAACCTTGACCCTGCCACCACCACCAGACCTATGGCCCGTCAGAAGAGAAGGCAGATAATCCTCATCCATCAGATCCTTCTTCCTCTGTCTCCGCTGCTCATCCAGCGCCTTAACATGCTCCTTCTGGTCCTCAGCGAGAATGAGGTCTCTGCCCCAGCCATTCTTCCCACCAACATGCTTGGGCAGTCTCCCATTCGCGCTGCCATGCACCGGCTTCGGCACGCTGAACACATTTCCGCGATTGTTCCACTGAAAGTTCTGCTTCAGATGGATCTTGAAGTTCCCGTGCTGATCTGTCGAGCAGCTCGTCCTTGTAAGCGTGTTCTGGCCGCACTTGGGGCAGAACTTCTTATCCATGTCCTTGGTGATGTTGAAGCAACCATGGCACCGCAGCACCCACGTCTTCAGATATGTGATGCGCGACAGCGAGGGCGCGACAAGGTTGAGATTGATGCGGAGGGCAACGTTTTGCATGGCGTAATCGGAAGTCAGAATGGCAGCCTGCAGGACTTTGGGGGTAGCATTGGCGCTCGTGCCGGTCGCGCCGGCGTCGATGGCTTGCTGCTTCTTGAGGTTGGAAGGGGTGATCCAGCCCTCGTCGTCGGATTCCTCTGATGCCTCCTCAGGTTGCTGTACAGATGGCAAACCCTGGACAGCTTCTGTTGTCGCAGGCTCTGATTTCTCCTTCTCGCTGTCGGCAGGGGCTTCGAGATTCAGTCTCTGAATGTCATCGCTGAGGCTCGCCTCGGTTTGCGGCTCCGACCGGCCATCTGCTTCTTCTCTGGTGCTTTCCGAAGCCTGTTCGGGTTCAGCAGCCTTTTGAGCTTCATCTCCCTGCACCTGTCCCTCTGTTGTCTCGTCTGCAACGGACTTCTCCTGCTGCTGCGGCCTGCCGTTCACACCCTTCTGGCCCGGCGTATTTCTCAGCCTCCAGTCGCCTCCGTTTCTCTCACACTCGAGCTCATATCCCAGCGCTAGCACCTCCATGTCCGGCCTGCTGAGAACTCCATAGTCGCCCGTTTTCTTTGCAAAGTCGGCAATGAACTTCAAGCTTTCGGGCTTGGGCGACCGCAGGGTGACGAATGGCAGCAGCGTCGTTTCAACTCGAGCCCGGGTGGCAGCGTCGCGAATTTCGCTAATGATGTTGGGTAGCGTATAAAGCTTTTCGGCTCTAGCGATGAGCACGCTGGCAGGAGGATCATTCTTGATCAGCGGACCGGTGTCGAGAACGAGGCTGTGAATCGGTTTGGTTGCGTCAACCGAAGTCGCTGGTGACTCTGTGGCTGCCATGGCAGCGTTTTGAATGGTTATCTGGGCGGGACTCCTGTCTCTATCGATCGTCTGCAGATGATGCCAACCTTGGGCCCGTTAATCGCAGAAGATTTAGCCGACAGAGAGCAGATATCTCGTACAGAAAGACTGGGACGTTCTTTGATACTTGGAGGGGCAATATTGTATGTATCGCTACACAAAATTTGGTCTACTGATAAGATAAGCATTTTTAGCATGCTTGCATGAAGCACGTGCAGCTGAGGCATAACGTAAGCCAGGATCATCAGATCTTCAGAGAATGATGCTCAACGTCCATCATAGTACTTGCAGCCCATGTATGAGTCCCTCAAACGATGCTGAAGACGGGATTGAAGCAAATTGTCAGGTCCTACCAAAACATCATCATTTTATTTATTTAAATAACTATGACGCGTTCCCATTTGTTGGTTCCCCCCAGAAAGGGGCTCATTGGCAGTCCCCTTCATCGCCAGTTACCCTATATCAGCTCCAGTTTCTGCGATTGCAAAGAAAAATAGAAACAAGAAAAAAAGAGAATACCTCGTATAACAGCTCTTCACCCGACGCCTGGAGAGATTCCAAATGCAAAATACCACATGATGAGCTAGTACGCTCGTATGGGGTAGATCCCGCGCTTGCATGGGGAAGAGGGCGTGACTTGAACACGAGCTCGAAGAACGTGCTGCCAATGCCTACCAACTCTCGTTTCTTGTTGCCGCACCCCTGGCATGATTCGTATGCAAAAGATCGGAGCCTCAAGAAGAACGTAGCAGATTACAGAAGAGAATATGCTGGGGTAGCTTGTTGTAACTTCGCGTGACGGCCTCATGAGGCCCTTCCTTGTTGGAGATCCCAATTCTGGGCTGTGCTTGCGTAGAACCTCGTATCGGACCATCGGTTATCTCCCCATCCATGCAACTGACCAGGGTTTGATGCAAATACTACTATGTACCAGTAGTATCCAACTCGGAATTTGTTTCTCAGCACCTATCCGATTCGTCTACAGCATCAGCCGACTCTTGACATGACACTATTACGTGGTGCTTCAATCTCATCAGGCAGCAACCAGCTCGGGCCAGCCGGTAGGGCTTATTTGCTAAGAAGCATTGGGACAGACTTGGACTTCCCCCATGTTCGAGACCTTCAAGTTATCTCGCGTCTTTTCTTCAGTGGCTTGTTGGTCCTGTTCATCCTGTTGATCTTGTTGGCGCTCTTGGTTCGTCGGTGCGTAGAGTAAAGATGGCCGAAGATAAGCTGCTGTATTGAGTCATCAACAGCGATTTGCCGGGATTATCAATAGAGAATTGCCATGTTTTGCCGAGAATTGAAGCGGCAAGACGCGGCCGCTTTGAGGTTTATCGATCGACAATTGATGAGATGAACTATTACCTCAAGTCTCACTACTGACACTTGCCGATCTACTGGTGCATACTACTCCAGACTCTGGAGAAGCAACGCGATCACGTCTATTTAGCTCTCAAGATGCGTTTACGAGTACGTAAAACATCTCAAGGGGTTTTCCGGGGCTCCAGACGGGGTTGCTTTCACCCCGAGATTTCCATTGAATAAGAGATTGTCATGATGATGCCCGCTCCGCGCACTTCCCCAGGCTCCGTAGTTGGACCCTTACGATTGGCCCAGTCAGAGCAACGCGGCGCAAAGGTTCATTTCATGAATGTGGAGAGCAGAACTCTCTCCATGAGCTCTGCCCCTGCGTCGTCCCTGGAAGATATGCGGTCTGCGGGCATGTTCGTTTCATGTACGAGTAGTTTCGCGAGGTCCGGCCTTCAATGGCTCCCTGTATGGTTACATATACTGTGTGGACTAGGCGCAGGATACATCGCGGTCCGTTACTTCGTACCTGAGCTCCATGCTACGTGGCCGACAAGTGCGATGGGATGCAGATGAAAACACGAGCCGTTCGACCATCTACAGTGACGCCAGCTGAGACGCCGACTTGAACGTACCGACCTGCGCCCCTTCTTTCCACCGCAGCAAGCAGCACAGAGATGCAGCGACGGATGTGATCGAAAGGGCTCGGATTTCATGGACAGAACGAGAAACAGACCTTGCAGACGTCAGCACATCAGGAGGCAAATGGCTTGCCAGCAACGTGATACCACATCAGGTTTTGGTCTAGCTCTGCTCTAGGTATCTTTCGAGAAGGCGCATGGAAGTGATCGCCGGCATTAGCGCGAGAGAGCTAGTCCAAATGAGGTTAATTTGCGGAGGGTCTACTGCAGGTGACTCGGGGCGGAATTGAAAAGGCGTAAAACCGGCGAGGGAGGAAATAGAAAGGAAAAATCAGCACGGCCGGAGCGTGCTGCTGGTGGCTGGAGATGGCTCGGTCTGTACAGCGGCTCGGCCCCCGTAAGGTTCGCTAGGAGGCCCTCGAAGACCCCTGTAGCCCAGCGCTAGAAGCACTAACCAGGCTGCTGGACAGACTGGACCTGCTGGAAGGGGCAGCGCTAGCCGAGGCGCTTCGAGGCTTGTTGGTCTTGGGTATGGCTCGAGACGGAAGGCTGGGCAATGGCCTGTCTGCCAAGGGTGACGAGCAGCGCAGGCAGGGCTTGTCTGGACGGAGAGATTTGTGCCCCGGTACCTCCGTTTGGTGCATAATGGCCGGTCTCACGCAGGGACGCGCTTGTACTCATACTTGAACGCGGTCCGGCAATGAGTGCCGCAAGGTGGTGTGCAGATTTTTTAGCCACCCATCTTGATCGCATCGACTAGAAGGATCCGGGCTGGGGGGGGTTCGGCAGTGTCACAGCTATACCGGCGTCTTGAGAATTTGAAGAATTCCAGTTGCGATGCCGGCACGTTTGGTCAGTAAATCGGATGATTCCCTTGACAATGAGAGGAGCCATTCTGGTACCAGCTGTGGCCTGGAGCCCAGCTTTGGTCTTTGCGTGGCCACACTTACTCGTACGGGTACTTATTCGCATAGCACTGTCGCTTGGTCGCTTAGACGAGCTCCGTACCTGTCCGTGAACAGGCATAGTTGTGAGAATCTCAATTGGCCACTGCGCTGGTCGGCGAGGGATTATTCGAGCGAAACAGAGGCGAAATGGGTTGCCTGAACCATCTTGGCTGGAGTCTTGACACATGAAAACTGCCACTGAGTCGCAATAGGATCCATCTTGTGTTGCTTCAGCGAGTAGCATCGAGGCAAAGAGGCTGGCCTCAGTGGACTCGGTGGAATCGGTGGGCCGGCGATGGGACAGGCAGTGGGCTTTGCAGTGGGAACGTGAGTGGACTTCTGGTGGACTAGTGGGGGAGAAGAAGCAAGGAGAGCCTTGGCCCTACAGGGTCAAATCCCAGTGCGAGGTCCGGGATGTAAACGCAATGACGTTTTGGGTCCGGGGCTAGAAGAAAAGAAGGGAAATTCCTGAGCTGCGCAGGACCCACTTGGCCGAAAGCCTTGCCTTGCATCCCATCAAACGACACTCGAATCCATGACTGTGCGATTTGATCACGGAACAGGCGGCAGCCCCGACGATGCGATGCTATGCAGGTTCAACCGCCGTGATTTGCCTCGAGACGTAACAGCCAGGCCTCGAACTTGGTTTTTTTACGTACAAGAATGCGGAGACACGATGCTGGCGAGTGATTGTTTTGCGGGGGAGGAGATGAACCTGATCTGGGGTAACGAAGGGGCCCTCATCAGCTGAAGAAGGGGACAGGATCAGGGCAGTAAGCAGCAGACAATGGGAAGCATGAAGGAGAAAGAAAGAGACGATGATACGGCTGCAGCGGTTCCCCTCTTCCCTGCGTCTCTGCGGAACGAGCTTCGAGCTGGCCAAAGTGGAGGATCGGCCGAGGGTCTAGATGCCAGCGAGGCTCGAACAAATAGACATGGACACACGACCGCTGTTTCTTCCTTATCAGCGCCGATGGAGCGCCGAACCCGGAGAGTTGTTTCCCCAACTCTCTATCCGTTTTACTTTCTCGCGCCAGGACCCCGGAGGCGTTCGCGGCGAAGATCTAAGCAGATAGCCCAGGCTTGACGTCTACGCCCACTCCGTCCGTGGCGCTTCTGCTCCGAGTGCGCGGCCACCCCGGCCACATTTCACTTATCTATCTTTCCTCGTTTGGCCACGCAGATGCGGCGCCTGCAACCTTATTAGCCCTGACAAACTAGATGTATGTAATTCGTCGTATCATCGGAATGGGGGCGCTGGTTAGACATCGTCCTAGATCTGCACGCACCATATGTGTCCGGTTGGGGGGAGTAGTATTAAACTCTCCTCTCCCCCCCATCTCCGCATTATTCGCCTCGTCTCCTCTTTCTTACCTTTCCATCGTCTTTGGCGGATTTATATAAAGAGACTTGCTCTCTTGCCACTCCGCTCCTCCTCCCTCCTCCCCCCTCTCTACTATCATTCTCTTTCATAACACATATTCTCATCAACCCCTGCTCCTCTCGATAGTTGAGTACCGGCATCACATCCGCCTCGGTACTGCTATCGGTATTCGCCATGTCGAATACAACCCTTAACATGCACTCAGACTCTGAAAAGAGTCGCAATGATCTCAAGGAGGTCCCCAACCGCGATTTCAACGTACTCGCGGGCGAAACGGGCGCAGAGTTCCGCGAGGATGCCGAGCGAGCCATAATCGAGCAGGGCGAGCACAAATTCAACCGATTGGGATGGAAGCGCCTCACCGTTGTTCTCATCGTCGAAGCCATTGCCCTGGGTAGCTTGTCTCTCCCCAGTGCCTTTGCCACCCTGGGCATGGTTGCCGGTACCATCTGCTCTGTCGGCCTGGGTCTGCTTGCCATTTACACCAGCGACCTCGTCGGCATGGTCAAGCTGAAATTCCCCGAGGTTGCCCACTACGCTGATGCTGCCAGACTGGTTGCTGGCAAGTTTGGGTATGAGCTTGTCGGTTTCATGTTCGCCTTCCAGCTGGTTCTGCTCATCGGCTCCCACTGCTTGACGGGCGCCATTGCCCTCGGCCGTATCTCAGAAGATGCCATCTGCTCTGTGGCCTGGGCCGCCATCTCCGCCGTCGTGCTCTTCCTCCTTGCTCTTCCTCCCAGCTTCACCGAGCTGGCCATTTTCGGCTACATCGACTTTGCCTCCATCATCATTGCCATTGGTATTACCATGATTGCTACTGGTATCCAGGCTCACAACGCCGAGGGCGGACTGTCTGCGGTCCCCTGGTCCGCCTGGCCTAAGGAGAACCTGGGCTTCACCGAGGCCTTCATTGCCATCACCAACATTGTCTTCGCCTACAGCTTTTCCATCTGCCAGTTCTCCTTCATGGACGAGATGCACACCCCCAAGGACTACAAGAAGTCTATCTGGGCTCTGGGCCTTATCGAGATTGCGATCTACACCCTCACCGGTGCCATCATCTACGCCTTTGTCGGACCGGATGTCGAGTCTCCCGCTCTGCTGTCGGCCGGCCACCTCATCTCCAAGGTCGCCTTTGGCGTGGGCCTTCCTGTCATCTTCATCTCGGGATCCATCAACGGTACCGTCGTCGGACGCTTCATCTTTTCGCGAGTGTTCAAGGACTCTATCATCCGATACATCAACACACCGAAGGCGTGGGCGATCTGGATTGCCATGATCGGTGGCCTTACTATCATCGCCTGGGTCATCGCCGAAGCCATCCCCTTCTTCTCCGATCTTCTGGCCATCTCCTCGTCGCTCTTCATCTCGGGCTTCACATACTACTTCCCCGCCATCTTCTGGTTCGTGCTGCTGCGCGAAGGAAGCCCCTTTGAGAGGAAGAACCTTGTCCACCTGGTTCTGAGCAGCATTTCCATGATCGTCGGCCTTATCGTGCTGGTGGGCGGGACCTATGCCAGTATTGTCGACATTGTAAGTTCCAACGCCACCGACCTTTGTATTACTCATAGACTTGGTACTAATGCTTGACTACAGAAAAGCCAATACGAAAACGGAAGCGTACGAGGACCCTTTAGCTGCGCATCGTCGTCGTAGGCGACTTGTACAATTTATGATGTATCATTGTACTTTTATTTTTGTTTCCTCATGACGATATGTACTTTGTATTTACGCGTTGTTGGTCATTTGATACCAATTAGATGAAAGCAGTAGAGAGATACCAATAGATGAAGCGTGGCGTTTCTACTACCGAACACGAATTCTTCCCGTCCCTTGCGGCATGAAAAACTGCCCGAATCTTCAGATGTGTTGGGAATTTTCTAGAAAAAGAAACTTTGTGAGGCCACGAAAATATGCCGGGCCTCAAAATTGCCGAGATTGATGGCCCCGGATAGATCTCCGATGATCACCGGCTACCAGATTTGGTGAAATGTGAGAGAGCCTAATCGCACTATTTTTTTCAGGGACTAATGAGAAGTGCCTGGACACTATTGATTTGATAGATTAATAGATTGTATATCTTTGGGGCATTTCGCCTGGTGCCTGATTACCTCGATGGGGTGTTATGCGGTACCTATGAAGAGGCTCGAGGTTGCGAAGTTTGTATGCGGGTGTGGAAAAAATTTCCACTCCTTCAGCGGCGCAGTTCTTTCTCATTTTTGCTTCCCCTTTCATATATTCCCGATGAAAGGGACTGTTTCGCGGCGAGGCAGCCCACGCCTCCTGGCGTCCGGATCAGACAGCATGGAGAGAATTTGCATCAGTGACCTGTGCCCTGAACGAAAGCAAACCGACCTCTCCTTATCCCTGCCCCATATCTCGGTGCACGTCTCCAGTGTTTCGAGTATCGTCTGTCTCGGCGGAATCGAAAATCCATCTGCGAGAGGTGCATCTGCCTGCAGCAGATGAAGGCCGGCCGTCAGTGCAGCAGCAAAGAAATCCAGCTTGAACAGACGGCCTAACAGATCCCGATTATCGGGATTCCCTACGTGCTCGCAAAGATCGCGATGATGGACGAGGATTGCGAGGCTGCACTCAAGAGAAGCCCAGTATGAGACTGGATGCAGCGTAGGAGCATTGGTGCGTAGTGCGTGGCAGCGATGGAGCACGAGCAGGATGCGGCGGAAGAAGATGTCGAGGACGGCCCGCAGAGAGGGATGTCCACATCTGGGGTGCTCTAAGGTGGTGGTCATCAGACGTTTAATGTCAGCATTGTATTGCAGGATCTCGTCATATGAGGGCTTCTCTCCATCACGATTCACTCTGGCTATGATGTTGCAGATGGTGGGAAATGAGTCACTCAGGGACAGCCAGGGACCGTATTGCTCCGTATGAGACAGGAGGGCATCGTGCGCCTCGTCTCTTTGAAGGATGTCTTCTGAAGAGAGGAGAGACGGCATACCGGTTATGGCCGCCGTTTGTATGCAGAAATAGACGATTGTGATCCATAGGATATGCCCAGATTGCCATTCCGAAACAGTCACCGCATGATCATCTATAGACTTTGGAGTCGCAACTGGCGGTTTGTGGAGGCCGATGCAAACTGCGAGTCGCACGATGATGCCGAGCAGCGACCAGCTCGCGTCAAACGACCAACATGTTCCGTTAGCAAGCTGCTTGGCAAGGACCATGAGGCAAAACGTCCGCATCACGGATATACTCGGCCGCACCATGAAGGTTGTCCGGGCCAAACAGGACTCGGCTGCCAGACAAAGCTCGATTGTCGATGCCGAGTCTCGAGTCACAGCGAAACATCCAAGTGCGAGAACCATGAGGTAGGTCGATAGTCAGGAGACGTCAGTCTGCGCGGCATCTTCCCAGAAACAATTGATGTCTTCGAGGAAGTGAGGAGGGTCGAGGATGGGATGTACCGGCTGGTAGAGGGCGAGATAGGCGTCGACAAAGGCATCGCAGCTGTCCCTGTGGCTGTAGATGAGGTTGCGGACTTTTTCGAGAGAGGACGAGTATTTTATTGCACCAGGGGAGTTGAAGGGAAAGTTGCTGGGGAGGAGAATGTCGGTTGAGCAGTCTATGTCAAGGATTCTGATGTCTTCGGCATGAACAAAAGTCTGGCCGATGTTGAGTGCCGAAATTTCGAGCTTATTCTCTGCGGTTAGCAAGCTGCTCTGTTTGCCAACCCCAAATGTTATTCTCACCCGGGCTATGAGGGCTTTCCAGTGTGTCGTTCCTCGGCGCCGTGTGCGCCACGACGTGAACAACCGACCTTGAGTCGATGACATCGTGTGCAAGAGAGAAGAGCGCGCTGTCTCCTTTTGATGGCTTTGGTGTCTTGAAGTTTACTTGTACTCGTTTCGGAAGACGGCGCGGAGTGGGCGCCGGGAGATGATGTCTGCTCCGCACTTGGTTCCGAGCGCATCGGTGAGGTTCGGCTTGCGGCATTGCTCTCAATAACGAGAGGATTCGGCACTGATGCTGCTATCGCTTGCGCCAAGCCGTCGGATCGAAGTGAGCAGTCGACTTTGGCTCTGTTGCATCGCTCGCACGACGGTTTGGTCTTGTCGCAGCGGATTTTCAACAGGCGGCATCGACTGCATGTCCTGATTTGCCTGAGGTTGGGCATTTGGACGTCCAGTCAACTCTTTATTCCATACGAGGTCTGATGCGTCTATAAGCTCCTACGAAAAGAACTGGTGTCTGCGTCTAGCGACTTATCCTATAGTATATATGGTATGCCATACATACCTGGATCTGAAAAGCTTACAAATGACATGATGTCTGATTATATGAAGCGCGTTTAGACAATATGAGAGAAGCAGCTTCATTTTGGTCGAATCAACTGATGCGACGTGCATGAAGGATTGGAAGTCTCCAAAGACCAAGTCGAACTACACCTCCCTCGGCCGATGATACAGCCTGCTAAAGGCCGAGTGGCAAGTCAGCTGTTGGTCGAAGCATTACTAAGTCCCCGTTCTCCCCATTGCCAGAAGAAGGAATTGGCCGATCCCCACTTAGCTGAAGTGATCTTGCATAAAGTCCGAATGCTACCCTGCTTGCCTGTGTACGAGACAAGGTTACTCGCTGGTTTCAGCAGAACCTGAGATTCAAGGTTGGAAGTCCTTCCACGACAACCATCTCAGATGCCTCGAGAGCACTTCATGAAGCTACCCCACGGGCCTCTCCGTCACATACGACCATATCCATTGGAAAATACGGGATCCCGTCAAGCTCTTCTCTTAAGTTTAACATCTTTCATTTTTTGCCTCCCGAGAGTCTAAATTTGGAGTCACACGATTCCGTTTTTGGAGGACAGTGAACACCGCGCTAAAGAAATTTATATATCACTGTCAAATCACCTGACCCAACCAAGCCCAACCCAAAAAAACGGTGCTTATGACGACCGTTTTATACACGGTGGCAGTTTCGACATCAGTGGTGTTGTGTGCAACCCGACATTTACAGGCATGGCCAGCTATTTGGTTTGCATACCTCCAGATCTATTTGTTATTCTCTGCCATTTGCTTTCCTTTATAATGCTTTTGTCACGACCTAATCTCCTAATCTCTTATGCAACTACGACGGTACGTACCTAGGAAGAACTACAGGCTGAGAGACTAAGGTAGGTAATCAACAGATTGGAGCGATGGAGCGACTTGCTATACTAGATCGCAGAACCTACACTTATTTGATAGATTAGATAGTCAGTCGTTGACATTGCAATAAGATTGATCACTGCTTCAACCTACCAGCTGGATGTAGTAGCATTTCCTGCTGGCGCCGTCCCACTGCGCGATCCAGCCTGCCGGCACCTGCGGCGGCGCGAACGTAGGGCCGTTATTGCTGGGCGAGGTTGTGCCGGTCATGATTGAGGAGGGAGTTTGGCTTGGAGACGCGCAGCTTCTACGCAGGGCACAGCGTAGATTGCCTTGTGAAAAAAATGTAGGCGAGAGAGAGAATGTGGAATGGAGACCTGCTGAAGAGTTTGTTCAGCCTCTCAGTCTGGAGGGGTTGTTCGTGTGACTACGGTGGTTGTTCGATGACCGGGGCCAAGCAAGCGACTTTGATGGCGAGACGCTTGCAGTCCTGTCCGAGGTCTTGCAATCGTTTGGATTGCTGAGCTGAGCTGAGAGTAGTGCGGGCAAAGGCCGTACAGGTAGAGGAGAGGGCAGCGGCCCTGCTATACTGTCTGGCCAGCCCGAGTCGAATCGAGTTGAGGTTGCAGCAGCGCTGAGGGGCGGAGTTTCCCAGGGCACCCTTTTTTTTATTCAAGATAGTCGTCTACGACACTTGCACGGCCCGTGTCCTGGCTGGGTGAGTCAGAAGTGGTGCGGATGTCTGTAATTGACGTGCGAGCGCTTCGAAACTCTAGTATAAGCAGCTTGTGTGCACATACGACACTGCAGACAAACATCCCAGTTTCTTACTCAACTCTACAAGTTTGTTATAATCTAAAAAGATCATTTTATATCTATGCTAAATGTAGAGGTTCTATTTCCTTAAAAACGGTGTAAAAAAAAAACTAACATTATAAATACTTCACCAGGTCTCGAACCTAAGACGTCTTAGACAAAAAAGTGGCGTCCTTCTCATATATGCTTCTTTGATTACCAGATGCGCCAGCACCACGACCCGAAGGTTTCCAAAATCTTTACTAGCATAATATATATACCAATAGGCCAGCTCGCACTACACATAACATCATGACCTGTCGGCCAAACTGCCGCAGACTCTAGAGAAGGCAGCGCATGATTAAGGCAGGTAACCAACAATGTTGCTTGCTAGGGTCTTGCTTACAGCCTTTTTAATTTCATCCTAATAGATTTACGCAGCGAGATTTAGTACATGCATTTGTTTACGCAGCTTAGTGAACCCGCGCTTTAATTAATGGCACGTGACCCTAATGTGGTGGTGGGCGTAACACCGGTCCCGAACTGACTTTATCAATGATGACCGATTTAACGATGGCTTCACATGCGGAAAATGCCGGTCAGGCACGAGGATGAGGATGCAACGGAGAGATTGCCCCGTTGTCCCCCAGCACTTACCTAGTATTCTGTACAGTCCTGCCAATTTCGCATGATAGGAAAGAGCTGGAATTCATTAGACTACCTTAGGTAGGTAGCTGGCGAGCAGGTTCCTTCTGTCTTAAGGGAAAGAGCCCTAAGAACCAACCTCGAGAGAGAAGGCGCGCCCGATCAGCAGCAGAAATTAGGCATTATAAATTCTCTCTTTCAACTCCCGTCTGTTAATGTCTTCTTCTCTTCTTCTTCATGCTTCATTTAATTTAGATGTGAGATACCCAGGGTCAAACCCAGGGGGACCAATCCTTCTCATACAATCTTTAAAACCTCTCTTACTTAGCATAGCTTCTCATGTCAAGGGGGCGTCTAATATATCCTTCCGGCTTCATTCGCTCCATGTGAACTATTTTTAAAACATCCCGCTTAACTCTCAATCTCGCAACCTTTTTTCATTAAGTTCTAGGTCTTATACCTGGTCTTGAAGAAGAAACCCACGAGTTGTCCGAATTATGCCAGGGCTTCTAGAGTGACCACAACTTCGCCACCCCATTACTCGTCGGCAAGTCGACATAGCCTTAGTACTCGCCAGCCAGGCCGTCGTAGGTTCATATTCAAGGTTCGCAAAGCTGCTCTCAAAGCTACGGTCAAACAGATACAACAAACAACACAATTAGCACCTCTCCATAAAGGTCAGAGAACGCCTAGGTTTTCTCTCTCATAGATTAGAAAAGGCAAAGCTGTACTAGAGATCAACCAGCAGGCCGCAGCATCTGCAGGATGGTCATAACCGCATTGTCTATCGCAAAGTCGTAGATAACGCTGCTGTAAAGCATATCAACAAGGGGCACCACCACCATCATAAGGTTCAGAATAGCCAGCCCAGGTAACCGGCCATATTTATCTATCGGCTTATCCGCGCTATAGTCAAGCAGCAACTGTACAGTGCCCTTATCCCCCGCCTAGGCAGCCATCGCCAAGGGCGTCTAGCCGTGCACATCCATAGCGTTAAGGCCGGCCTCGTCAGCCTCAAGCAACATCTCCGCAATAGCCTTATTACCGGCTCTAGCAGCGCAGTGCAGCAGGATCTGCTCTTATTCACTCTTTATTCTAACATCCGCGCCTCTATCAAGAAGAAGCCATACAGTAGACTCTCTGCCTAACATAGCGGCAAGGGCAAGAGACATAAAACCCATAGTCAATTTTGCGTTAATATCAGCACCGGCCTCTAGAAGAAGCCATATAATGGCCTCGTTCCAATAGTAATGGCCATGGCCAGCAGCATATCAGCATCAGACATGCTTCTCAGGTTAACGTCAACATAGTAGTCAACAAGTAGCTTCACAACAACCTCATGCTGCTTAGCAATAGCATACATAAGCAATGTCAGGGTTACGTTAGTACCGTTCTATGCATTAACATCAGCCCCTGCCTCCAGCAGTAGCTTAGCAACAGCCACATTTCCCTAGACGCTGGCGATCAGAAGCGCATTATACTCACAGTTAACGTCTGTCATGTCAGCGTTAGCGCCCGCCAAGATCAACAGCCGCACAATAGCTTCATGCCCTACAAAGCTCGCTATCATAAAAAGAGTCCCGCCCAGCTATCCATCTTGCACCTCAATATCGCCAGGATCAGCCTCAGAGAGTAGTAGTTTTACCACCTCTTCCTGCACCTCAAGGCAAGCCTGCGTAAGAGATAACAGCGTCGTTTCTTAATTCCTCATCGTCTTTATAAGACAGGCGTCAATCTAGATAGGCCTTTTCCCTCCTAGTATAAATTCCACAACAGCATCATGCCCCTCACAGGCAGCCACAACATGCAGCATCTGGCTCTCCCTGGCAATAGCAGCGCTATCAGAGAACGTAGTGATCGAAACAAACAATCAGGGCACTGGACTCAGGTGTCGTGATGAACAACGAAGTGTAAATGCGATGAATGAAAGTGAGATGCAGAAACTAAGCTAGCTACCAAAGCGTGGGCGCAAGTGTCAGGACCAGTATGGTCCAGGTCAGGTGCGGCGGCACGTGATCCGTGACATCCCCGTTGCAAAAGAAGCATGGTGTCCACGCCATGGAGAGAAAAGAGAAAAGAGAGATAGGGAAGAGGTATACTTCATACAATAGCTCAAACAACAAACAGTAAAATAAGGAAAACAATGTAGCCATGCCCCAGTTTACCCATGTCCCCGTTTTGTCCTTCATCCGTTCACGTATCCCGTCCTGAGTTACCATTCAATGCTCAGAGTCCCAGTGTCGGGGGCAAGGTCTCCCCAGGGGTCTTGACCATCGTGGTCTAAATGTTGAGCGGCAGGCATCGGGTTGTAAGCCACAGCGGCAGGGGCCGAGTCGTCAGCCACCGCGGCGGCACCCGAGAGGCTGATGTCGGTGGCTGGGGTGGGGGCGCCAGACGCTCCGGAATCTGCGGCCAGTCGTGCTGCCTTTTTCTTCTGGTTCCTCCGTTGGTTCTTCTTCCAATGCACGCCCTTGGGAGTGTTGTGCGGGTCGGAGGTCGGTCGTGGGGCGGACGGAGGGGCGGTCGGATGGTCGTTCGGGTCGGAGGTCGGTCGTGGGGCGGTTGGACTGGGTCGTGACGTGGGATCACTGGCTGTCGGAGTGGCTGCCGTGATCGCCGCGAGGTCCAGTCCAGCCTCACTCAATCGCCGAAAGAATTCAGTGGCGATTCTTCGTTCCTCTTGTTTTTGCTCAGACTGCAGCTGGGCCGTCTTCTTCTGGTTTTTGGTGCGGACCAATTTTTTGCCTGGATTTCCCTGGTCCTTGGTGGCCGGGAAGATGGTCCGCACCATGTCGTCCAGAGGACGGACGATCCCTTCGTGCTGAACTGGGCGGGGGCAGTTGCGTCCAGCGTGCCTCCCCTTGCAGAGTGCGCATCGAAGTGTTTCCTGACACCGGCCCCTGGTGTGGCCGGGTTGTAGGCATAGTTCGCAAAAGAGGAACCAACCAGTGGTGGTGACGACACTGTTGCGTTCCTGGAGGTACTGGAACATATGGTTAAGCGGCGAGGATCGCTCCGGGATCATGTCCTTTTGTCCGACGATGACGGTTAGTATTTGTGCACGGGTCGTCATCACGGCCAGGCGTTTTTTATCAAGCATAAAGCCTGGTCCGTCTGATCGAACCATGTCACAAATAACCACCTCAGCCTGATGGCTTGGCGAGTCATCTATTGTGCGGATGTCGACGAGATCGGCAGGAATGTCCTGGGGCGGAATGCTGGCGAAGAGCTGCTGGAGCAGTCGTTTTTGTTGGCTGTAGCCGGTCACAACCAGCACTTTACCCCTGGGGTAGGTTGTCTCCTCAGCCTGGTCATCCTGTAGGTAAGCGTGCATAGCCCACAGTGGCGCTGTAGAGACCATGTGTGATACCAATTCCACGACGTATCGGGCGTTCGTCGGGTTGACAAAGGACGTGCCGAGCTTTTCCTCCCTGCCACCGCTGACGTCTACAAAGACCATATTTGAACCTGGGTAGGCATCCTGTCCTGGGCTGTCCTTGCATGCCTGCTTGAGCCATTCGTGGATTGCCTGCGAGTACCGGTTTCGGTCGTTTGCCATCGACATCAGACCATGATAGAGATAATCCTTTGGCCAGTCGTGCACGTCTCCGAATGCTCGATGGTTGATGGACAACGTGAAGTCAATCTGTCCCGCACCTTCGACTCGTCGCAGCAGGCTTCGTCGACGTTGTTGTGTGAAGAGGGGTTTGTACTCACGGTCCTGGTCTGCTGCGGCTCGAGGTCCAAATTGCTGATTGTCGCCCATCCAGATTGCTGGGGTAGTGGGGTAACTGGAAATCGGCATCACGCACATATTCTCCGACATTCGGCCGGCCTCATCTATCACAATAAATGAGGGTTGAAATCGGACGTGGTTGGCAAGCATTTTGAGGGCCACCGGTGTGCCGGCGATGACGTGGGCCGAGCTGACGAAGTCAGATATCAGAAGGCGAGCCTTTTCGAGGTAGTCTTTTTTGTTGACAATGAACGCGGCTAGGTCTGAAACCTGAGTCCTCCAACCTTCCGCAATGTCCGGACAGACAGTTTCGTCATTCCCGATCAAATTTCGCAGCTGAGAAGAGACTGACATCGGGTCTTGTTCAGGGCAATGATCTGCCCAGAGAAGTCGGCGGTATTCGTTGAGATGAGTAATCAGCTGCGTGGCGGACTTGGCGGCGTTGGTGGGAACTGGCGATACTTCAGGTTGTCGAGGTTCGGCTGCCAGCAGAGCGCGGAGTTCCTGATCAAAGGGATACACGCGCACGACCAATTTGTTTGGTGCCTGTTGCTGAAGTCTATGCACTGCGTCTTTGACCTGGGCGTTCTGTGGCGCCGTCCATAGGATGGGACCCAAGTCCTCGAGTTGTCCTTCAGGGGCCAGCCAGTCCGTTCCAACGAGCGGTTCCTGCGGACCGGAGGAAAACTCGTCATCAGGAGGCTGTTGGGTGTCGTCTTCGTCCACCGTGTCCTCTGGCGGCGTGGGTGCAATGTAGTCCACAAGCAGGTCGCCCTTGCGGCCGAATTCATGCATGGTAGCCTCCATGTGACTTTCCGGTCGGGGCACTGGTTCAACGGTTCTCTGCTTACCAGCGAGAATGGCTGTCACAAGGGATACCGCGAAAGTAGACTTGCCGGATCCAGGGCCACCCGTGTAGAAGGCTCGACCCATTCGTGCGCGACGGAGACATTCCACTGCCTCTGCGTGTTGGCCCTTGAACAGTCCGGAATCGATGGCATCGCCAAGGCCGGTGAACCTTTGTGTAAGGTCGTAGGCAGGCGGCGTCACGTGGGGGCTGAAAGAAACCAGATGATTCCACCAAGCAGTTGCTTCCGATTCCTCAGCCAGGGCATTGAGTTCTGCGACGGCTGCACATTCCAACATGCATGTCTTGTCGTCCACGTCGTAGTCAATCCGAACCATTGTCTTTCCCGCAGCGGCTGCCAAATTTTGCCAGTAAGCCGACAGGTTGGCTGGGAAAGACTTTTGTCTGACGTCGATCGTCAAGGGTGGTTGCCGGAAACCGTACGGCCAGTTTGGTTGAGATGGAGCGGAGACGACGAAGATAGCCACATCAGCCAGAGTTCCTGAGGGAAGGGGAATACGAAGGCCTGGCAGTGGTTGGCCACGTTTCTGGTCAAGGGTTGTGCGGCAGACCACGGTCTGTTTGCTCATCCATGAATGAATGCGTCGTTGGTGGTCCACGTCTTTCTCGTCGTCAGTCTTGCGGAGCGTGTGGGCGGTCTTCAGGGCGTCGAAGTATCGTTTGACCGATTCTTCTGCGTCAGGCAGGACCGCGTCTGCTTCTTCGGAGAAGGCTGCCACGTAGCTCAAGACCTTGGGGGCTGCGGCTTGGAGATAGGCAGAGGTGGCAATGTCGTCCAGCGATTCAAGTTCCTCTTCCTCTGGGTCGCTGTAGTCGTCATCCTGGCTTGCCTGGCTCGCAGCTCTCTTCAGTTCTTCAGCGCGGCGGCAGTTGTAGGCCTTGTTCTCTGCGAGGCTCAAGGCTTGACAAAGCGCTCGGGTCATCGAGTCCACCTGTGTCACCGTCAAAGGCCTGGCTGGCAACACATGGAATTCTTGCGGCAGAGGGGTATAGATGCGAACGCGGGTGCCCACGTCTGGCAGCACATCTCGGTTGTCGACGGCTTTAAGAGGCACGGAGACCAGAAATTGTGTCGGGGCGCCAGTGGCTTTGATACCGTAGATGGTCTCGTCATCTGGTTGAGGCTTCCATTCCGAGTCCGGCATGGGCAGCATCCAAGCCGTCAATTTGGTCTGTTCGCATTTCTCAGCGTTGAGCCTTGTCCATCGAGCTTCATCAGCGGCCGATGCAATCAGGGCCACTGTTCGCTCATGGCGTGACGTGAAAAGGTTGACCGCAGGAGATGCCCTCTCCTCAGTGCGCTCAACGTCGTCCAGATTGACGTTCTTGTATCCCAGATCGTCCACTGCACCCTTGCGGCAGAATTTGGCAATGTCCATGTAGGGGCTTCGGCGCAGGTCCAGGGACATCAAAGGGTCCCAGCGAAGATGCCAGTTCGTCCCTTGAGCTGGAAAGAAGAATCCCCAGGAGGTGCCGACCGTAGGCGACATGCGAGAGAGCATGTAACGGACAGTCCAGGCGATGCGACGTGCGTCCATCGGGAAGGACTCCAGTCGATTCCAGAAGTGGGATGGGAACAGCGTAGTCACATGTGTGCTATTTGTCTCCAGGTTAATGCGAATCATGTCGGTGCCGGTGGAGGACATGAATTCCCAGAGGGGTGCGTCTGGAGCCAGGCTGTTGAAGTGCGCATGGTACCGAGCATCTGCCTCCCCAGGAAGCAGGGTGGGTGCGGCAAAATGCTCTGAGAAGTGTCGTTCAACAAAGTCAGCGTCCACCCGAAACTCGTCTGCCGTGATCCGGTCAGGCAGGTCGGCCACCGGGATGGTACAAATAGCGATAGGAGTGAACTCCGGGCCATGGCGGAGCTTGAAATAGATGGTGAGGGCGGTTGGGGAGTTTGGGTTGATGGTAACCTGGACGCTGGTATGAAGTCCCGGAGCAACGCTTTGGGAGACTCGTCGCAGGTGGTCCAGATGGTAACCCGAAAGGAGCTTGCCGTCCAGAGAGATCAAACCGTGCTGGACGCCGGAGGCATGGGTCCTGCTGGGTTTAAAGTTGACATCTCCCTCGCCCACGTTACCGTAGTCCGCATCTGCCACCGTCTGCGTGTGTGGGACTGCGTCAGAAGTCTCGTCCTTGGTCTCCGCAGTTGATTCGTCCGGCGCCTGGTCGGGCCATCCCGCTGGTTCGTTGGCATCCCATTCCGTGGGTTCGGAGGTATCCCAGGTGTCTGCCGCAGCGGAGGTACCCCAAGTGTCCTCGGTAGCAGAGGTACCCCAGGTGTCCATGGTGGGCGAGCGGCCGAGGTGTCGAAGCCGTGGAGTACCAAGAGTACTGCCAGCGAAGTCAGGGGGTGTCCGCAAGGAAGTATCTGGGTTGTATCGCTGGCGGGGGGTCACTGTGGCTGAGGATGTGAGGGTGTGTGAGGAAGGAAGGAGGCAAACAGGGTCAGACGTAGTGGCGTGCTAAAGGTTGTGCGTGAGGGGTAAAGGTGGGTCCTGAAAAATTTTCATCCCCCTAGTCCAAGCGGTAGAATGCCTGGTCCAAGTGGATAGGGCCGGCAGCCCTAAGCGTCGGGTAGACGTGGGTGTTGATAAGATAACTAGAATAGTAAAGGTCCCAAAATTCCACGAGGTTCCAAAAGGAGGCAAACCGGGCTAAGAGGCGTTTTCGAACTGCTGCAGCATTCGTGGCACGTCCACTGCCAAGGTTGCGCGAGGTTCCCACGTAGTGTCTGGGTAGCCAAGCCAGCGTACCTCATACTCAACGATGCCATTCCGGGTGCGTCGATTGACGATCTCGTCAATAATGTATTTCTCATGACCGTCTGTTCGCAGGGGTCCGGGCGGCTCGGCTGGTCGTGTGTGCGGCATAACGGGTTCGAGGTGCTCGATGCTGAATTCGTCCTTCCATCTGAGGTATGAGGGCAGTTGAAGCTTGTACCTCAGTGGACTTTTCTTTTCGAGGATCAGGAATGGTCCGGCTCGACGGTGGGACAGCTTGGTCTGATTCTGGAAATGATAACCATCTTCACCTTGCTTGGCCAGCTTAACGTAGACCAGATCTCCCACTGACAGGTCGGGGGGTGTCTGATGCTTTTTGTCGTAGTAGGTTTTCATGCGGGTCACCGACAATTGCACCGCATCCCAAGCCTCGCGATGCAGATCCTTGTGCGAGGCCGCAAAGGGTTCGAGGGTGGCATTCGTGTGGCGCAGGAAATGAGCGGCTGATACTCCGTACAGTAGTTGGAAAGGCGTGTACGTAGTCGTCGAGTGGAGGGCGGAGTTGGTCGCGTGAACAACGTGGGGGAGCAGCTCTGGCCAGTGGCCTTGATCGTATTTGGCGCCGATTACCGTTCGGAGACCATGGACTATGGTCTGAATCGTCCTCTCTGACTGCCCGTTGGCTTGTTGGTGGTATGCGGCGCTGGTGTGGGAAAGGACGCCAGCCGCTGCGCATAAGGATTGCCAGAGATGCGATATAAGCTTAGGGTCCACGTCATGTATGAAGATGTGCGGCATGCCCCAATCTGGATAGACCTGTTTGAGATAGGCTTGAGCCCAGTCCTTTGCCGACCAGTCTTCGCGACCCAAGAGGTATTTGACGAACTTGGTGAACTTGTCTGTGACAAGTAACACCGCGTCAAAGCCGTCACTGGAGATGGGCAGGCCAGTGATAAAGTCGAGGCATAGTGTCGACAGGGAAGTCCTGGGGGTGTCGACCGGTTGCAAGTCGCCAAAGGGCGGACTTCGTCTGGGCTTAGCTTTCTGGCACTCGGGGCACTTCTTGATGTAGTCGTCCAACTCCCTGCGCATCGCGTGGAAAAACAGCGCTTCGCGAAGCATGCAGAAGGCTCGATGTGGTCCCAAGTGAGCTTGATTGTCGTGGAAGAGCTTCAGGACTTCGGGGATCATGGATCGAGGGACACACAGCCGCTGTCGATCATCAGCGGTATAGTACAGCAGGCCAGTCGGGCGATGTAGCTTAAAATGGAGCAATTTCGCGGGTCCCCCTTCTGCCATTTGCTCTCGAATGGTCTTGTGGATGCGGCGGAAGGTGGGGTCCCTGCTGAGTTCGGAAGCAACACGACTTCTGAATGCCTCGTCGAGAAAGAGGGCAGGGTGTACGTCTGGGGTCTCTGAACCTCCCTGGACAGGCGTGGACGATGGTTCCGCCAATCGGCTGGCGAGGTCGATGGCTCCGTCCACTGGTGTCGAGGGGCGGGGGGCGTCGGCTCCGTCCACTGGCGTCGAGGGGCGTGGGGCAGTTGGGACTGTTGTCGGAGCCGGGGTCGACGTTCTCGGCGGATCAGGCTGCACCCGAGGCGTGGTCGTCTGCTGATTCGTCTGATTCGTTGTCTGCACCAAGGGTTTGGGAGAAGAGGGCGTGGGCATAGGATCCGTGGCAAGGTCCACGATCGGATGCGAAGGCTCCGTGGCGTCGGCCTCCGCAGCTTTAGCCTGAGCGCGAGTTACCACAAGTATCATCTTGCGGATGGGCTCGTCCTGCTCTTCTTCCCGCACGGTGTCCGGCTGAGGGTCTCCTTCACACGGGAGGCGGGAAAGCGCGTCGGCGTTGACGTGTTTTTTACCCGCCCGGTGGATGATAGAGATTTGGGGCTTCCACTTTTCGAGGAACAGCCGCCAGTTCACCAGGCGATACTTGCCTTTGGGACGGCCAGATCCCACACTCTGGAAGCAATCCCGGATAGCCGTGTGGTCGGTGATGACATCAATGTGAGCGTGGTCCAGGATGTGTTGGAGCTTCTGCAACGCCCACACAAGAGCTGCCGTCTCAAGTTCGGTGGCTCCATAGTTGCGTTCGGCACTCGTCAGTGACTTGGAAAGGAAGAGGATAGGTCTCAGGATTCCGTCCTGCAGTTGATGCAGCGCGGCGCCAAATCCCCTTTGTTTGCTTCCGTCCACGTGGAGTTCGAAGGGCAAGGTGTAGTCTGGGTACGCCAGGTCCACGGATGAGCAAAGTTTGTCCTTCAGGGTCTCCCAGGCTGCCATCGCTTGAGTCCACAGGTCTTGTCGCTGCTGGTTTACCTTTGTCACGCGTTCGTCTTCCTTGGCTTGCCTCTCAGGAGTGTCCATTTTGTCCGGCTTTTCAAGGAGAGGCAACGGCGTCTTGGTGGCGTAGGCTGTCCGAGCAGGGTGCGCCGGCGGTGCACGGCGGAAACCAATGGCCTTCAATTTTTGCAGGGGCTCGGCATGATGTGCATAGTGGTCTATAAAGCGCCTGTAGTAGCCCATGATGCCGAGTCCAGATTCCAGGTCCCGCAGATTTTTGGGAAGAGCCAGGTTGCGGATTGCGTCGGTTTTTTCTTTCAGAGTGCTGAGTCCCAGTCGGGATACGTAGTGTCCCAGAGCCTGCAGACCGGCTTGGGCGAAGTGACACTTTTTGAGGGACATGGTGCAACCTGAGTTGGCAAGGATTGCAAGGATGATGTCTAGGTGTTTGACGTGGTCTTCCGCTGTCTTGGAATAGACAATAATGTCGTCGATGTACACCAACACGAACTTCCACAAGTACTGTCGGAACATTGTCTCCATCCGTCGTTGAAAGAAAGCCGGGCTAACCGCCAGTCCGATGGTGCTGACCGTAAGTTGCTCGTGTCCGCGGTGAGGGGTAACGAAGGCGGTCTTCCATCTGTCTTCCTTGGCGATAGGCTGTTGAAAGAAGCCCTTGGTAAGATCAAGCAGAGAGAAGATGGTGCTGCCCTGCAGGTGGTCAAGAATGTCGTCCTGGCGTGGCAGCGGGTATGCGTCCAGCTCCAACTTGGCATTGAGTCGGCGCATGTCGACAACCAACCGTGGCTTACCGTTTCGCCAAACCACAAACGCTGGGGAAGCGACTGGACTGGGCTCACCGAAGGGGACGTCCTCAACGACGCCATCCTCCTTGAGTGAGTCAAGCAGCCCATCCATGGCTTGCTTGTCGCGCCGTGACAGACCGAAAGGTCTCTGCAGGAGATCGGAGGTGTCGACGCCTGGCTTGAAGTTGATGGGCATTTCCACACCATCGTTGAAACGGCCGACTCCGGGCCGGAAGAGGCGTTTGTGCTTGTGGAGCAAGCTGCGGACGTCATCCACAAGTTTGAAATCGGGGTCGATGTCCGCTTCGCCCACTTCCACGTCTGGCTCCGCCGGGTCCGGGATGTGAAAAGGGTATCCATCCGGGAAGTCAGGGTGTTCCGGTTCCTCTTCCACGTCGGGTCCAAGCAGGTCAGACAGCTGGATGGCCGCGGATGTGCTGGTTTGGAACACCGACTTCTGTGTGGTAACCGCCACCGGTTTGAGGGTGCCGAGGAACATGCCCTTGTGAATACGAATAGGGACCGGGCCAAGGTTCGAAATCGGGAGCCGGGCTTCGTTACCGGTCACCAGTGCGTGAGGCAAGCAGGCGTAGGCGTGACGCAGACGGTCGGTGCAGATGGAGGGGGTGAGGTAATATCCGTCGGCACAGATGGGAAGGCTGCCGTGCTTGACAGGGATATTGAAGCCTTGTCCCGGGTCGATTGTCACCGAACGAGCTGCCCTGACGACAAGGTCCTTGGCGAGAGGTGCTGCGTTCGAGAGGCACGAGACGGGAATCAGTCTGCCCCTACCTGCATCAAGGTGGTCGTGGCCGGTGCCTTCTCCCCAGAGGATGTGAAGACGGTGTGTTCGAAGGAATGGATTGCCCACCAGCATACCGCAGCTGAGGGAGTCGACGATGAAACACATGACTTTGAGGTCCACGGCTGCGCCATTCGCAGCCCGAAAATGGAGTTGGAGCTTGGTTGCAGTAGTTGCCCGAGGGGAACTACCGCCGATGCCATGAATGTCCACAGGATGACGAACGGCGTGTTCCTCGGCCTCGGGGAAGAAGGTTGATAGGTATGATCGGTCGACTAAGGATATAGGGGAACCGGTGTCCACTACCAGCTCGCTACAGCGGCCGACGGGCGAGTAATGGACAGCGCGAAGCTGTGTAAAAGACTGTAGTTCAAATTCAATTTGCTGGGCAAGGCCCGAGATCTTCTCCACCGGCGTCGCATGCGGTGGTGGTTTTTTCTGCTTTTTTAGGGAGGGTTTTTTCTGTTTTTCTGGCAGAGGAGTCTTCTGTCTTTGCGGTAGAGGAGTCTTCTGTTTTTTCGGTCGTTTCGGATCTGTAGTCTGCTGAGCAACATTAGAAGAATTAGTAGCATCAGCAACTTCTGGTTGAGTAACAAAAATGTGAGTGGTCTGGGGTGGCGTATCAGACGGCGACGCAATCCCAGTATGCGATCGCCGGGTTAGTTTGACGAGCTCCCAGCGGAAAAGCCGGATTGCATAGAGCCATCGTCGGAGTCGGCGGCGGAACCTGCAGAGCGGTTATCGTCAAGGTCCATTGGGTCCTGGGGCGGATTGTCTGTGGTCTCAGCAAAGGACACGGTTGTTGGGAAGGCCTTGACGGCAGTCGGCTGGGCAGGTTGGTTGATCTTGAAGCCATCCTTCTGGTCTGAACGGGGGCGGGGGCGGTCCTGTCCAGACTTGGCATTTCCCGTACGAGAGTCGCGGTACTTGTCGTCCTGGCGTCCAGACTTGTTTCCCGCATGAGAGTCGCCGCGATTATTCTGATTACCACGGTTGTCCCGGTTGTCGCGCCGGTTGTCCTTGTCGCGGTTGCGCGGCCGATTGTCCTCGTCGTTGTTGTAACCTTTGTCGCCACGGCCTGCGTCAGATCGGCGATTGCGAGAGTTGTAAGCTGAGTCGCGCAGCTCTTTCATTTGCCTGGTGAGTTGGCTGATCTGATTGGCCGTGACCACAGATTGCTCATGAGCCAGCTTCCAGTCCCGTCGTGCGGCGAACTCACGCATGGTCAGCTGTCGTCGAACGTCGGTGATGGTATTTCGGCCACTGTTGACATCCACCAGTTTAGCCAGGGCTGGGTCGGCGTCCATCACCAGGCGACGAGCCACGGTGTCTTCATCGACATCTCCTGCCTCGGTGTAGTAGGCGATCTTGCGGTCCATGTAGGTCTGGAGAGGAAGAGAGTCCTCCGCTGCGAACGAGTGTTTGAGTTCGTCCGCCTTGACAAGAATTGCTCCTCTGTCATCCCGGAATCGCTGGTCCAGCATGGTGATCCACAGGTCGAGGTCATCGATGAGGAGCTCCTTGGATCGGGCGTCCAGAGATTGGAACCATTCGGCGCCATTAGAAGTCGGTGCACTCATCAGACCAGGGACAAGGCGTTCCAAGATGGCTGAGTCACCGTGTTTCTTCCGGAGGAATTGGAGTGTGCTGATATACGCCCGGATAGGTGTCTTCGTGGTGTCCAAGGCAAAGGTCGAGACTGGGAGGTTGTTGTAAGACGTCCGAGGATAGTCCCCTGGGTCGCGAGACGACCTGGTGCGGGTGTCACCGTAGCCCAATCGTCGGCGAGCCGAATGGTCGTCGGGATCCCCCACCGGGTCGTTCCATGACCGCGGCCGGAATCCGCCAGAATCACCAAATCGGGGTTGGCGTCTCACGTCGTCTCCAGTATATGGTCCTGTAGGCGCCGGCGCGGGAGGAGTTGGCGCGGGGGGTCCGTAAGGGTCCTGGTGAGGGGCGGGAGGCGGCGCGTGCAGCCCAGGGTATCCGTATTGCGGATGCAGGTAGAAGGGCGGGTAGGTGGTACCGGTGTATTGGCCGTACGGCGGCCACGGCCACACTGGCGCCGGATTTTCCGCGGGACGCGTTGGAGATTCAGGCCGTCTGGCCGAGCTGGGGCTGGGAGATGGAGCCGGGGGGGTGGGCGCGGGAGGAGTCCGCGAGGCGCTGGCTTCCACCACTGGGTCCTCCATGAAGCGACGAACCACTTCGGCGAATCGAGCCGCCTGGTTCAGAGGCGACAATCGATTATGGAGGTCCCTGGTGAAGGCTGCGTCCCAGACTTGACGGTCCTTGTCGCTAGTCATGCGTGAAACAGCCCTAGCGGCCGACAAGGCTGCTTGCGAGAGGAAGGGCTTGAGGTGCACGAAATGGCCAGCATCGATCTCGTCCTGGGCGAACAGTAGGAAGGCGGCGTCCTTTCCAAAATCGTACGCTGTATATGGGGCGTTCGAATCAAAGAGGTCGGCCGCTGGTGCAGGGCCCTCTCCCGGGTCCTCTTCGTGGGCTCCTGGGAGGTTCACGATCGGGGTGTAGGCCGCTCCTGCGGATCTGGTACCCATGTACTGGGGCACCTGTCCGGCGGAGAACGGGCCTGGGTCCTCTCCTGGAGAGGGACTGGCGACATGCGCCGGTTGTTTGCCACTACGGCGAGGCATGGTGAAATCAACACGGGAATGGATCGTCCGAGTTGAGAAAGGGGATAGGCCCACTGGGGAATCAACACGGGAATGGGTCGTCCGAGCTGAAGGGGTTGGGACTTCTGGAGGCGTCTCCCTGGTGGGATGAAAGGCACCCACGTAGGAATTGGCAGGGGATCCGATCACGGATAGGTTGGCGGAGGTGCGCGATCTGCGAGTATGAAGGCTGGGGGACTCCGCTGGAACGTCCTCGGCTTGGCGTCTCAGTATGTCTCGGACCAAACCGTTCAGGAACTGGGCTGATTGACGAAAAGCAGCTCCTGAGCGACGGGCGGTTTGCAAACGGCGTGTCTGGAGCGGTCGTGTTCCCAACTGGCTGGGGGGCAGACGAACCACTGTAGCCGGGGCGGTCACCGATGGCTGTTCAGGGGTCAGGTGCAAACTCGAGATAGAGTTCGCCAAGTCGCTTGTTGACGCTGATGATGACGCTGATGCAGTCCGATGCCCCGATGCGGCAGGCAGGGTTTCCTCTGCAGGCAGCGCTGGATCTGACTGGGCAGGCGCTGTGTCCAGGTGAGGTGGGTCGAGATTTGCCAGAACCGGGGTGGCAAGAGCGCTTGCGTCTGCGGAGGCAGGCGAGCGGGATAAGCGAGGAAGGAGCGAAGTCGAACGCGTGGAATGCGTTGATCGTGAAGCCGACGCGGGGGGCTCGTGAGAGACAGTCGGTGATTCCACGAGATTGGCCTGGCGGAGGGCTTTGAGGCGAGCGGCTTCTTTCTTGGAAATAAAGCGTCCGTTGGCGGCTCTGAGAGGCTTGCGGTTGGAAGAGGGCTGGGTGCCTCTTCGGCGGCTAGGCATAGAGCAGGACGATTGCCGAAGGAGTCGTAACCGGTGTTGTAGTCAGCGTAGACACCGGGGGAGCTGGAATAGCTCAACAGCACTTCCGAGGAAGACTACCGTTTGTCATAGGGCATAGAATCCGAGGATTCCACGCCCCACGAGATCGCGAGACAATAGGGTCGACCGGGGTGACCCTTGTCTCAAGCGGGGACGCGTAAGCGTGCTGACTGCGCGGTGATAAATCTGTTTCGGGCGAGTCGGGGGCTGACGTCGCAACGGAGCTGTCGTACCGAAATTTCCACGATCGAAGATCCGTAGAAATATCAGTATCGCTCAAGCAATTGCTACCATATCAGAGAACGTAGTGATCGAAACAAACAATCAGGGCACTGGACTCAGGTGTCGTGATGAACAACGAAGTGTAAATGCGATGAATGAAAGTGAGATGCAGAAACTAAGCTAGCTACCAAAGCGTGGGCGCAAGTGTCAGGACCAGTATGGTCCAGGTCAGGTGCGGCGGCACGTGATCCGTGACAAGCGCAATCAGCCCGCGCCTCAACAAAGTGCTTCTCCAATACACCCAAGCCGACCATAGTAGCATGCAGAAGCAGCGCCACGTCCAAAGTAGTGTTCTCTGCATTAGCCTCAGAGGCAGCCGCTATAATATCCCCCTGCTCAAGAATCAGGTCAAGAAATATCTTCTAATAGCTAGCATCTCTCTCCCCATTATTTTTCGCCTTAGCGTCATAGAGTCCCTTAAGATACAAGGCGCCGGCAGCACGATTATTGCTCTTAGTGGCCTCCAACAGTAGCGTAAAGCGGTTATCAGAGCAGACGACGCTAGCTACCCCCCTTCACCTTGGCTTTCTCTATACTCTCAAATTTGCGCTTCATATCAAGCGCTAGCTTATCGACATCTCCTTTAGGGTTCGCAGCTTCAGCAGCTAACTTTTTAACAAGTCCATTTATAAGGGACATGGCTCCCTTTTTAAAAGCCGACTAGAGCATTAACTCGAGCCCTGCCGTCTTGCTTAACGGCGGGTTTGGCCTCCTGTCTCCAGGGCCGGTGAGCCGTAATAGCGGCTAGTGGAGTAAATAAAGGCCTAGCCGCTCCGTGGGAAACGGCCACCCGCTCTAGCAGGCGACGGAGGGCGAAAGTTGGCAGAAGCTTGAGCAAGTGTAATAACTATTATGCGTTCCCTGTCTGCTCCCGTATAGATAAGCCAATAACCGGCAGATTAGTAGTCAGGTGGGCGACCACTGGCGAACACCGGCTGTTGTATGTTTTTCTTTCTTATGCTCTTTTTGCTTGTTCATCTAGATATAGAGAGAGTTGAACTACTGTTCCTCCCATGATGTGTTGGACTTGGCGGTTATTGGCATCATGGGGGGCTCGAGATCCGGGGGGCCCCCCCTTCTGCTACATTAAACTGAACAAGTTTTTGAGACCCTCTGGCCAACGCAAAAGTTCACCCCCACATTGATTTCTCATGCACTTCTCTTTATTTGTCTTTTTCTTTTCTTTGTCCAAACAGAGTATGAGACTGCTCTGCGAGTCGGCGATTCTGGGACAGTATCACGAGCACACACACACACACAAGACGATTGTACGAGTGACTCTTCCATGCGTAACCTTGTTTTGATTTCGACAGCTGGGCGTAGAATACTGTGTGTAAAAGATCAAGTAACCGAGTCCTTTCCTCTCGATTCCCCTCGCCAACTTTTCTTTGAGGCCTCCTCCCCCTGGATAAGTGAGCACTGCAGAGGAAAACTTGATGCTTTCAGTTCAATCTGTCTCACTGATTGCTCTCTTTAAAAACGGGGAGTAGATAAGATAATGAGACCGGGACCAAGATAAAAGCAAATGTAAATAGTTATAAAAAGGGGCAGATGTGTCTGTAAGAAGAGTGTTGCGACAAGCTGTCAGTGGATCCTGTGGCTGAGGGAAAGCTGTACAATGTACAGGTTTCCTTTTTTTAGCGTGAGAGGAAACCTGTACTATCACGTGCTTGCTCGCCAGCCCCTCAGTACCTTACAGTACCTAGAGTACCTACAGCACACAGCCGTTACAGCAGCTGTGTGTGTTGCAAATTAATTTCCAGTGCCTTCCGACTAGATTTTTAGTGCCTTCTGACTGGTCAATTAACCACACATATCGCGATTAACCACATTACAGTTAACCACATTATACAATCAGCTATATCACAGTCAATCAGCTGCATCACAATCAGCTACATTACAGTTAATCAGCTATATCGCGGTTAATCAGCTACATTACAGTTAATCAGCTGCATCACAGTTAATCAGCTGCATCACAGTTAATCAGCCGCATCGCATTCAATCAGCTGCATTACAGTTAATTAGCTGTATTATAGGGTAATAGAGCGCGTGCTGTAATGTAAGGTTAATTGCGATGTGTGTGAGGCGGTTGGGTTGATTAACTGCACGGTCGGAAGGCACCGGAAATCAATTCGCAACACACACAGCTGCTGTAACGGCTGTGTGCTGTAGGTACTCTAGGCACTGTAAGGTACTGAGGGGCTGGCGAGTAAGCACGTGATGGTATAGCTAAGCCTCTTACGCTAAAAAAAGGAAACCTGTACAATGCTAAATTACCCTTTTTAGAGGGACGGCATTCTAAGCCACCGTATCCACTGACAGCTTATGTGTATACTTAAGGAAATAAGGGGTAAGTTCTAGGGGTTGGAAAAAGAAATGAAATTACAGAAAGTTAATAAGAGCAATATTTTTCGTTTCCTCCTCTAACGCCGTGCATGCGTGCTGATGACCTCGATATCTGTCCCTGCTTGAATAACCACTATATTTGTGATAAAAGTAGATCACTATATCCGTCCCTTCTTTATTTTTATTACTGTATAATTTTAGGATTTTTTTTTATTTATCTTGTTTTCTAAGAGGAATTCTTCGCAAGCGAAATTCCGAGCAGTGCTTATAGTAAGATAGAGAGAGTGTAGATAGAGAGAGTCTCCTCCTTATTACACTCCCCCTAAATCTCGCCATCACCTAGATTATTATAAACTAACCTAGAGAAAGCCTGTAAACTAGAGCTAGAGGCATAATAAGTAATAGACTAGTAGCTAGCCATTGCTAGGGGTCTAGTATTTATGCTAATAATTAGTCTAGTGCTAAAGGGGTTATAAGACAGCTTAGGAGACGCGTCCTATAAGGTAAAGGAGGCGCTAACTATAAGCTGGCCGGCAGAAACCTCTATCTTAGGCTAAGAGTTACTGTTATTAAGCAGCATAGAGATTTTAGTGATTATAGCATTAGCCTTAGCAGTAGCTTATTAAGAGAGAGTCCTAGTCCTCTAGCCTAAGAAGGCTCCTTTAGTCTTAGGCTTTTTAATTAGCATATCCTTATGCTTACTCTAGTTATAGCCGCTAAGGATATTATTATTATTATCTTTATTATTAGACTTAGAGCGCGTAATTATGTCTATCTTGCAAGCCTGCTTATAACTAGTGCTAAAGCTAGTGCGGCTGCCTGTTAAGCAGAAGGCGGTTAGCTTAAACAGGGTAGATATAATGCTGCTACTGCTGCAGCTAGAGCCAAGATTAAGGCATTTAGTAATATTACTGCCCTTGCTTTTAACTTTGCAGAGGGTGTTAGCATCTTTCTTAATACTATAGAACTAGAAACCTATGCTATTTAGTATAAACTCTTTAAAGTATTTAGTAATATTTATTAAGATAAGGGTTAGCTTTATAATTAGGACACTGCCTAGTTTTAATATCTTATAAACAGCAGATACTTAATAGAAATAGTAAGGATAAAGGGGAAATTAGTAAATATAAGAGATAAAAAAGGTATTATATAGGCTTAAAGTAAAGAGTTAAAGTTTAAGGCATACTATTCTTTTCTATAGCTTTTTAAGTAACTAGGAGGTCTTTATCTAGAATTATATCTTTTATATTAAATCCCTTTTTATAACCCTTATAAATAATAACAGCCTATGCCCTAAGGTAATAGAATTAGTAATTTAAAGCATGCTTACTTATATTAAATCTATAGCAGGCAGTAATTTCTAGGATAAAGAGTTAACCTTTATCCTAATAAAATAATATAATAAAGAGCAGTAAGAGAAGGCTCTCTAGATAGCAGTAATGCAATTATAAGATAGGGTGGGTAGGTTAACAAGAGGCGGATTAAGAGTGCTGTAATAAGGGAAGAAGAGAGAAACACTATATACCTTTATAGTTCTATTTAACCTTAGGATAAGTAGTAATAATAGCGTAAACTATATAAGCTTAAGCCTTATAGGTCTTATAGTTTGCCTTAGTGCTTACTACAGGCATTATAATGCTATTCTCTTTTAATAAAACTGTTAAAGATTAGTATTACTAGCTAGAAGAGGCAATAATATAATTAAATTAACAGACTATTAAGTTAACTAGAATAATTAAGATAAGATCTAGTAACTAATAATGCCTTAAAATAGATAAGACTTTATAAAGAAATAATCTTAATATTAAGAATAGGCAGAGGCAGAAAAGGAAATAGTAAAGGTTATATATGCAGGCACTTATAAAGCTAAGAATCTTATACAGGAGTATATATAAAGGAGAAGAAGAGTTTAAGAAAAGGAAAGGCAGAAGAGCTATTTACTTATATAAATAAGTCACCTAACTTACGCTAGAGTTTAAGAAGAGGGTAATAAAAGGGCAATAGGTAAAGTAACTAGCAGGCGAATTTATTTAAGGGTAATAGGAGGAGTGCTGCTAGCTAGTATTAGGCTGTTAAGCTAGAGGTAAGCTAATAAGGGCAATAGCAGTATAAGAAGCTTAGTATGCCTGCTAAAGCAGCTATAGGAGTATAGGAAAGATAAAAAAGAAGATTAATATAATAGGTAAGGCTTTTAAGAGAGAATTAATATAGAAATAGAGGCGGAGAAGTTAAGCCTAAGATAGGATATTAAAGTAAGGCAGCATTTACAAGAAGTTACTTTACTAGACCTACTGCTTTAAAATTCTAAAAGCCTTAAGGTTGCTAAAGCCCTAGGGAATAATAGTCTAGCTTAGTGGGTTTTTTATAGAATTATAATATAGGTATAAGGACTAAAGAGTTCCTAGATATAACAGTTAGCTGCTATATATATATATAGCTTAGGAGACGCCTAGGTATAAAGACGACAATTGGCTTTAGACTTACTGACTTAATAACGATTAAATCCGTAATAAACAATATTAAAGAGGCCACTCTTAATTATAGTAATATGTAAGAGGGCAGTCTTGGCGATCCTAAGAAGCAACAATTAGCACCTATTCCCTGTATCAAGAGTGAAAACAGACACAGGTTATAATCATGTTATATAAGAGACACTAGATAAGGTAAGTACTACTTACTCGGCAAAAGAAGTAACAGTGAACCAGCGGAAACGAGTGAATGGGAGTTGTTTGGGCTGTAGTTTAATGACTTTTGCCCTTCTCTCTCACTGCGATTAGCCGCGTCCTCGGCAGTACTAATTAAGAACAAGAAGATAAAAAGAGTATAAATATCAATTTATATAATTATAAAGCCATCGTTTCTTAGAAACTCTATAGACTGTCTTTTTAGGCGCGCTTTATATATATATACTTTAACTGTTAGTTATATATGCTAGGTTTTCCTTTACTAAATATAATAAGAAAGTCAGGGGGCTAGGAGCCTCTCTTATATATAGTGCAGAGCGTATAAGGCGTGACTTAAGGGCTGTAATTACACTAATAGCTTTATATTATAAAGGCATAATTAAATAGTAAAAATAAAACTAGTTAAAAGATTAAATATCTTTACTATTATACTTATAATAGTCTATATAAACATGCCTATTGCATATATTATAGCTCTTACTCTAGTCCTCTTATAATAGTATCCTACTATTAGTTCTTAACGCTAATTAGTAGTAATATATTATAGTGCTTATATACTAATAACCACTAGCTTTATATAAGGTATTAAATTAAATTCCTAAAGCTTTAACTATTTAAATATAAATAAATATAATAATATAGTAAATTAAATAATATTATTAAAAGACATGTCTATTATTATATATTAACTATAAGATTTATTAATATTAGTCTAGTATACCTAAGCTTAATTATATCTATAGCATCTTATTACCTTATACTAACTTTAGTACTTATTTTCTCTTATAGTTACTAAATAAAGCTAACTGCTATATTAGTATTATGCTCCTGCTTTATAGCTATGCTTTAGTTTTATAAGCTAAAATATCTTATAGTAGATATTCCTTTATAGCGCTCTTACCTAATTTATATATTAAATACTAAATTTTAAAAAAGCAGTTATATATAGCCTAGAAGATACTATAAATCTTAAATACTAGCAGGATCTTACTTATAGCTATAAAGAACTAGAAAAGCTTTATAATATTACCCTTAAGCTAGCTTATAAGAATAGATATTTAAAAGCCTTTATATAACCTAGACTATAAGTTAATAAAAATCTATAAGATTAAGAGCATAGCTTTAATATTTAGGCTAATATATTTAACTAGTATAAAATATATAAGATAAAAGCTAGGTAAAATGCTAAATATAATAACCTTACTAATAAGCAGGCTTAAGAAAAGGTAAAGGATAAATTACTAATATTTAGTTAAAGCATTAGTTTTTTAACACTTTTAGTAACTAGTTCTTTTAATAGCAAGACTTATAGCTTAAGCAACCTTTACTACTAGAAGTTATATAGCCTTTAAGTAAAGAGACCCTTTAAAGCAGTAAACAGTAGTCTAGCCTCTTTACCTTTATTTAATAATAAAGGTTAGTAATCTAAGGCAATCTTAAAAAAGGCAATTTATATCCTAACTATAATTAAGGATTATATTAATAAGCTTAAATTAAATTATATACTAGGCTAGTAAAAGATCTTATTATTTACCTTAAGTATTAGCTATATTCTAAATCTATTAAATAGCAGAGCCCTTAGCTACTATAAGCAAAAGCAAGGAAGAAAGTAAATACACTTAAAGAGAGATATAATAAGCATAATTAAAAGGATATTAAAAAAGAAGCCTGCGCTAGTCTTTTTATAATATATTAATACTGCCTGGTTACTATAGGAGAGGATAGGCAAGAGTATAATAAATATTAGCATAAGGTAGCTTATATAAGTTATAATTAAGCTTATTATAGCAGATTTTAAATTACTAATTATTATATTAAATTAGAGGTTTAGTAAGTTTATTTACTTTATTACAATCTTAGCATAAAGCAGAATAGATATTTAAGAAGAAGGGGAGATAATAGTAAAAGCAGTATAAGAGTGAGATAGATATAAAGGAATAATAGCCTGCGCTTCTTTTATAGTAGAAGAGGAGGATAAAAAGAATTAAAAAATGCATATTAAAGATATAGACAAGCAGCTTATATATAAAGATAAAGCTAAGAGAGAGGCAGCTAAGGAAATAAAATAAAAGCAGAAGCAGTAAGAGGACAAGAGAAGGCTAAAAGGTTAAAATTGCTAGAGATTAACTTAATAGATTCAGGGCATCGCTCTAGGGGAATAAGGGCCATAGATGATCGCATTAGATCAGCGCTAGGGAGGTACCTCATAGAATGCTGGACGCTAGGTCAATAACGGAGGTACAGCCCTACCGTCTTTAATTTGATAGTTCAAGTTTCAATGCTGATTCGCTAGCCTTGCACAAGCTTTCTTTAGCAGATGTACTATTCCAGTAGCAGCAACACCGCTTCGATACATCCAGCCTTACCTTACCCTCTTATCCTCTGCTCGTTAACAGCTTGATGCGTACTAGATATCAGTGTAGAGCCACTCGTTTTCCGGATAAATCATCACTGCAAATTGCCCATCCACGACGGACATGATGCAGAAGCCCTGATACCACCTTGAGTGGACAAATTACCCTCTTCAACCGACGTTGCAGTGACATCGCGGGTCAAAGTACATGCGAACAACTCGGGACTTCTAATCTTCCCCTCCCGTTCGTCAATGGATTGTCTCAAGTCACGAGCCACCACCTTCCGTATTAGACTCATGTCTGAGGTACTGCCATTCGAAAAAAACTCTTTAAACCTTTCAACTTCCTCTCCCTTTACTTTCTCCTATCCCGAGTCACCCGACCAGATACCAACGGCCTGTGAACGATCCCTCTGTCAAATCAACTTCGTCCTACGTCGGTCCAGAGACACTAGGCTCTCAAGCATGAATTATCTCGATATGCCTTGAGAGCAGGAAGAACAGCGTCAAGCGAAATAAGCTGCTCTCCGAGAACGGCACGACGTGCTTTTGTAACCATGGATGGCTCAAAGTGTGCCCAATCACTCAAATCCATGCAAGTCCGTCCAACCAGCTTACCGATTCGCTAGAAATTCCTTGGCTAGAGAGGCCAGAAGCTTCTTTAGTCGGATATAAGATGGTAAACTTGCGATTCTTTAAGTACCGCCCTTGATTACGCCCATTCGGCCACCCCTTACAACTTGATACAAGGCAACAAGTGTCCTTCGTCGGGAAACATCGAAATCCATTTCCCGTGGTGCAGCTGCCGAGGAAATGCTACTCCGTCTCGTCGTTGCTCTTCCGTCAAGGACCAGAGAGCATGCCTGGACAATGATAGAAATCTACTGGTGTTCTGGCTTATCCGGTTAAAGCTGGTTTAGATTGGGGTTCAAATGGGACAGCTACCGGATCGATATCCGGACCTGAAAATTGCCGCCTTCAACACCTCGAACGTCGACCTTCTCTGCTACGACCCCTTGAAGTCTTCTGAACATCCAGCATCTTGGCGTACCGGGGCTCATCAAATGGACAGTCGTTGTCTCGACTTCATGCTGCAGGTGGCCCCAAGACGTTTATATACATACCGCCAGCCATCAACCTCCCGAATATAGATTACCACTTCAGGAAGCCTGGATGACGTGGCTCGGTTCATCTTTTTACATCACGACAGCAAGGTCACCTTAAAGGATATTCAAGGTCATTGGAGGGAGTGTGCAACAAGAAGTTAATGCGTCAGGCACGAAAATGGACTCTTGAATGTCCATGTCTTCTTTAGCTTCTGGATGGCGGGCTCCTTTAACAGAGCCAGCACTAGAAGGCCAGCGCAAAAGCATCAACGTTAAGGCAATCAGGCGGGAATGGCAGTGACAGGATGATTTATCAGCCTTGAGGGACTGGTCGGCACCATATCCCCTTTATGTCCAAGGAAGCGGGAGACAATCTGCAGAGAATGGCATGAAGAACAGAGGCAGCATAAGGCACAAAAGCATTCAGAAGCGACTGAACACTTCCTGCCTCTGGCGCTTGTCTTATCCGCCAACGCGATCTCGCCGCCGTCTTTCTGCAGGCAAATCTAGACGATGGTGGCCATGGTGGGACAGGCCGCGGTGGCGAATGAAGCCATCCCTTCAACCGTCCTAGTTTCACCATTTGAGTTTCTTTAAAGCTACTCATCTTTGGCCAAGTCGCTTTCTCTATGCAGCTTATAATAGAAATAGCGAATGTAGGCTTACACAGAAGCTAACGCATAATGGCAATAGAATGTAAGCAGCAACTGTTATAGACATTAGACATATAGCCGATTCTAATTATTAAGATGTTATCGCGACCTAAACATAGTGATACGCCAGCAGCGCATGCCCCCCTAGAATAATAAGCATTAAGTAGTCTATTAAGACTGCTAAGACTGCTAGTCCTTAACTTATTCTACTAGCTTTAAGGGTAGAGGCGGGTTCTCGTGATTAATTCACAGGCCTTAGGCGTACTAGTAATAGTAAAAAGCTAGAATAATATTAAAACCTCCTACCTAATATTTCCCTAATATAAGCAGAGGTAAAGCTTCCCTTAGCAGAGTATAGGCATCTTTACAGTAAAGTTCCTAGGCATTTTATATATACCTAGCCTTCTTATTACTATTAACACTCTAATACACTAGCACTACTTATAGCAGTATTAACTTTAGTGCATATTTAACAGCCTTATAGATTAAGTCTTAACTCTAAAGCCTAGGCGTTATATAATAATACTTTAGTAAATCTTTATATCCTAGTAGCATAGTTAAGTAAAGGATATGCAGACCCTAGAGTATATTTACAGGCTATATCCTTATTATTATTATTATAAGGCTACTTAGCTATTTACAGAAGGCTATTCTAGTTTACTAAGAGTAGCTGCTTAAATAGCAGACAATTTATAAGTATATATAACAGCATATACTGGCTTTCTAGTGTAAGCCAGCAGTTGCTTAATATATAAAATCTCGCTATGTTAGTGCAATATTAGCTAGTTATAACACCCCCTTTAAGTAAATGTCTTTCACACTAGGATAAACGCTTACTCTCCTTACTAAGGCAAAGCACTTAGCTATTAGAGTTCTAAGCCTAGTAAATAAGCATATAGAGGCTTATAATAGTCTATTAATAGTTAAAGACTATTTAGCGCAGATTCTAGCATTCTGCAAGGCCTGAATTAGGCAGAATTTTAACTTCTAAGGAATTAAATAACTATTAGATTTTCTGCTATTTAAAAGCCTAGGGCGCCTAGACAGGGGTCTAAATCGCTACTACTCTAAACCTAGATATTATTAAATTATAAGGCAGCTAGGATATTTTATAATTACTTTAGTAATACTATATTATAGCTAATTAATAATAAAGCATACTACTAAGTGGTTTATAAGGTGCTATACCTAGGGTAAATAGCTAAACTAATAAAGCCTAAAGGATTATGCTAATATTTATAAAAAGCAACCTAGCTTAAATAAAAAATCTAAGCAGTTAAGAAGTTTAATTATAAAGTAGTAGTAATAATAATCTTTAAGAAGGGCTAAAGTTAAGCTATATTAATAATATTATATTAGTATATGCTATAGAATAATATGCTTATGTTTTTATAAAACCAGCAGCCTTTTAATATTAGTACTAGGCTATAGACTTAGGACTTTAGCTATTAATCTGCCTTTAAATATTATTTTACTAAGGTCTATTATATAAAGCTATAAAAGCTATCCTTATATACTATATATAGTACTTTAGATATAGCCTATAAGCTTGTTTTTAACACTAGACTTAGGGCTGCCTTTTAACTCTATTCTGCCCTGCTGCTATTAAATCCTTAGTCTTAGAAGATTTGCCTGCGCTTATAACTGCTCTTTTATCTCTAGCGCAGTTATTATATAAGGAATATGCTAGATAGACTAGTTTACTATAAGATCTAATTATATATAACTATATTTATTAGAAAATATAAGATTCTATTAAGCACTTCTCTTAAGTGTAATATCTGCTATTTTTTATAACTTAAGACTTTAAATCTAAAGTTATATACTTTTATTCTTAATAATTAACTAACCTTATATTAAAATACTTACTACTATTTTAGTAAAATTAAATAAGCTATAATACTAGTAAAACTAAGTTAACTTTATTTTTTATTTATATTTTACTATTTAAGATTAAGTAGTAATCTTATTACTTATACTTTATATATATACTATTAAATCTACCTCTCTTTAAGACTAGGTTTTATAGTTTATATTATATATATAAAGTACTATATATTACCCTGCACTTTATATAGTATTCTTATATTATATATTATTATAAGTATTTTAAATACTATATATAAAATAAGTTTACTGCCTTTTACTATTAGTCTTTAATAAAGAATATATTCTTTTTATAACTTTATTAAGAATTAGTATATTATAATTTACTCTTTTATTACTGCTATATATACTTATTATTAATCTTAATGCCTTTCTTCTCTTTTTATAGCTCTTTATTATAACTTAACCTTATAGTTATAATAATAAGCTACCCTTAGTAAATAATACTAAATAAATATTAAACTATTTAACTAATTAAAAACTACTTAATAAACTTAACTATTAAGTAAATTAAGAATAACTTAATAAACTTAAGGATTAAGTATATTAAGGATATTAAAATAACTAGCTATATAAAGACTTATTTATATTACTTATTTAAATAGTTTAAATAAATAGTTATTAATATACTAGTAATAATATAATTAAATTAAAACCTAGATATTTACTACTTATATTACTAGCTATATAATAAGTTACTATTAATATATTTAACTTAACCTCTTTATTAATATAAACCCTTAAACCTTTAAATTTATCTTTTAAAAAAACTATTTTTATTAAT